TAGGAAGCTAGAGGGCTAGGGAGGGTAGTTAGTTACTTATATAAGCTCCCTTGAAATCGTATATATTTTGATTTTTATTATAGATTTAAGCTTTTTAGCCCTCGAGGGCTAGGAAGCTAGAGAGCTAGAGGCACTATTACATAACTTAGATTCATTATTGTAAATATATATACTATCATGTAGTTTGCTTTTCTACCCTACAAAAATAGATGGGGAGAAGAGCGTGCGCCATGCACTGAGCTACAGGTAGGACCCACCGCTCCCCGATTAGCAGAAATGGTCTCCCCGTTTAGCAGTTTCGGTTCATCTCCACTTGTTCCTGAACCTCACCGACTCCCCAGCTCCCCACACTTCCCCCCCTTCTCCCCTTTCGGCAGTGGATTGACCCAACAGTGAAGTGACTCCGCCACCCCCGGATTCGGGATTCTGTGGCTTCTTGGGGATCCAAATGCCTGGCATAGCGTTGATTGCTGTTCGTAGCTCGCCGTTTTACTGGCGCTTCGAGCTGACAAGTGGAAAGTGTGTTCGTAGGGGGGGGAATTGAGGAGGCGTCTGCTATCCGTACACACCGAGTCAATCGCTCTGGTGGTTAGCTAGCTAGGTAAAGGACCGTGGCGTCTATAACTAGGGAAACGATGCTCTAAACTCTCTCAGCCATCGGAGATACTACACGGCCGTTGGTCGTCGGTCCGTCCTGTTGTTGAGTGCTGTTGGGAGAGCACCGGGGGCGAGCCGCATGCTCCTGAACTCGGACACGTGCGTGTCAAGGAGAGGTTGATACAGACAGACAACGCAGCAGATTCTAGTGTAGAACGAAGGATTCTTCGGTGCTCGGCAACGGCTAGACCTAGATGGTAATCAAGCAATGCCCCGACTTTGCGATCCGTGAAGCCGTTTGCCGAGATATGTACTTCGTGGAACGGTCCCCGGTTGAACCGGTCTCCCGCTGTTGACTTAAGTGAGTTGGGTAGAAAATTCGAACAGTTATGTCGCCGGAAACGAGCTCATCATGACAACGCACCTCTAGACGTGGTGGGACCGGCAGTGTTCGAGTACTATTCCAGCCTCATAATCTAGGAACTGTCCCGCTGAATGGTGACATGACTTATTCACCGTGACAGCGAAGCTACTTATCTTGATTCGGTGTGCATTAACCACTTTACCCTTACAATAACGCCTTTTAAATACCGTACATGAGCCACCGAGCTCGACGCCAATGTGCCGCGACCATCACAAGCCGGGATGCGATATGAGCGACACCACAGTTTAATAACCTCTCACACCTCAATCAGTCATCGTAATCTCCATCAAGCACCATTCCCTTCGCGTTCGGCACTCCAACCAGGATCTTGCCTCTCGGCACCCTCACGTCTCTAACTTTCATGCACCCAAATACAATCAGCTCCCTCAAATTCGGGCAACTGCGGAACACGCTGCCCACTATGAAGTCGGACACCTCCTCGCAAAAGCTAATCTCTACCTTGTTCATTGCGTCATAGACCTTTTCGGGGCCAAAAACCTCCTCAAACGCGACAGCCTCAATGTGCCGGCATCCATGGACATTGAGATGACGCAGCGTCTTACCCGAGTGCGCCATCAACGCGCGAAAGCCATTGGAGCACAAGCCGATGCCATCTGGGTTTTCGCGCGGCTGTGCGGAATCCAACTGGCGGCACTTTTGCAGATCCAAAAACACCAGACCCGGGTTGGCCCAACCGGTAAAGAGCCGAGCAAAGCCGGCGTCGGTCATCTCTTCGCTGTCGGTTATGCGTAGCTTCTTGAGAGAGCGGCAGTGCATGTGTATCGCGTCTAGCACCGTGTTGTCTGCTTCTTGCACGCGGGTGAGCGAGAGGGTTTCAAGGTTGGCACCGATCTTGCTGAGGAGATCGACGTATATGTCTGAGTGGATGTTGTTGCGCAGGTCGAGGCTGAGGTGCCGGAGCGAGTCAAGCTGGGCGAGGGCTGTGATGCCCACGCCCGTGACCTGCTGATTGTGGGATACCTTGAGCCGACTCAGCGAGGGACATGCGGACTTGAGCACGGAGAGAACGTCATCCCCAAAGTGCTTGTCGGTCCAGTATACACGGAGCGACCGCAGAGTGCCGCCCTTCTGATGGAGAAACTCCTTCCACTTAGATTCTGACAGGAGATTCGCACCGTGCAGGTAAAATTCTTCCAGCTCAATGTTCCGCGAAAGGAGGTAGTCCATCACCTCGTCCTTGAAGTGGATGCCATTACGGATCTTGAGCTTCTTCAAACCTGGGACTGTCTGAAAGACCCGGATAAAATCGTCAGTGGTGAGCTTTGAGCCATCGTAGATATAAACTTCCTCGGCTGCTGGCTGCAAAAAGAGGTTGAGTGTTCGCGAGTTTAGCAGGCGATACCTCGAGAGCTTCCGTGCGATCTTGTCAATTACCGGCGTGGGAAGATCCCCAAGGTCCTCGGCAAGATCGATATTTTTGGCAAGGGTTTCAATACAGAGGGTCATCAGGCTTTTCGCGCCGAGTGAGTAGGTCCCATCCAGAATACTGCTTTGGAGTTGCCGGCGTCTGGCGCCGGAGCCCCCAGCGACCTTCTTCGCCTTTTTCTTTGCCGCGGGATCGTCTTTGTCCAGATCCTTGCCGCATGGGCTACAAAGCAAACCTCCATCAGGTCCACTGCGCGTATACGGTGTAACGGTGAACCGCTTGCTGCAGATGGCACAGTTCTCCATCTGACCAGGGAGTGGCGCGGCTCGCTCTCGGAATATGGCTCGGGCAAGGTCATCCTCATCGTCGGAGTCGGCGAGCCCGCGCTTACGCTTCTGAAACTTCTTGCTGGCCTTGATCTTCTGAATAGCTTTCTTCTCGGTCCTCCGCGCTTCCTCCTGAGAATTGGTCTCTGCCGCGCGGCGTCCTCGGGTTGATTGCGCAGGGCCGGCAGAAACGTCTGAAGTCGACGCTGGGGAAGCTACCGCAGTCTCATTATTGCTCTGGTTGCTTGTATCGTTCTGATTATTCTGGGCAGCCCTTCTCCTAGCGTCTGCGTCCAGACGGATTTGGTACGCGGAGATGTTGTGCGACTAAATAGTAGGTTAGCATTCCGGAGCACGAGGATAAATTGCAAGTCCGCTATAGCCTACCTGCAGAAAATCGGTCAGGGCTGATTGTCTGCATTGCAATGAAAAAAGTCAGTCACAATCTTTGCTTCAAGTTATCTTCACTTTGACTGACGGGCCCATAATCCGGCGTTGCGGCCGATTCTGTCGGGACCTAATTTTTTTGTCAGTAAGTGTGGTCCAAGCAGAGTCCGGACTCCGGAGTGCAGAAAAAAAGTACATTGTGGCGTGCTTGTACTTAACAATCGCCAGTGAGGAGGATCTTATATCCTGGAGGGCGCTGGAGGTGACCGGTCACTAGTAAGGAGGTGTCTGGAGAATTGAGAGCGGAATTGCCAACGAGAAGTTGAGTGGGAAGACACGCTTGGACGCGCGGAGGGGCAATTCAATTTAACTCGCTCGCGCCAAAACACGTGACCCTATTTGAGTCTTTTAGCTTTTTTCAAGGAAAGCGCAGAGCTGAGTCTCCCACCCCGCTTCTGCCTGCCGGGTTGCATCAGAAAAGGCAGGGGTAGGCCAGTCGGTACGTACGGTACTGTGTAATTTCAGGTTGCCTACTCCGTACACGTAAGGTACATACTCCATATGTAAGCCCAGCAAATGAGTTGGTCCGCAAGTCATGTGCCCTCGCGTTTCCTCAAAACGCGACCCCCCTCTCGCACTGAAACCCACGACCTGAAGTTCCAGGAGGTGGCAATAACCACCAGTCAACCGGTGAATTTCGAATTCATCTCCCATTCGTTCTAACCGTTCTAACCGTTCTAACCGTTGACCATTTCTCAGCTGCGGAGTTCCATACTTTTTCGAAAATCAGAGAAGCCGAACGTGTCACTTCTTTCTTCTGTGCACAGTTTCGGGCTTGCAGCCTGACATGCATCAGGCCTGCTCGAGCGCTCGACATAATTGACAACTTCTTCTTTGTCGGCCATCTGTTGACCACCATTGTCCACGACAAATTTCCCTCACTAGGTACCTCAGTTCTTCTACGGCTTTGCCGTGGTTTGATTCACTCAAACATAACACGGGTGATTTACACCGCCTCTCAGGTTATTGCCCAGCCATGGTGAGAACCAGAAAATCGGCGGCAGCCGAACTTGAAGGTAAGTTGAGAACTTAACTTTTTTTGAACTGTTTTGCTCTTTTCTTTCGTCATGGCACCCGATCGTGGACTCAGGCAGGAGCATGCTGGTGTCCTCCCCTATTCATCGAAACTCAACACCAGTCAATGGGATTTGGCACTAATCGACTTCAGGCCCACTTTCGCGATTTGTCACCGTCGCATCAGAGGAGCAGCGTAGCAAAGCCATGACTTCAAGTTCCGACTCATCAACTGTGCCAACGCCTTCAGGTCATTCTTCGGGGAGCGAATACACGACACCCCTCACTAGCAATGTCGGGACACCCGCTTCGGTTGAAGACAGACAGCGAAGGCCAGCCAAGCGGCTCAACAGAATCGAGGTCCATCTGCCCGCTGCAAAGGCATCCTCCAACAGGGCACTTCGCAGCGGAAAGTTTTCCATGAATTCCAAGCGCAAGAGGGATGTTGTCGACGACAGCGAAGATGATGGTTTCTCCGACAACTCGCCGGATGCAAAACTTGCACGAAGGCTGCAGGATGAAGAAGACGAAGCGGCAGCACAAATATTGTCGGTGTCAAAGCCTACTATCGGGCTTCGCAGGAGCTTGCGAGGCCTTGCAGACCCACTTGTTACGAGTCCTGCATCATTGTCGAAAGCTGAGCACGATGGAACTGATTCGGCTGCTTCGACTCTGCGCGGCTCAAGCGGCAAGGCAACGGCACTTGGCTCCCGCTCTAGCGCGGGTTTTCGCAGAAAGCAGATTATGATCGTTAAAGATTCGGAGGATGAGGATAGTGGCGCCGAGCAAGTCGACAAGGAGAGCGATAGTGACGCCGAGGGAGTCGACGAGGAGAGCGATAGTGACGCCTCATCGTTCAGGCCCTTGAGCAAACGACGGCCAGGCGCTGCCGCGGCAAGCCGGCGCCCAATCCGCTTGAAGGAACCTACAGCGGCACCAACACCTGCTCCCGGGGAGTATCCTGACGGTTTTTTATTCTTAGAGAATCCCGGCGGAAACTCAGAATCTCTGGACGATTTCGACTTCGATAGTTTTCTCGCTGCGCACTCTGGGGAAGAGAGTGACGGTTTCACTTTCCCCCTCAACATCGATGATGACGACGATGACCACCCCGGCGCACCCGGTACTCTTGACCAAGCTATCCGTACGGCGACGATGTCCCGCCGCGCCTATCGGGCATATCGTAGCGGACGCCGTCTCAAGAGAGATAGGGGTCGCCTTGAGCTACACCACCCTGAGCTCACGACTATGTGGAAAGACCTTGAGAACATGCCGGTTCTGAAAGCTGGCAAGGCAGAGCAGCCCAATTCTATTTCTCGCCAGCTCAAGCCATTCCAGCTCGAGGGCCTTGCTTGGATGAAAGCGATGGAAAACACAGAGTGGAAGGGTGGGCTTCTCGGTGATGAGATGGGTCTCGGGAAAACTATCCAAGCCGTTTCTCTCATCATGTCGGATTTCCCTGCCAGAAAACCCTCCCTTGTCCTCGTTCCTCCGGTTGCTTTGATGCAGTGGATGACTGAGATTGACTCATATACGGACGGGAGATTGAAGACTCTCGTTTTCCACGGAACGAACGCCAAGTCGAAGAACCTCACCGTCAAGGAACTCAAGGGGTACAACGTGATCATCATGTCGTACAACAGCCTGGAGTCGATGTACCGCAAGCAGGAGAAGGGCTTCAAGCGCAAGGATGGCGTGTTCAAGGAAAAGTCCATCATCCATCAAACTGAGTTTCATCGCGTCATCCTCGATGAAGCCCATTGTATCAAGACGCGAACGACCATGACGGCAAAAGCTTGCTTTGCCCTCAAAGTCACTTATCGCTGGTGTCTCTCAGGCACCCCGCTGCAGAATCGCATCGGCGAGTTTTTCTCGTTGGTTCGCTTCCTCAACATCCGCCCATTTGCCTGCTATCTCTGCAAGCATTGCCCGTGTTCCACGCTCGAGTGGCAAATGGATGACAATAATAACTGCACAGCCTGCGGGCACGGCGGAATGCGGCACGTGTCTGTCTTCAACCAGGAACTTCTTAATCCGATTCAGAAGTACGGAAACATGGGTCCGGGTCGCGAGGCTTTCCGGAAGCTACGCATCCTGACGGACCGGATCATGCTCCGCAGGCTGAAGAAGGACCACACCGACTCTATGGAGCTTCCGGTCAAAGAAATCAATGTTGAACGTCAGTTCTTTGGAGAGGAGGAGAACGATTTCGCGAACAGCATCATGACAAGCGGCCAGCGCAAGTTCGATACTTATGTCGCCAGTGGTGTTCTGCTCAACAACTACGCCAACATATTTGGTCTTATTATGCAGATGCGCCAGGTCGCGGACCACCCAGATTTGATTCTGAAGAAGAACAGCGAGGGTGGCCAGAACATTCTTGTCTGCAGCATTTGTGACGAGCCCGCCGAAGATGCGGTTCGATCTCGTTGCAAGCATGATTTCTGCCGTACCTGTGTCAAGAGCTATCTGAATTCATCGATGGAGCCAAACTGTCCGCGTTGTCATATCCCGCTGTCTATCGATCTCGAGCAACCCGAGATTGAGCAGGACGAGGCAATGGTCAAGAAGTCGTCAATCATTAACCGCATCAAGATGGAGAATTGGACCTCGTCATCCAAGATCGAACTCTTAGTCCACGAGTTGCACAAGCTGCGCTCTGACAAAGCTTCTCACAAGTCAATCATTTTCTCACAGTTCACCACAATGTTGCAGCTTATCGAGTGGCGACTGCGCCGAGCCGGCATCACCACCGTCATGCTTGACGGAAGCATGACTCCCGCTCAACGGCAGGCCTCAATTGAGCATTTCATGAAGAATGTCGATGTCGAGTGTTTCCTGGTCTCCTTGAAGGCCGGAGGTGTGGCTTTGAACCTTACCGAGGCATCCCATGTTTTCATTGTCGACCCTTGGTGGAATCCTGCAGCGTATGTCGCTCTCCAACCCGAAATAGTCTCCTTAGATCCCATCCTCCCCCCCCCTCTCTTCCACCGTTCTCGTGCGGTATTGCTCATTTTCGATGCTGACTTGGAGTGTTGAAACAGAGAGTGGCAGTCGGCCGACCGATGTCACCGGATTGGCCAGAGCCGCCCTTGTACGATCACGAGACTTTGCATTGAGGATTCTGTCGAGAGCCGCATGGTTCTCCTACAGGAAAAGAAGACCAACATGATAAACTCGACTATCAATTCCGATGATGCAGCTATGGACTCCCTCAGCCCTGAGGATCTCCAATTCCTGTTCCGCGGATCGTGATCAATATTCGGTAAGAAGGAGTTTTGGTACGAGGGGAACTTGCCAGCCATCCTCGCAGCCGTGCTGGGGTCATGTGAATTTGTTTGTATTGTGTACGACTGTATGGGTTTTCTTCCGCTCTAGGCGTTATATCCCAGAGCAGAGACGCAGTAGCAGCGTGTGTCAAGTCATTTGTGGCTGCATCAGGGCGCCGGGATGAGGCCATGAGAGACGGATGAGGGTATGAAGGAAGCACGAGTATAGATGGCGTTTAGAGAGCCAACCGGCTCAGCACCAACCGCTGTGACAGGGCCATAGAAATTACTTGTTGATTTAGCTACTTACCTTAGGTAATTAGAGATTTGCTCTTCTTACTGCCTCGAGGAACCGCAATCTCTTGACAGGTAAGCTAATTGCTCTTGCTATCCGAGCCCCCTTACAATGGAAGCCCGGCAGAAGTGATATTGCCTATGTGCTTGAGATATCTGTCCATTCGATGTAAGCCGGCGTAGGTAGGTGGTTATGAGCATTAGGTAAAAGTGCCTACTGGCTTGTACATGTTATGTACCTGAGGTACATACCAGGTATCCGTAGGTTCCATCCACTCAGTGGGGTTTGGATTGTCCAAGCAGACCCGGAGCTACAGCAGCTGCCAAGCATGAGCATGCGGGGTAGCGGGTCGCCTTAACACCCACAGCCCTGTAGCCCCGTTCCCCATGATCAGGGACGATTGGATCGCACCGGGGATCCCTGCCTGTCTCTGCAGGTCGCAGGAGCAAGCGACCCACGGAGGGGTTCGCCGTACACCCAGCATCCTGCTTTGAAATTTGAACTCCCAGTTGTCCTCCTTATTAGTGAAGGTTGGGCCATTGATCTGTTGTTCTCGTATTCTCAGCTTGCTTCAGTATTTTCTTTCACCCCCAGCATTGTGCATAGGTTCTATTGTCTCCGGTCAACATCACTTTCGCTTGGCTGGTTCAAGTCTTCCTTTAAAGGAACGGTTGAAGTGCTTTGTTTGTTTTGTCTCTTGACCAAACGGTTGCTCAGGCCATCCTGGGCAATGGTGTGCTGTTGATCCAGTCCTTCCTTGCTTTCTTGGCCGTTTTGGGTACTTTCAGCATGCGGTTCGATTTGCTGGCGCTGGCTACTCTGGCCGGCGCGTCGACGCTCACTCCGAACGCCCTCCCGCTGATCGTCCGAAATCCGTATCTGAGCACCTGGCTGTACCATGCTCGCAACGCTCCGTGGGAAAACTGGCCTATGTTCTGGACAGGCGCTCATGTAAGTCAGACAACCGGCGGGGGCACCCTCTGACAGCGCGCTAAACTTAGGTGTCAAGGTCGGCTTCTCCGTCATGGCATCCGTGCATAGCGCGGGCAAGGTCTATCCGTTGCTTGGGCGGCCCCAAGACTCACTTCCTTTCAACAGTCCCCGGTATAGGATTGCGTACCCGGAATACCTTGGTGCCACTTTTGATGCTTCGACAACGAATCTGACATACGACATCATTGGGCCGTGGGACAAGTCAGTTCGCCTAACGCTGTCGTTTCTGTCACCGATCACGCCTTCATCGACTTTCCGGCAGTCAATTCCCGCCGCCTATCTTACTGTCATTGCCGAGGGGTGTCTTGACGTTGACATATACACCGATGTCAATGGTGAGTGGGTCACTGGGAACAGGGGCAACTTGGTCAAATGGGAGCTGCACAGGGCCAATCGCTCCGAAAGCGCTTCAGCAACGCGTCTGCAAACGTGGAAGGTAGCGCGAGCTGGCGAGCAACTCTTTACTGAGTTTGGCGACCGTGCCGAATGGGGCACTTTGCACTTCACTGCTCCCGCCGATGTCCGACACCAGAGCGGAACATCTGCGTTAGTCCGTCAGCATTTTGCCGAGACTGGGTCTCTGAAAAATGAGGTCGACACCAAGTTCCGCCGGGTGATGGAGGATGAGCCGGTCTTTGCCTTTGCCAAGTCTTTCAAACTTTCTGACGACCACAAGACCGGCTGCCCTAGGCAGGAGGCAAGCGTTGGGTTCACGTTTGCTTTGATCCAGGATCCTGTGGTTCAATTCGCCTCAGCAAAGGGACTGATGCACATGAAGCCGCTCTGGAAATCGTACATTTCATCCGCGGACGAGCTGATTGCGTATCACTACGGCGACTTCGAGACCGCAGCATCCCTTGCCAGGAACTATTCTGACTCGCTGGCTCACGATGCATACAACTCGGGCTCGCTGGAGTACCAGGACATTGCAGCCCTCTCAGCCCGCCAGGTCCTCGGAGCTACGCAATTCTCGGGAACGCCAGACAACCCGATCCTCTTCCTGAAGGAGATCTCTTCCAACGGCAACTTCCAGACAGTAGACGTCATCTTCCCGGCCTTCCCATTCTTCCTCTACACCAACCCGCAGTGGCTGGCTTACCTGCTTGAACCCCTGCTCGAGCATCAGCTGAGCGGCCAATATCCGAATGACTATAGCATGCACGACCTAGGTGCGCACTTTCCCAACGCGACGGGCCACCCTGACGGAAACGACGAATATATGCCGGTTGAGGAATGCGGGAACATGCTTATTATGGGGCTGGCCCTGGCCAATGCTCTGAGGTATGATACCAAGCCTGCGACCTTGAAGGCTATTGCGGCAGAAGGTGCCGAGACGATTCCAACCTTTGGGTTGTGGAGGGAGTCGGTCGACAAGTACGGGATCGACCTCCCCAAGGACGTTGATGCGGCAGTAGGCTCCGCGGCAGCCAAGAAATGGCTCACACGCTCGTACAAGCTCTGGAAGCAATGGACTGGCTATCTTGTCAGGGAGTCACTCATTCCGGCCAACCAGCTGTGTACGGACGATTTTGCTGGCTGGCTAGCCAACCAGACCAACCTGGCACTCAAAGGCATCATCGGCATCAAAGCCATGAGCGAGATCGCCGACATTCTGGGCGAAATGGACGAAGCCAAGTCCTACCGAGACACTGCGGCCTCCTACATTGAAAAGTGGCAGGAGTACGGCATCTCCAGAGACCAAACCCATGCGAAGCTGGCTTACACGTGGTACGGCTCCTGGACGACCATCTACAACCTCTATGCCGACTCTTTGTTATGCTTCCACGTCCCGGATAAGCACGGAGCCATGTCAGATCACCCGCAAGAGCGCCAACAGCCTCTTCGGAGTCAGGCCGAGCATGCGCAAACTTTCATCCCCGACAGGGTCTACCAGATGCAGAGTGATTGGTACCATGCAGTGCTCCAGAAATATGGGCTGCCCCTGGACTCGAGACACCTGTATACCAAGAGCGACTGGGAGTTCTTTGCGGCAGCCGTGACGGGCAAGAAGACACGGACTGAGATTCTCACGTCGGTGGCGAAGTGGGTGAATGAGACGTCTGTTGGTAAGTCTGCGTGCGAAATCCTCCCAAAAAAAAAAACCATAACTGACCAATTGTGTGATCTAGACCGACCCTTTACCGACTTGTACGAGACCGAAGGTGACGGAGGATTTCCCCAGGGAATTTACTTCATGGCGAGACCGGTGGTGGGGGGTCACTTTGCGTTTTTGGCGCTGGAGAGGGCGTGCGGCGGCAAGGCTGTGGAAGCGCTGAGCTTCCTGGATGACAAGCCGCCTGCCGAGATCAACGTCGAGCAGATTTTGCTGGCGGATCTGGGGCGCGGGATGGACTCAGAGAGCAGTAAGTGGCAAGACCTTTAGGTAAGGTAGGTCAGGGGATTGTACATACATTACCTGGCAAGATACCTTTAGCGGACGCTCTACGTTGGAATAGTTAACTTGTATCCCAAGCAAGGCATTGCTCATGTGAGATTGAGAAAAGGGTGGTTCAAGAACTTCAATTGCGTCCTACCTCAGGAATGCGGGGTCGATGGCTAAAGTGGTGAAGGCATTAGGTTTGGCAAATGGCCAAACTCAGCCAAACTCTGTCTAGTTGGCGACGAAAAGATCCCACCATCCTCTTAAAGTCTCAATAGAAATAATCATTCGAGCAAGATAACTATTTCTACCTTGATAGGCCCTTCAAGCAGTTTCTTGCCACCTGATCATTTCACTTGCGGATACGTGCTGGGACCTCAAGATTTATTGTACGGTGGCACCCGTTTCCGGACCGCGGGTGGCGCGCTATGGTATTTCAACACCGACAACACCAAGGCAGAACACAACTTCAGTAACTCCCGTCCTTACTAATCTTTTCTTATTTCCACATCCACAATTTACTCAGTTTCTCATACCTTTCTATTTCAGATTTCCCCTGCTTCTTCTCCACCCATTCGAGCGCTTTCGGGTATCAGTTGGTTCCGGGCATCACCATTTGCAATCACAGTGCTCTTCCGCTACTGTCTCCGATGAGATACCAGAATGGCGCCACTCAGAATGACACCAGCTCCCGAGGATTTGGCGATCCTTAAGACCGCCTATGATGGTCTACGGGCGGCAAACGAGCAGCTGCGAACCGCAAACCTCAATATCTACCACTCGATGGGCATGAAGCTGCTGTACGTGCCAGGCTCCGATGAAAACCAGTCGCATCACAAGCTCATGGAGCAGCATAAAAGACGTGCCGCACTCAGCGACCAGGACGTGAAACGGGATTGGCGCCAGTGGTTGGATCGCAATAGAGATGTCCTTGACTCGGCCGAAGTTATTGACCAGGAACTGGACAGAGTCAACGCCAGCAAGGCCGAGCTTGAGAGTGTTCAAACCGCTCTCCGGGCCTGCATTAACCGGTTGTCGCGTCCGTACCTGCGAAACTTGACCATTTTGGACCTTCCAGACGAGATCCTCCTCGAGATCTTTGAGCACGTTGAGGGCCAGCACTATCCCTTCACGCAATACCAGTTCGACCCTATCTGGTATCCTCGCAGGGATATCCAAACCCTCCGCCTCGTCTGCAGGCGATTTTGCAGCATTAGCTCTCAGCTACTTGTTCGCGTCGTTTATGTGGACTTAAACCAGGAATCTCTGACTCGTCTGGAGGAAATCTCTCGCCATCCCACCATTTCGAAAGGAGTTCACGCCGTTAAAATCGTCCCTCATATGTACAACTCCTCGTTTACCGAGATCGAACACTTTGTTTCATACTACGCCGAAGAATTCGAGAATCAAATTGACTTGAACGAGAGGGCCAAAATATGGGAGTTGTCCAAAATTTCCGAGGATGTTGCATCAGACATGATCGCGAGGGGAAAGGAGTTGGTGGCTACGCTGCATCGCCTTTTGTCATGGGAGCCATGCGAAAACGAAGATCATTATCGGGCACTTCTCTTCGAAATTCACGAACGGTACCTCGTGCTCCTCGAAAGGCAGGATTCGCTTATACAAAGCGATGATTTCTACCGACTAGTGGGCTCTGCGATTGCGAGGATGCCGTGCGCCAAAAGCCTAATGTTTGACGATTCGGTTCATTCTTGGCATGCTCCAAGCTCACGTGCCCTGATGGTGCCTGGGGCCGATTTGTGGGAGAGGCTTAGTATCTGCATGCTCCAGCCCTTGACCGGCTATGAAGTGACCAGGGCTCATCTCGAGGCGCCTAATTATGGATGTATTATTCCTCTGATCGACTCTGTCCGGCGCGCAGGGGGGTTTCTTCGCCGGCTTATCATCAAGATACATTCCTTGGGTCGACCGATGGATCTGGTGCCAGCTCCGGATTTGCGACTTGATTTCTCGTCTGGGATGCAGCAACTGAGGAGATTCTCATTTGAGCATGAATTTCCCTGTGGCGACGAAGACAGCGATGATGACGAGGGCCAAGTTACCGATCTTCACGAATTCCTCTCTGCCTGTTTGGATACGTCAAGCTTACAATCGCTTGGCCTGGATCTGAGAGGCGGTGAGCATGAACGACACTTCCCGCTCTGTCTAAGGCAGATAATCAATCGGAAGCAATCTTTATACAAGCTAGATGACATCTTTCTCGGACAATGCGCTTTGGACTACGCTGATCTGATCGCATTCCTGAGACGGCTGCCGAAGTCGATGGACTATCTTAGCCTGTCCAACGTGCGCTTACTCAATGGCTCTTGGAGGGGAACGCTGGATGCGTTAAGGGAGAAGCGGCCTCGCTTTGCATCATTGAAAGCGCCGGCGGGCGCTGAATGTGAGGATATGTCGGGGGAAGAGTACAGTCGGCTATTCGAAGAGGAACAATTTGGCTACAGGACCAACGCCGAGGCGTATTTATTGAATCGATGGATCTCCAACCCCATGCTGGCAGACCCGCCTGAGCTCGAGGAATGAGACTTTGCCCAAGTCAACGCAATCCGATCCCCATCAGCTAGTTTTTAGTGGGAGTGTCGAGGCATGGAGGACATCATGATATCACTGCAGTATGGATACTCGGCATCGCACGAGTTCTGGCATCCGGATTCTCACCAAAATTCTGCGGTAATCGCTAGGTGGGCTGTATGTTATCTCAATGACTAGGAAGCGGCGCAATTTCCACCACATTTCAGTTCTGTGTAGACGGAGGAGAGTTTAGAGATGCTCTATAACTCGAGGATGACAACAGCCCATTCGCGGGTAGATAGCAACATCAGTGTACAATACAATACAACGAGCCATGTGAGGAGTGCAACGGAATCTCTAAGACGGGATCTGAACGGCGTCTCAAAGTTTGTCAAGCCAACACGAGGTATCCAAATGTCAGTGCCGGTAGTAGCTGCTCCTTCTTTGGGAAAATGAAGGTACCGAGTGAACGACTAGCCAGTGCATAGAGCGGTTGCAATGTCAAAGATCCAGCTTCATCGCATAGGAGCACTCATAATAACCCTGCCTCTCATCTTCAGTGTTGCTCCGGCGATTGATCCATTGGGGAATAGTCACTGCAATACAACCTGCACAAGGTGACTCGGGTATGGGCGAACCCTAGCAGCATGCGGGACACACAGCAGCAGCAGCCTTGCACTCCGCAAATGTGGAAGAAAGACGCCAATCAGACGCTCAACTGGCCTGAGGCGACCAACTGTATCGATGTCCGCATTGCAGCTGTCCAATAGATTCGAGCCGGCGGTCGGGACTACCGCCGACGATGCACGGTTCGGCATCGTGGAGGCCTCAGGGGACATACGAGAGATGAATTGAGCACTTGGTAACCATCGGTTTTAACTCTGACGAAACCCAATAACATATTCATCATCTTTTTTTGAGAAAGGTTAGGAAAGAGTTGATAGATTCTACTGCAGAGGATTGAGTGTAGGGCGTGGAAGCCTCGTCAATCCTTGTAAGCGGTGTCTGTAGGTACGGTAGTTTACGGATAGCCAACGTTCTTTCGCGTAGAATTTCGCCAAGCTAACTGGGTAGGGCTAGCGTGCTTTGCTCTGTGGCTCTCGCTATGCAATAACCAGGGGAGGAGCGCGACTGGCAAACGTGGTTGTTCTCATCTTCGCCTTCTTTGCCTCACCAAACCAAAATTTCGCCTCTTCATCTTACCGCCGCGTTCTCGACTACCATCCCGCCGCCTTGTCGTCAGCTTTACATTTCTTTGTAATCGCTGCCGGCGCATAACCCCGCCCTATTTCTCTTCAATTTCTTATTCTTACGAGGCTCAGGGAAAGAATCCATCTGGTTTCCAGCTGTGTCGCGCCCTCACTTGATACCTTTTCTTTTGCCTCGATTCCCCCAAAACATCTCTCCGACCACACCCTCCACCAAAGCGTGGATTGCCTAGTCGGCGATCTTCTTCAATAGTACAACTACGTCTCATCAACAATCGATAAGTTTCGACGACTTCTCGACCACAAATTCAATCCATCGAAATGGCAACCACATCTATGGATTATGAGAATGCAAACGGCGATCGTTTCGACGGTATGTCTTCCGTCCTGCTTAGTCGAAACCCATACTTGGTCGCTCCATTGCTTAACCCACAGTCGACGAGTTGCGCTTGGAGAATGGTACTGACAATTCATCTAGATGATGCCGCTCGCTACGACCGCGACCGTAGTGCGTCGCCGCGTCGCGATGATGGCCACGATTCGCGCCGTCGCTCGATGTCTCCCAATGGTAACGATCGGTATGTTTTCGTCACCGGTGTTGTCCTCAATATCCGTCCGTGGCGTCGCTCGCTAACACAACCTTAGCGCGCCAGTTAAATCTGACAGCGGCCCAAAAGACGATGATGGTGCTATCAATCCCGGATCCAATCTCTTCGTGACAGGCATCCATCCTCGCCTGGAAGAGTCCGAAGTCACTCGTCTCTTTGAGAAGTATGGCGAAGTCGAGAAGTGCCAGATCATGAAGGATCCCCATACTGGTGAATCGCGTGGCTTTGGTTTCGTTAAGATGATGACCTCTGAGCAAGCCGATGCCGCCATGGAGGGCTTGCGCGGCGAGGTGATTGAGGGTCGCACTCTCAATATTGAAAAGGCCCGGCGTGCCCGTCCTCGCACCCCCACTCCTGGAAAGTACTTCGGTCCGCCAAAGCGTGGTAAGTTTTCATTCTCTTTGCTCGCTCATCAGTGCGCCAAAACTGATCATGCTAGATCCTCGTGGTCGCTTCGATGACCGCCGTCGCGGTGGATACGGCAGCTATGGCGGTGGTGGAGGTTATAGCCGAGACGACTCGTACCGCGGTGGCCATCGCGGCTACCGTGAAGACCGTGGCTACGACCGTAGCTATGAACGTGGCGACCGTGGCTACGACCGCGGTTATGGCGGCCGGGACTATCGTGACGACCGTGGGTATGGCCGTGACTATCGCGAGGACCGAGGCTATGATCGTCGTGATCGTGATGACTATAGCCGTATTGATCGTTATGCAGGGCGTGAAGACCGTGACCGCTACGGAGCTGGCGGTCGTGGCGCTCCGGATGACCGCCGCGGTCCCAGCTACGACCGTGATCGATACGATCGCGCCAGCGACCGCGAGTCTCGCCCCCGCGACGCCGCTTCGGGTGCTGCCGGAGGCTACGGCGACCCGGCTCCGCGCGGCGATACCCGCGAACCCTACGGTAACAGTACCCATCCCAGTCACCTTTCTACCAGAGTTGTAATCTGACTTCCTCAGGCGGCCGCTAATCGACGCTCCTCGGTCCGAAAAATACTGGCTCATCTCGGGCTATTCGTCTTCCGACTAGATTGCGGCACGGTTTTCCTAGCTTTCTCTTTTTCTTCACGGTTTGGCATGGGCATAATTCGGATATCCCAAAATTCGATTGGAGTTTCTCGGCGGGAATTTGGAGGGTTAGTGGCCCTGTTTCGGCACATCGCCTCCCTTCAAACAAGTTCCTAGATCTTAGCCGGATGGTGGTTTGCGACACATCGACTTTGATGGCGTGGGATCTGGCTCGGTCGTCTGCAGCACTAGTCGACATTGTCTAGGCGTCCATCTATTCCTCGCTCTCCCTCCGGTTGGATCAGAAACATGGGAGTAGATGGAAGCCGCCTCTGTACGATTATCATTTTGCTTTGCGCCTCTATACGGCCATCGACACACTCATACCGTGACGGCTCTGCAACAGCCCATCGCCTGGCGTTTTCCGTAGTAGTCGACATGTTTACGAAGCAGCCTCAACCTACCGCAGCGTTGATCGTGAACAGCAGATGCCTTCGATTCCGTGGCAAGCCTCCGTTTCCGGTTGGCAAACATCGGCCGGTTCTGAAAAGCCAGCATACTTTTGTCGACCGTGTAAATCCGTTTTCGGCATGCACCGGTCCTTCGTTCGCCGCTCCCCTTGTCAACTCCCCCTGCATGACCGTTGCAATATTCGCCCATCTTGCGCCATGGCTCCTGCTACTAACAGCGGATTGCCGTCTGCTGAAACCGATAATTGTGTCTCGCCGTGGTCCTCACCTCGCAGGCAAATTGTGAGGACCAAGGACTGCTCTGCTCTACGTTCGCTAGACTAAGCAGCGAAGGTAAACTTGCTTGGGGTATGGATGAGAGATTAACGTGACTTTCCTCGTCTAGGGCCGATCTTCTGCCTCCTCGTAGGAAGGCAATATACAGCGTTATACTTGTTCGACTTGCTGTCTGCCGAGCCAAACTATTCGGTTGAAACAATGATGTCGTCAGTGGTCGGGGTCGATTTGTGTTGGCGCCAACGCCGGTTCGCGATCTGGGGAATTGCAGGTTATTTCGACGCAATGGTAGTGCGACTCGCCTAACCTCGGTTCTTCGCCTTTGGTTGTCCTGCTCAACCTCTCTCGTGTTTCGACCTGGTTGTACTGGATGCCATGTCGCTTCCGGCTGCTTGTCCTTACGGAGAGCAGTTGTTTGTTAGCTATGGCCGTGCCGATGGGAAAGTGGTTGAAAGACTTGGACATCAACATGGTCTAGCGAGGTCATTGCTCGCATTTTCATGTTGAGTGAGGAGATTGAGAGGTGAGGCCTTGACTGTCTAGGTGTCTGTCGCTTGGTTTGCAGCCAAGCCGGCGACACCTAGGTTATGCCCTGCTTGCTCTCCTTGTTGCCTTTTCCTGTTTCCTTTCTATGCTTTCATTTCATGGCTGGCTTACACAACGACTACAATTATATTACTCTCCTTTTCCTTTACTCCCTGTTGATGTCTTCTCGATCTAACAGAGCCAGAGACGCGCTGTTAAATTGGGCTACTCGTTCACTTATAAATCCCCTCTCAATTACAGTTTCTAGCAGACATGAGCCTTTGGGATGCTTATGCTGCGGCATGGTCTCGTGTTCTGCTCGTTGACAAAGTGTCAAGACATTGATTGTCTGCCACAGCACCAAAACAGCACTACATGGGCTGGTCGCAATGGGTACTCTAATGCTGGCCTAGGATCCTTAAAGGACACGAGGATCAAGTCCGCACTCCGCTCTGTTAGAGGCTTAGTAGACATATGATTCGATCATTTTACACCAGTCATGCAATGTCAGCCAGCTTTGTGCCGTTTCCTTCTATGCCCTCTTCACATCCGTGGGCTTTCCAAGACCAGGACGTCAGTTTCATTCCCAATCCACAGCTGCATGTGCTCAACAAGTCTCACAGTGCACTCGCGGATGGAGGCCATCTAAGGCAATAGCGGATGCAGCTATGGACAGGTGGCATCTCAGGAGGTGCGGCTCTGTGCAAGTGGGGTGCTTGTCGGCTGGGAGAAAGTCAAAGACCGCAGCGGATTCGACTCTGGAAGACGGAGGCTTGGGGGTAGCTAGCATAGTTTACGATGGGCAGGAACTTGAAAGGCGAGACAGCCAGAAATGCCGTCCACTAGCGAGTCACAAAGTAAGTCATGCGGCAACGAAACAAGTATTTCAAGGTGCCTAATAAAGATCAGGACAAAAGCGACGCACTTGAACATGATAATTAGTAATGTTGCAGAGCCGGTCGAGCCGGGCTTGTGGTTCTGCTTGAGAGGACAAGGAGACGGCTTGGCCTCGGTGACTTTTGAGTCAAACAATAGAACAATAGGTTTGAGTCCTCTAACAAGAGCCTTGAAACCCGACGGAGTTGTGTTCTAGGCAGGAAAGCTGGCGAATGGGTCCATCTCTCGTTCTGACAGTGTGCTAATCCCAACCTTTGTTAGTTGATAGTATCTAGGGCAGGTGACAACATTGGTTGTCTGCATGACAACATCGCTCTGGTTACTGTTCGGTAGAGTACTGGACTACTGGGAGTTACATGCAGTTATGCACTTGCCAAGACAAGTGCCGGAGACTTTCAGAAGAGCATTTGTCAACAGGGAAGGAAAGTCAACGAAGAAAATGCAGCTGACTGCTTGCGGCTTTCATGCCGTGGTTGCCGGGTGCGGTCGTACAACTTCGACTGCAACAGCTGCGGCAGTTGTAACTGGAAGTGACGCACCGCACCGCAGGCGCTGTGCGAGTACAACATAACTAATTACCTGATACCCATTGAAGTATAATAGTCGGTGATACCTCCGTACAAGTCCGAAACCAGCCGCTACCTACTCTAGGGCTGTATAAGCCAGATCGAGTAGAAGACAAACAATGGCGGCAGTCCTACTCTAAAGACTCAATTGGGACTGAACGGTCCAAGAGCGCGGATATGCATAGGCATTCTTAGTCCAGTTGTTGTAGGGAATACAGTAACTACCGTAAGGACACCGTCGACTCCTATGCCCGGTATCCCCGAGCCGAGTCTAAAAAGATCTTTGCCCCGAATTCAAAGAGCGTTATGACAGTTCAATGGGACGTTAATTTCCAGCGTGTGCTAGCGGTGACTGAATTATTAATCAACGAGCTGCCAGTGCTTGAGCATGGAGCAGGCAGGAGGGAACGACTAGCAAAGTCGGCACTTTGCTCCTGCCGTACTCCGACTTCTTCCCCACAATGGGACGGGCCCGGACCTTCCCAATGTAAAAAGAATGACGCGCCAACTCAATCGCGGCCTTGACGAAGGTTGCGTCGAATGAGGGAGACGACGTGGAAGGAGGATCTGCCGGGAACGATGGGTCGTTGAAAGCTTATTGCCGCCCTGGTGACTTTATCCCTTCCGGTTATCTTCTGCTGCCTGCCCTGCCAGGTGAATACGTACAAATGCTGCTCCCTCCTGTGCTTCATCTTCCCTGCATCTACACGAGTTCCTTGTCTAATTAAAATTCCGTCTGTACTGAAGCCGCGGTTCTCCCTTGTCCAAGCCTTCAATTGTTTATTAGCACGTCCGACTCTCACCACCGTTATATTCCCGGGCATGACCCACGTTTCTGCTCCGTGTTGGAATTTTCCCTAAGGAATTGGTTGTCACTTCACCTCCGGATACTGGGACTCATACACCGTTGGTGTTTGTGTACAATACAATACGCTCTAAGCTGTCATCATCGTGGCGCCCGCATCGCCATCTTTCGTAGCCTGTTCGTGCCTCGCTTGAGGCTCGGGCCGCGGCTGCTCGACCATGGCAGTGGATATTGCACAAGAAAAGGGCAATGGAGCTGACAGCCCGACCCCATTGAGCCGCACTCCTTCTCAGTCCTCACACGCTACGCCGATCTCAGAACAGGATAAAGGGATAAATGAGACAGAATTCCCAACGAAAGAGAGCATCGATGACCCAGACAGAGTGCTTGCCCAGGGCGACCAGAGGGACGCGTTGAATCGCATGAGGAGCTATGCTACCGCCACCAGCGTTACCAGCACAACGGCAACCAACAGACTGCCGGAGCAAAAGCCCTGGTACAAACAGCCAAACCCGCTACGATGGGGCAAGATCACCCCAGTGCCCAAGGAGAGGGCCGTATGTCCGGAGTACAAGGCTGGATTCTTCAGTCGCTTGATATTCCACTGGATTGCCCCGTTGATGAGTACGGGCTACAAACGGCCGCTCGAGCTCAACGACATCTATACCGTCAACCCGGACCGCGCGGTTGATCCTCTGACCAAAAAGATGCGGGAATCCTTCAAGCGCCGCGTCGCCAATGGCGATAAGTACCCGCTTCTCTGGGCCATGCATGAGACCTTCTTCGTCGAGTTTTGGATAGGCGGTCTCTGCCAGCTTTTGTCTACCATTCTTTCAGTCATGTCTCCCTTCGCCTTGCGCTACCTGATTCAATTCGCTACCGACGCTTATATCGCGAGCTCCGTGGGCCTCCCGGCGCCGCATCTCGGTGACGGCCTAGGGCTAGTCTTCGGCGTCACGGCCATGCAAGCGCTGCAGAGCTTGTGTATCAATCATTTCATTTATCGTGGTATGATGATAGGCGGCATGTCGAGGGCCTCCCTGATCAGCTTGATCTATGAGAAGTCCATGGTGCTATCTGGGCGGGCCAAGGCGGGCGGCGCAGAGCTTCCCGATATCCCCGCTGCAACAGCAGCCGAGAAAGGGGGAAAGGAGAAGACTAGTAGGACGAAGAAGGGCTCCACCAAGAACCAGCCGGGTGTGTCCGGCGACGGCGCCGGCTGGAGCAACGGGAAGATTGTAAGTAATCGAACAAAGCACACCTTGATGTAATGGTTTGCGCTGACATATCACTAGACCAACCTAATGAGTGTCGATACATACAGGATAGATCAGGCATCTGGTATGTTCCATGTGATTTGGACCGCTCCCATCGCCTGCCTGATCACCCTTGCCATGCTCCTGGTCAACCTGACCTACAGCGCGCTTGCCGGGTTTGCACTTCTGGTCATCGGCGTGCCTGTGCTCACAAATGCCATCAAGGGCCTGTTCATCCGGAGAAAGGCCATCAACAAGATTACGGACCAGAGAGTGAGCCTCACGCAGGAGATTCTGCAGTCCGTACGCTTCGTCAAATTTTTTGGCTGGGAAGGCTCCTTTCTGAAGCGCCTTGAGGAGTTGCGAAGTCAGGAAATTTCATCCATCCAGGTCTTACTGGCCATCCGCAACGCAATCATGGCCATCAGTTTGTCTCTACCCATTTTTGCTTCAATGTTGTCATTCATCACGTATTCATTGTCCAACCACAACCTTGCCCCTGCCGAGGTCTTCTCCTCGTTGGCCCTTTTCAATGGGCTGAGGATGCCCCTGACCATGCTCCCCTTGGTCATCGGCCAGGCGACCGATGCGTGGTCGTCCATTTCCCGTATTCAGGAGTTCCTCTTGGCCGAGGAACGTGAGGAAGAAGCGATATTCAACCCCGATGCCGAGAATGCCGTGGAGATGCGCGACGCATCCTTCACTTGGGAGAGGACAAAGACCCAAGATGACGAAAAACCCGCTGGGAGGCCCAAGGGCGAGCCAGGAAAGGGGGGACCGAAAAAGAATCGCGGCATTTCACCGACCAATCCCAGCGAGGACGGGAGCGTTGTTACCGAAGAGCAAGAGCCGTTTAAACTCCAGAATCTCAATTTCGAGATAGGGAGAAAAGAACTAGTTGCCGTCATCGGTACGGTCGGCAGCGGAAAGTCCTCCTTGCTCGCCGCTCTCGCCGGAGATATGCGTAAGACGGGCGGAGAGGTCACTTTGGGCGCCTCAAGAGCGTTCTGTCCGCAGTACGCCTGGATTCAGAATACGACTGTGCAAGAAAACATCCTTTTTGGAAAAGAGCTGGACAAGGGATGGTACTCGGAGGTCATCAAAGCGTAAGTATTTGCCCACCCCCCTGTTCCTTCTGCAGTCTTCCGTCTTGCCGATCTTCGCTGACATCTGTAGTTGTGCGCTGCAACCGGACTTGGACATGTTGCCGAACAATGATCTGACAGAGATCGGCGAAAGGGGTATCACCATCTCGGGAGGGCAGAAACAACGGCTGAACATTGCGCGGGCTATCTATTTCGATGCCGACATCGTCTTGATGGATGATCCGTTGAGCGCAGTTGATGCCCACGTCGGACGCCATATCTTTGACAACGCTATTCTTGGCTTGCTCAAGGACAAATGCCGAATCTTGGCAACGCACCAACTTTGGGTCCTGAGTCGCTGTGATCGGATCATCTGGATGGAGGAAGGCAAGATACAGGCGATTGATACTTTCGACAACCTGATGAAGAACTCAGAGGGGTTCCAGCAATTACTGGCATCAACGGCCGTGGAAGAAAAGAACGCCGACTCAGCACCTACTCAAGGCCTAGCGGACGGCGGCCAGCTCAAAAAGAGGAAGAAGGGTAAAAGCCTAATGCAGGCCGAGGAGAGAGCTTTAGCCAGTGTGCCGTGGTCGGTATATGCATCCTACACCAGGGCGTCGGGCACAATCCTGAACGCCCCATTAGTCCTCGCGCTCTTGGTGTTGTCACAAGGAGCCAACATCGTGACAAGCCTCTGGCTGTCATACTGGACCTCTGACAGGTTCAGGCTGTCCACAGGGGTGTACATCGGTGTCTACGCGGGTCTCGGTGCCGTTCAAGCGTTGATCATGTTCGGCTTTATGGTGTCGCTCTCCATCTTCGGCACGCTTGCTAGCAAAACGATGCTGCGAAACGCCATCACGAGGGTGTTGCGCGCGCCCATGTCCTTCTTTGACACGACGCCGCTTGGCCGCATCACGAACCGCTTCAGCCGCGATGTCGACGTCATGGACAACAACCTCTCGGATGCGATGCGCATGTATTTCTTCAGCATTGGTAGCATTATTTCGGTATTTGCGCTGATCATCGCCTTCTTCCACTACTTCGCCATCGCGCTGGTTCCCCTGGCCCTGTTGTTCGTGTTTGCCGCGAGCTATTATCGCGCATCAGCAAGAGAGGTCAAGCGATTTGAGTCTGTGCTTCGTTCCAACGTCTTTGCCAAGTTTGGCGAAGGCTTGTCTGGGGTTGCGAGCATCCGAGCATACGGGCTGATGGATCGCTTTATCACGGACCTTCGCAAAGCGATTGACGAGATGGACTCGGCTTACTTCCTCACCTATTCCAATCAAAGGTGGCTGTCAGTACGGCTTGACATGATCGGCACCGCCCTCTTTTTCACCACTGGAATTCTGGTCGTAACGTCGCGGTTTTCCGTTGACCCGTCGATAGGCGGCCTCGTGTTGTCATACATCTTGGCCATCGTCGGCATGCTCCAGTTTACTGTGAGGCAGCTGGCTGAAGTCGAAAACGGCATGAACGCTGTTGAACGACTTCACTACTACGGAACGGAGCTTGAGGAGGAGGCGCCACTGAAGACCATTGAAGTCCGCAAGACATGGCCGGAGAAGGGCGAAATCATCTTCGACAATGTCGAGATGCGATACCGGCCGGGGCTTCCTCTGGTCTTGCAAGGCCTCAGCATGCATATTAAAGGGGGAGAGCGCGTCGGTATTGTTGGCCGCACTGGCGCTGGCAAGAGTTCCATCATGTCAACCCTCTTCCGACTGGTTGAACTCTCAGGAGGGCACATCACCATTGACGGTCTTGACATCTCAACCGTCGGCCTCCACGACCTGCGCTCGCGCCTCGCCATCATCCCGCAGGATCCTGCTCTGTTCAAAGGCACCGTACGCAGCAATCTCGACCCCTTCGGCGAGCACACTGACCTTGAGCTGTGGTCCGCGCTCCGGCAAGCCGATCTTGTGCCGGCGGACGGTGGGCAGCACGCACAAGCACCCGGCGCGGTAGCCAATTCGGGCGCCGACCAGGACGTGGAAGCCGTCGCACCGAGCAATGACAATTCCGCCACTGCCAATACTGGTCGCATTCACCTCGACTCGGTTGTCGAGGAGGACGGCCTAAATTTCTCGCTGGGCCAGCGCCAACTGATGGCTCTGGCACGGGCGCTGGTTCGCGGCTCACAGATCATTGTCTGCGACGAGGCGACGTCAAGCGTCGATATGGAGACGGATGACAAGATCCAGGCGACCATCGCCAACGGGTTCCGAGGAAAGACTCTGCTGTGTATCGCGCACCGCCTGCGCACCATCATCGGGTACGACCGCATCTGCGTCATGGATAAGGGGAAGATCGCGGAGATGGGTCCGCCGCTGGAACTGTGGAAGATGGAAGGGGGGATCTTTAGGGGGATGTGCGATCGCAGCGGGATCCGCGTGGAGGATATCCACGGGGCTAGGGAAGAGTTGGGCCCAGGGCCGGCTGCTGGTGCGGACGAAGAGAAGTTGGAAAAATCAGAGGCATGATAGAGGCTAAGATTTGTCGAGAGGGAGTAGCTTAGCTGCGAGATTTGGGACTGGAAGATTTGAAGCGAGTACGTGCTAGACATGGCGTGTGTTATGTTCGAATTTCCGGTGTTTGGAGCCTTGGGAAATCATGGACATTATAGAAGTACATAAAGTGCAAAGGATTTGCTGGGCGGAATGAGGAGGTTCTCAGGTAACTGCTCCCTTTTGGATACAAAAGTGATATTTCAAGTCCTGTGTAAGGCTATGAAGCAGATATCGTGGCTAGCGACCATATTCAAATAAGTCACGAATCCATTTTTGTACGCCAACGATGTGAATTCGGGAGCTCTTGACCGTCGTCAGCAATGTTTCACCAGCGTTGTGGACGCACGCAGTACGACAACGCACATGTCCCTGCCATGTACTCCAGCCATGTATGTACCATCGGGGACATTGTCCAACGATAACATTGGTCTCAGGTGCGCAACGATACATCTATTCCGGTGGCTTCCTTGCCAAACTCCAAACGGCGAACATCTGTGTAATTAGACATATATGACCTAGGGGATAGTGCAGAAACGCAGATCACATATAGCGCCTTCGAAGCAGGAAGGTAGGACATGTTCATTACTGTACTGGGAATAACTGTAAGGACAAGAAAAGGAGAGCATATCTACTATAGGGGGAATATGAATCTGTCTTGAAAAAGTTGAGAAGCAGTCCCTGTCAAACCCAGCGTTGCAAACACCTCGTTCTGATGCCGCATGACAAACCAGACTAGAAAACGGGCGAGGGAATAAGAACGAGAAAAGGGAGGAGAACGGGAAAAAGGTCTGCGGGCAGGACACATCGGACCACCAACAACTCCCCAGGTACACCCACACACAGAGACGCCCACACAGAGATTTTCCCAAGGCGCAGCAATGCACTTCATACAGCCTCTCCCAGTAAACAGTAAAGCAGAACAACCGGCCCCCAAATGCGAATATCACGGGCTGTTTCAGAACCCCTATACACCACCCTCCAACCCCTCCACATGAAGAAAAGAAAAAAAAAAAAGCAAACAAGAATTAATACCTCCCCCGCCCCTGAGGCGACGGGGTCCCGCTCGGGGGGAACATGCCGGGTTGCTCATCCAACAAGTCATCCAGGTACGCGCTGGGCGCTCGGGCGCCGGGACTAGGGGGCCGGTTGAGGTTCAGCGAGCTGGTGCTAAAGTTGCGCGAGACCACTCTGGGCCCCACGTCGGGCGACTCAGGCGGCGACGGTCCCAAAGCGCGCCCGCGCGATGAGGGCCGCAGCGTGCTCATGCTGATCGAGTTGCCGTGTCCGTGTCCGTGGCCGCCGCCGCCGCCGGGGACGGGCGAGGCAGAGGCGTAGAAGCCCGACGGCAAGAAACGCGCCGAGTCGCGGTTTGAGGCGCCGGTGGCGCTGCCTAATGCTGATGCGGACCCCGCGGCGGTGGGTGAGAAGAACAGGTTCGTTTGGCTCGGTGTGGCGGAGGGAGTCGGGCCCCGGTGGGTTCGCCGTCCAGCGGATCCAGCGGCGCCGCCGCCCATCCCCGCGCCGGCGAGGGAGGCGGACGATTCGCGCTCGATGTACTTATAGAACTGGGCGGGCGGTGCGGGGAACGAGGCAGCGTTCTTGTCGCCTCCCTTGCCCAACGGCGCGTTGTTGGCTGCGTGTTGGGCCATGGCAGCGCGCTCGACGGATCGGTGCAGCAGGCAGGCGACGATGCCCCGCCAGGCAAGGATGGCGAGGCCGAAGGCACCAAGAATGGCACCCACGGCGATGAAGACGGTGCCGTCGGGGAGCTTGGAATGGTTCATAAAGGGAGCGTTCTGGGTCGGCGGGATCGTCGGTGGGGGGTACTCGGGTATATCAGTCGAAATGGTTGTTCTCGTAAGGCTCGGCATGGGGGGCCGCGTGCCCTGTGATGTCGTCGAGGAGGAGCTCAGGCCTGGCAGAGTCGGTATGGGACTGGATGATGATACTGATGTCGTCGTTCGTTGGGATGTGGTCTGGGTAGCGCCGGTGGTTGTTGTTTGGGATGTCTGCTGGGCAGTTGTTGTGGTGGGTGTATCTGGTGTTTCTGTAGTCGTCTCATCGTCGTCATTTTGAGCCAGTACACCGGCCGCAAAAAAGGCAGAGAGCAAGAGGACACGCCTCAATGACAGCCGTGATGACCCCATGATGGCGGTTTGTATCTGGTAAGGCTCAGCAGCGATGAGGGAAAAGGAAAGAAGGCAAAATTGAGTCGGTGGCGCAAGGGGTCCCGATGCCGTGCTACTGCTTCTCGGCGCCGGTTGCTTGTTGTTTCCACACTCGAGGGAGCGACCCTCTGTGGTCGAGCCGTAGGGCTGTGGATGCGGCTTGAGTTGACGTGCGAGGTTTCACGACCGAGTGCTGCGACTGCGACTGCGACTACTCGGCTAGATCGGGCCAGAACGGGGATGGCGATATCTGAACAAAGGACTATCCAAAACGAGAGGAAGCGACGCGCATTTCAACGGCCGGCTGTAAAAAGATGGAAGCAGATGGTTGATGGCACCATTCAAATCATTCCCTGGCCGTCGTCAAATGTCGGGAGAAAGGAGGCGCCTCGTGATTGGGACCGACGCCCAGGCCAGGACTGGCTGACAAGCAAGGGACATGGCGGCGCAGGGGAAAACAGGACACGAATTTGCGCCATTTCACACCTTAAAAGAGCCTGTCGGCTGTACTTGTACCTAGGACCGTCTCAGCTTGCATGAGGCGGTACTTGCGAATACCGTATGTGTGGAAGCCGGCACGGTCACCCACCTTTTCCCTATGAGAATGAACTGGCAGGTTATTTGCTGCGATATCTAGGCGCAATATTAGGCGAAGCTTGCTCTTGTTCCTCTTTCATGATTTTGAAGCAAAAGATCTCACACATAATCAAGTCGGGAGTCTGCATGTCATTTGCGGCTTGCATCCTCTCTGCGGTCTGGTCTGGTGCCGGACTCTGCATGTCTGACATATGGAAGCAAGCATGGCGTGCGTCAACCCTGCTTCTCGGCAAGCCCTGAGTGTTCAAGCGTTTAATTTGCACGGTGTGCCCAAGTCCCTCGTGTATCTGGAACGTGCGTTGCACTTTCCAAATTAGCCTGCGCTCTGGTCCCTGACAGCCCGCTGGCAAGCAGGTGGCTCCAGTTGCCTTTACAAATGTTTACGGAAGTTTCCTGCACTCAAAGTCAGAACCACCAAGTAACGAAACGGGGAGCTAACATCAAAGCCGCAAAACTCATGCCTGCCGTATGTTAAACAGTCGCCACTACAACGGGAAAAAAGCACTGGATATCCGCATCGCCGACATCAGCCAAATCCGTGGAGTACTCCAGCAAGCCATCACTTTCAGAACTTTAAATCTCGTATCCATACCGCGGCGAAAACTTCAGCATGGGTGTCGCCAAACGGACCAGAAAATTCGCTACTGCACGTGACCTTGATATTGAACTTTCAACACGTCTTTGAAGACATGCTAATGGTTGGCTCAGGTCAAGCGCATGATCGGCCGGAACGATGACCGGCGCAAGGAAGAGGCTGTGAAGAAGGCCCAACTGGAGCTAAAGAAGAAGGAGAAGGAAGCAGTCCGGGAGGTGTAGGTCTTGGCCTGGTCCGCCGTTGATGCTGTTTCTAGGCTAACTTGTTGATCTCAGGCCTCAGATGCCTTCTTCAATGTTTTTCGAGCACAATACAGCCTTGGTGCCGGTGAGTGTTTCCCTCGACTTGCACTTGAGGGCGTTGCTAATCGAGAAACAACAGCCTTATCAAGTACTAGTGGTATGTCCCTCAAGGGGTTGAGCTTGCAGGATTCGTTTCTCTGACGGGTCTTAGGACACCAATTTTCTTTCAAGGACGGTGGGAGCCAAGCTGCCGTTGTTGGAGACCGTACGTTCATGACCCAACCTCATTGCCGAGAAAGCTGACTGACTTCCGCCAGGCAATGGACTGCCTCTACGCCTCATGTAATATCATCATCACGTCCTGTGTTATGGCGTAAGGCTTCCAATTTCGCGACCGAGGATTGCAAAAGACTGACAATCTGTTACAGCGAGTTGGAAAAGCTGGGTCCCAAGTACCGCATTGCGTTGATGAGTGAGACAGCCCAGAGGGTTCTGCGACATCTACCACAAGAAACTGACTTGGACTAGTTGCCCGGGATGAAAGGTGGACGCGCCTTACCTGTGACCACAAGGGCACCTATGCCGACGATGTACGTGGACCTTGACACTCCCCAGCTCAATCTAGATCTGCCTGCTGACATCGTGCTAGTGCATTGTGGACCGGATCCAAAAACACCGCATTTACATTGTCGCCAGTAGGTTCCTTGATCATCCACTGTCTTGCGTTTTCTAACCTGAACCGCAGCAAACGATCGTGATTTGAAGAGGAGAATCCGCAAGGTTCCTGGCGTGCCTATCATGTCTTGTGCTAAGGGGAAGTACGTCATTGAGAGACTTCCTGGCGCGCCCGCCACTTGAGAGTTTTGCACCGTTCTGGGTCTTAACTTTACGGATTTTGGACGACTGCGACGTACAAGGGGCATGCCGATGGACCGGCATACCTGGATCACTGCAAGATGCGGGAGTTAAGGCGCCCGCGCATTTATGGGGGCCGCCTTGATACCGTATCATGCTGGACCGCCCGAACTTCGCCCCGGTGATTCCTCCGTCGTTTGAGAGCGAGACAGGGAAGACACCTTACCGGGTACCCGTCCCGGTGTTACATGGATCCCGCTAGGGACGTTAGTTTAAGCACGCTGCCAGCATCTCCACGGAGATGCCTCCTTTCAAAGCTTCATGCTGGAATGAGACGGCACGCCTGGTATTTTACATGTACCTAGTGTGAGATCTGGAACACCAGACTCTAAATAGACGGCGGGCTTAATAAGTATAACCACAGGCCCGGGACGCTGGCGGCGTTTATTTAGTGCCTTCCGCCGCTCTGGGTTTACTTCTCTTCTCCACGCCATCTATCCTCGTCGGTGACCGGAGGTGTATTGTACAAGTACATACACCACCTTAATTCAATGATTATACACCACCGGGCTAATAGGACCTTTAACACTTATCCTGGAACTGTCATGTTCTTCAGCGTTACTGTGATGCCCCGGGCTGAATTACAATATCCGCCCTGAAACCATTCATGTTGTCAATGATCGACTGGCTTCCATCCAGGAATTGTGAAGCTTCATTTGCTGTCTTCAGTGGTGAATATCAAGGCCTCAACATTGCTTCGTAGACTTCCCGGGGATAGATCTCGAAAGGCCAATCAGTACCGTGTCTGCGTGTTTAATTCTAGGTGCTTCCCGTGTTATGCTTGCCCTGGAGCCCCTCTAATAGTGCACACTACACGTCGGCAGAGTGCTTGGTTTTGGCTCCTTGTCCGCCCCCCTTAGCGCTTGGTGCGTAGTCCGTAGTACGGTCCGTCTACTGATGTCGCTACTCGGAGCGGAATGCTGAGGACATTGCCAGCGGTGAAGAACTTTTCAAAGATTTCCACTCAGATCAATGGCTGTGGAGTCTCTGGGCCCCACACGGCCGGAGACAAAGTTGGATGGATCCCGATCAGCCCAGGGGACCGGGAGACAGAATTCGACAGGAATGCATCATATCGATCTAGTTCCGACCTGCGGGAACTGATGCCCAAGAAAGACCGAACCCGTCACACAACGTCTGCGAGGCGAGCCTGTCTGCACAATGCGGAGCCGGCCGACAAGATCAGGTTACCTAGGCCGTACTCTCCGCTGCCTGCGCCGTCCTCAATTATCTTTTCCCCCGCGATTCGGAGTGTATCCGCCAGCAAGTAAAGTTGCGGGGAAGAACGGCCGGCTAGCCTCGGTCATGCGTACCTAGTCTATGTATAATATCGGCCGTTCGTTGTCGCTATCCCGGGCGTTCCATCGCAGCTCCGCCGGGCTTCGAAGTTCGAACCAATGTCAGTCTTTCGCAGAAAACTTTCAGGAAGATTTTTTTGTCAATGTTAGGTTCGCCGCGGAGATGTCAGCCCCGCTTGGTGCATTCCGTGACGCATTGCGCAACCCAAGGATGACGGAAGAGGGCCTGGGCCTGCCCATAAAGGTGTTAGCGGCCCGGTTTGTACGTAATTGAAAAGAGAGGCGATGCCCGGCTTCCCAGTCTTTTCGACGTTCGACAACCGACGAGCTCGAGCACCATCACACCCCCAGCCTCTTCGGACCGCTCATTCTCGACGAATCCTGCCCCCCTCCTTCCCCTTTGCTTTTCGAGCTCGGTCGTGAAAACGTTCCAACGCAGCCAAAACGGCTAATAACCAGCTTTTTTACGGTACTTCAGAGGTTGCCCTGTGGATGCCGTGGACCTGAGACAGCAGGGACGGACAAAACGGACAATTTCTTGCTATGAATCCGGCCGCCTGGTGAGTTGGCTGGCGTTCGGCGAGCCCAACCAGCGTCCTGGATTGCCGCCCGTGCAGCAATCTCGAAGCTGCGAGTCTGCGTCTGCTGTGTTTTGTGCTTGAAGGCATCTTTTGTTGTTCAGCCGCCAGTTGGGCCCATGGCAATGGCTGTCGACAACAGCGGATCTGCCAAAGAATCATGAACTTTATTGGATAATTAGTCGGCAATTCTGGATAAGGGAGTAATCGTCGAGTAAGAATAACCTCTTAGCTGCATACGACTGCGTCAGACGACTGTTCTCGTTTTTTCTCTCTCCTCTTCTCTCCGGATTGGCGCCGGTAGCACCTCCCGTCATGGATTCTGAGAAGGCAAGTGCCTGTCAACCGCAAATTGGCCGTTTGGGATAGCTTGCCCATGCGTTTTTGATACGCTCAACAACTGGGCTCAAAGTTTCCAGTCCGGAAAGCGCAAGCGGCACGGCAGCAACCGAATTAATCTTTCCTTTAGCAGCGCCTATTACATTCCTGTACGACAGGCAGTTGTCTGGAGGTACAGTACTAACAAAGCACCAGTTGTTGGTCTGCTGACATTGACGCATCTGCATATTGTGCCTCGTGCGTCGATATGCCTTATCTACAGGATCCAGTTTTCCGGCCTCGTCCTTTGCTATCTGGCTATCCCTGCATGGGCGGGCCATTTCTGGGTCGTGCCTGGCTGATGGTGATGAATTGCATGCTTTGGGCGAAGAGACTCACTGGACCCCTGGATTCTGTGACAAACAGACACTCGCTCTCTCCAGCTATTCTCTCCATCGCGCGGCGCATACACGCATAAAGCTGCTACTATTACGAGAGCCGAGAATCGGCCTTGTAAGGATCCTGGCACGTGGAAAGGTTTGCTTGATTTGGGATATTGTCTCCTGCTTATCGTCTCCATCATCGACCTGGTTAACTACCTGCCTTTCTCTCACTTTCTCTCCTTACTACAACGGGATAACCGCTCTGCCGTCCTCGCCGATTGGTGGTCCGAGACGGTGACCTTCGTGATTCTTGATTTCTTTCCTCTTTCAGCAGTCTTTTTTTGTACTTTCCTTTCCCTGTCCGTCCTGCTAGGCCCTCGCTCTGTGGATACGGTGGGTGCTTGCCCCATTCCTCCTGTCTCTGTCCCCAGTATACACTACTCTAGACGGCCGACACCAACAAACAAGCCATTGCCGGTTGTGGAGAACCGGCTCGCCTGCCCGGGCCAGAGCTTGATCCGATTTGCTTCTCTTTGTTAGCTCGTTGGCTAAAGTAACCCGTACCTAGCTTGCTGGGTCTCCTTTCGATGGCTGCAGTCAGTCATGTGGACAAGCGTCTGGATTTCGTCTGTTGTGTCGTACGTCCTTCATTCATAGAGACCATCGGTGACCACATAGAACGGCCGTCTCAACCCAACGGACTGCTTTCTTCGGGTGTCACCTTCCGTTCGCCTTCTGCCTTCTTCTCTTTCGCTGTCCATTTATTTATCTGTCCGTAATCGTTTATCAGCTCCCCGTCTCGACCTCTGCCCCGCAATCTTGGATGAACCCCACTAACAGATAAACGCGATCAGAATAATACGCCATTCTGCGCCGAGCTCGATCTGCCCTTCCCGTGATATGCGCCGCCAGCTACCCGCGAAGGTTCACGACCAATCTACGCCTGCTGCAGGACGGTCCTGACCGCTGCCTGTGCGCCTCTGCGCTGCACGGTTTCCCGGCTTCTTTCCCGACCAGAACAATTCTGCATCCGAAATCCCTACGCCCGGGCGCCCACCATCCTACCCACGTTCCAAACTCAAGGAAGGACTTTTGTTCCTAGCAGCTGCGCACACTGTAGAAGGCTGTCTGGCGCACCAGCGAGACTCTGGCACGAGCGGCTGGGTCAGTCAGTATTGAAACCTTTTCGGGCAGCTTTGCGCCCCGACTTCTTCCGCAATGGCGACCGAATTACACTCGGAATTGCCCATCAGACCCGTCCCGAGGGACATTAGAATTGTCACCACCGCCGGCAATGACGAGAGGAGACACAAGCACTCCCGGTCTTCATACTCAGAGGCATCCCCCCTGACATCCAGGAATAATTCGTTGACCTTTCGTCCCGCGAAGCGGCCAATGCCCTCGCCCGACAAGACCATTGCTGTCATCAACGCCAGTGGAAGGCAGGCAGCTTCCCTCATCCGCGTGGCCACCGCTGTCGGTTATCATGTACGAGCACAGTTGAGGAATTTAGAGGGCGTAGTCGCTACCGAGGTAGCGACGAACCCAAATGTGACAATTCTCCAGGGCGAGCTATACACCAAGGAACGTCCCGCAGAGACGGCCAATGTGGATGTGACACAAAATGGCCCCATCTCCGGCATCGGTGTGAACCACGCCCTAATCTCAGAGCTGTTCCGAGGCGCCCAGCTGGCCTTCATCAACACGACATTCTACGGTGACGAGCAACGAATTGGGGAGGCCCTCGCAGACGCCGCTAAAAGGGCCGGAATCCAGCATTATATCTACTCCTCGATGCCAGACCACCACGTCTATAACAAGGACTGGCCATCGCTGCCGCTGTGGGCATCCAAGGACAAAGTTGAAGCGTACGTTAAGAAGATCGGGCTGCCCTGCACCTTTGTCTACACGGGCATTTACAACAACAACTTTACGTCGCTGCCGTACCCCCTTTTTTGCACCGAGCTCCAACCAGACGGTTCCTGGATCTGGCAAGCGCCTTTCCACCCTGACGTCAAACTCCCCTGGCTCGACGCCGAACACGATGTGGGCCCTGCTATCCTCCAGATTTTCAAGGACGGCGTCAAGAAGTGGGGGGGCGGGAAGCGCATCGCCCTCGCCTATGAGATGCTCTCCCCCAAAGAAGCTTGTGAGGTTTTCTCGCGGGGAGTTGGCCGGCCAGTACGCTATATCCGAGGCCCGATTGAGATCAAGGTCAAAATTCCCGAGGGATACCGCTGCCAGCTGGAGGCGCTTGAGGCCCTCTTTGGGCTTGGCAAGGATGACCCCACGAAGCAGCCCCCTTACTTTGGCGACATTGAGCTGGAGAAGAGCTGCCCGACAGTGGCCATGGAGTTGTGGGAGGGCCCGCGCGGTCTCGAGGAGTATGCGCGGGAGGTGTTTCCTCTAGAGGAACAGGCAAACGGGCTGACATGGATGCTGGAGGATGACAATGCCAATCATCATGGCAATGGCTACGCTCACATTCAAGAGCATCCACACCAAAATGGCGACATTTCGACAGAGCCGCCTGAATCAGACGCCGAGGACGACGACGAGGGCCTTGTCATGAGGGGGTTGAAGCGGGACGATGAGGAGTGGCTCGCTTAGGATGCGACGAATCCATCTCCATCTTTGTCATGATAAATCACATCAAACGCATTTGCCCTGGAGCGCGGCGAAACGATAACGAGAAAAAAAGGTGCTGTGATTGGGTCGGATTCGAAGGATCATTTGGTTGGCGAGCGGTTGGGCGGTGCCAATCTTGCTTGCCTTTGCCGTGTATTTTGCGCATCCCTCTGTCTTTATATAGGCGTTTCATGGCGGTCACGGCGATGATGTTCCGAGGCTAAGGTATTTGAAAAATGAAAAAGTGGTTCAGTGGCAACATTTTGAGTTGGATGAATGTCGCATTTACCCCTGTAAGCCATGCTCTTCGTGAGGTTCGTCCCGGAGCCTTTCTGCTCTGACGCAACTTGAAGTCGTGGCGTCAAGAACTTGCAAGAGCGGCTAGAGAACATCCTTAGTCCATACAAGCCTACCCGCCTGCCAGCTAGACGCACTTTGTGATAGGCTCGCACACTGCGGGCCGGGCTCGTACAGAAGTTTATTACAGATTATATATTCTACATATAGTAGATAGATGTAGGACCCCTAGATTCGGGAGAATCGCCATCCCCCCATCCATCTTCGACTCTACTCGAGCTCGAACGCCAAGCTGAATAGCTTGCCTTTTCCAAGCCCGGTTCTCTCTCTTACCCTCATCATCCGTCCCATCAGGAAACGTTTTAAAGCTTGCCCTTTGCGAGGTTGCCCAGCATCTGCTTGCCCGTCAACCATGTGGTGCGCCACAAGGTGGGGAAGTCGAGCGTGCTGGTCAGGCCGTCGGCGAAGCCGAAGAAGAGCATCGGGGGGATCCAGCCGCGCGCGTACTCGAGCGCGAAGCAGCTCTCGGGCATCCTGTACTGCTTCACGTCGCCCCGCCGGAGGTGGTGCACGCTGCCCGGAGGGTATATCTCGGGCTCGTACTCCCCGGGAACGTAGGCGTGCTGCTCCCCGGTCAGGATGTGAAAGTAGTCGTCGGCCGTGTGCCGCCCCGTGTGGCCCTCGGTGCCGACGGCGGTACCGAAGATGATGAGGTACTCGGTGATGCCTATATGGTGTGTTAGGAAAGAGGAGGGGTCGGATTGATGGTCCTAGGGGGAAACGCACTAGCATGAATAATGTACATGGCCCCCATGGCGCCGCCGGCATTGTTGAAGACCCACTGCTCGTCCAGGTTGACGTAGCTGGACAAGCTGGGCTGGCCGCTCAGCTCGTCGACAATGTACTTGACGATGGCGCGCGTGTTGTTGCCGTGCAAGTCGATGCCGCGCTGGCTGACTTCCTTGAGCTGGTCGAGGTCGAATACGTAAAAGGACTCAAGGTTCTGCTCCAGCAGGTATACGATCGGGGTGAACACGCCAAGCAGGATGGCGATCAGCTTGAGCCAGCCGCCCATCCCGGACGACTGCTTGGGAGATGATTTCGGCGCCATTGGGGGATGGCAGAAAGGGGGAAGAAAAGGAGGAAGGGGAGGCTCAAGATGGAGGAAAGAAGGAGGTGGTCCTGCAACATCACCAGAGATTCTACGAGGTGTAAGCCCAAAAAATTGAAGGGCGCAAGAGTTTACTTAAGGAGCGCTCTTCGGAGTTTTTTGCGCGTCGCGCGGATCGCATGCCGTCCAAATCTTGGCCCCCGAGCAGGCAGGCGGTGAGGGGTGATTGCCAGGGGCTGCACGCTAATCTGTGGGGCTGAAGACACAAAGGAGCGAATCAAAAACCCCCGCTTCCAGCTTCCACAGGACCGTGGACTGGCAGAACTGCCCTTGGCGCACGTTTTTTCCCACCTTGCTCTTCGAAGACTCGAACCACCCGGAAACCGAGTTCCCGGCATCTGCCAAGCATCCCGCGATCTGAGCCCGCTTTCTTCATACGCGCCATCCCATTGCTGGAAGAGGCTGTAACGGTTGGAGAAGTGACCTAGCAACGAACCGCAGCAGTCGATCCCGCTGATCCGGGCCCGCAACTGGCATACGTCCCAACCGACAATGGCGACCTCGACCGCCGCCCGGGCTGCACCGCCCTCCCTCGCCCTCCCCGGCCAGCTCCTCGGCCCTGCATCCAAATATCAGCCAGGGCCAGGCACACACGTGCACGAATCGCACCTGTACTCATCCCTGCTCGGCACCGTCCACGTCACCCAGCCAGCGAAAGCGCCCGGGCCAGCGAAGCGGTTGACAAAAATCACACCGGCTCCCGCGCCCGCAGAGCTGCCAACCATCTCGGTCGTCAGGACGGCGCCGGGGGTGGCAGGGTCTGGGTCGTCCTCGGAGTACAGTATCAAGAAGCACCGCGAGGTGCTGCCCGAGGTGGGCAACATTGTGCTCTGCCGCGTGATCCGCATCACGCCGCGCCAGGCCGTCGTCGCCATTCTCGTGTGCGGGGATACCGTGCTGGACGCCGAGTGGCAGGGTTTGATCAGGGTGCAGGACGTGAGGGCGACCGAGAAGGATCGCGTCAAGATCTACGAGAGCTTCCGGCCGGGGGATATCGTTCGGGCCGAGGTGGTATGTTGAGCTTCATAAGGGGGAGGAGGGTTGGTATTGCTAACTGGGCCGCTTCACATTTTGCAGATTTCGCTAGGTGACCAGGCCAATTACTACCTCTCGACGGCGCGCAACGAGCTGGGTGTCATCCTAGCTACAAGCGAATCTGGGAACACCATGTATCCGGTGAGCTGGAAGGAGTTTCGAGATCCAGAGACGGGCTTGGAGGAACTCCGAAAGGTCGCGAAGCCCTTCTGAGGTTAGTGTATCACTGTGCCTGAAGGCAAGGTGATCTCCCAAGCACCACACTGGTTGGATCTGCTCAGTTCAAAGGGGTCTCACTTCGGAAGCCAGCTATATAGCAGGGCTCGAGTTAACGAAGCTTGGAATTGCTTCATGCCACCGGCCATGCATTGAACTAGCAGGCCACGGGAGTCCCATTTTGGCTGCATGCCATGACATATTCTAATGTTCATGCAGGGCGCGCTGATATCGCCGCCCTATCTCAAGAAAGCCAATGCGCCGCTTACCGGGTGGGAGGACGCGGCGGCTTCTTTCTCGGAGCCGGCAAGCTGAAGTGTGGATAGAGTTGGGATTCCAGGGAGCGCCCTGCATTCGCTCAGCACGGTGCCTGGCTTCCGTTGCATGACAAGCATGCGCTAACACCCTATTTCAGGGCTTATGGAACCGGGACAAGATCCAGCCCAATCAAGTTCTTGTTTGGTATTCATACCTGCAGCTACCTTTTTCCGCGTGGCACTCTCTGCGGGAGATCTTGTACTTTCGGGTAACATCTGCACAAGTTCATCCTCGTTGCGCAGGACTGATCACTTGCTCGTCCTCGTATCACTCGATGATCGCTGGGCGGCGCAGCAATGCTCAATGCGAGACGTCACCATTTACCAGGCTCAGCAAGTCCAAGCGGCACTTCGTATGTATGTATGTACTCTGAGCTGTCCTGTGATGGGGACCCCATACCGTTATCTGCAAGAAATGGCCTCGCGTTGTCTTAGGGGGTCTGATTTCAAAAAGGGTATCTCGTGTTCTACCATGATTTGGGTATCGAGCCCTTCTTTGATGTCACTCGGTAGGCCGACGTGGCCTGTGTTGGTAATTTTTAGACCCTTAATCCGTGTTGCAGGGCGAGGCAATTGAAATCCTCAAGCGCCAAGCCTCAGCCACCCTCCTGGCCTCCCCACAACCACACACCCAGCCTTTGCGCTGTCCGAAACAACTTCAAGACGCCGACGGCGCTGCTGCTGGGATGCTCCCACTGAATAGTGCAGATAGAACCGCTTATAGGTAGCGACGTCGACTCGACACCTCCTCCTAAATCTCCATGTCGGCCACTACAACCATGACCGTCACAAGCACCGGCACATTGACGGTCACGGCACCCTGCTGTCCACAGTGCGGCTTCGGTCTTTCGTTGCCGCCCTCCGAGGAGACGCAGACGGCCTTGCTCAAAGCGCAGCAGCAAATCGCCGATCTCGAAGCCCAAGTCCGTCTGCTCAACCAGAAAGCATCGGCCGCCGTCGACCGCTGGGCCGACTACGAGGATGAAGTCGCCAGACTGCGCGCTCAGCTCGAGTCGCAATCGCGACAACAAGCAACCACGCCCCCGGTGAAACAGCAACAACCACAACAACAACCAACCTCCCTTCCTACCCCACCCAGCTCCTCAGCCGGCGCCGGCGGGCCCCTCCCGTCCCCTACGCGCGCCTCATTCCTCCTCGCCTCAACAACCAGCGCGGCAACGCGCATCTCGGCTTTGCTCTCCTCCCGCACCAGCAAATCTACCCCGAACCTAAAACCCCTTCCCCCGGGAGGAGGCGGAACAGGACCGTCCATAAAACAAGCACCCCCGCCACCACCACGAAGCCCGATCCCCTCCGTCCCCTCATCAGCAACCTACCCCCCAACAGTAACGGCAGAAGGCTCACTGTCACTCTCACCACCAGCAAGCCTTACCGGCTCCGGCTCCGGCTCCGGTTCCGGATCCGGACAACTTAGCACTGAGGATCTGCTACTAGAAGCGCTCACCCGAGAACAGGCGCTGCGGCGCGAGGCCGAGGGCCGGCTGAGCGCGACGAGCCGCGAGGTAGAGGAGCTGAGCGTGAGCCTTTTCGAGCAGGCCAACGAGATGGTGGCGTCGGAGCGGCGGGCGCGGGCGAAGCTCGAGGAGCGCGTCGAGGTTTTGGAAAGGAGGGAGCTCGACAAGCGGCGCCGGCTGGAGAGGCTTGAGAGTGCGGTCGGTAGGATCGAGAGGGTTAGGGGTTTGCTTCGGGAGGGTGGGGGGAAATAAATCTTTTTTTGCATTCTTTTTGGTTTCTCTTTGGGATAGGGACCGCGAAAAGGTCAGGCTAGGTTACGCGGGTGGGCTAGGATACGGGCGATGATTTTACGAACTAAGACTTACGCACCTACATGTTGTATGAATGGGGCGTCTGCATTTACAGGATGACGGGTCGGAGTCGGTAAAAGGCAAGGAAAGCAAAGGGACATCGGCATATCGGGAACTTCATTGGATAGACGATAATGATGGTTGGAATTGGATTTGTTTTTGGTTCCAACGAAGAAGGCTGTCTATCTTGCGTGTGGCTTCCCATAATCCTATGCAAGTGCAGTCGCTACTTGGATCAACCAGCTCTGCCCTGGTGTCAATCGGCACCGAAACTATTCTTCTTCTGATACGTGGTTCTCTGGTTCCCAAGCCAGAACGGTCACCTTTCTGGAAGACCGCCCCAGAAGCTTTTATGCGGTCACGGCTACGGCTTCCTTGGTATCCTCTACCGTATCTGCACCGTCGGTTGACGTGCTTGCGTCCGGCTGAGGTGTAGACTGCGCCACTTGACCCTCGTCCTTTGGCTGCTTCTGTGTACTTGAATCTTCCTTGCTCTCGGGCGCCGGCACCTTGGAGTGCGGGTTATTCCACAGCTCCAACATCCTCTGCACCTTAGGGGCCCACACTTCTTCTCCCTTTAGGAGATCGTCGTACTCCATACAATTGGCACTGCCCAGGGCAAAGTCACCCTGTCGGGTGCGGCTTAGCTCCGCCATCATGGCACCACAGCCTAGCTTCTCCCCAAGGTCGTGGCATAAAGTGCGAACATAAAAGCCCGACGTCACAGTCATGCGGATCTTGGCCGCGGGAGGGCCCTTGCCTTCCCAAGGTGGCGGCGTGTTCGGGGCCGGAGGCGGAGGAATGAGATTCGAGCCTCGCCCCGCTGGAGGCAGGTGGCCCAGCGCGCCGGACATCATGGGCTCTGCGCGGCCATCGCTTGCTTTTTTGCGCTTCGCCGAGGGCTGCTCCTCGCTGACCAGTGCGTCTACAGCCTCCTCGGCCTCCCGCTTCTTGATATTATACTCGGCTAGTGCCTTGGTCTCCTCCTGTTCCTGTTCCGGCGTCAGCTTACTGGGCTCCTCCTCTAATGCGGCCTGCCGCTTCGCTACGCGCCAGACGGAGTCAACCAGGTTCTTCTCGGCTTGTTCGGCTTCTTCGGCGGGCCAGCGGTGGTTGTGTGTGCCGGGCTCGTACCACTCGATGAGTTCAAGCTCCGTCACTTCGACGTCTCTCGTCTCAATCTCGCGGGGAATCGGCTTGCCCTCGCGCGCGTACTCGTAGAGCGGCTTCCCCTCCATCTTCAACGCCGAATAGAGCGGCGGCATCTGCTTGTACTTGCCGCGGAAGCTCTCGAGCGCCTTTTCCGTGGCCAGACGGGTGACCTCGTCGTACTTGCCCCTTTTGATGATGCGCCCTGTTCGGTCGTATGAGTCGGTGCTGGCGCCGAAGAGGACGACAGCCTCATACGTCTTGGTGCAGGTCAGGAAATTCTGCAGTGACTTGGTGCCCTTGCCCACGCCGAGGATGAGGACGCCCGTGGCCAGCGGGTCGAGGGTGCCGCCATGGCCCATCTTTACCCTAATCTCCTGTTTTGCCTTGCCACGCCGCCGCTTTTGGTATCGCGATTCCTTCTCTCGGGCAATCTTCTCCTGTTGTATCATCGGCGCAAACAGCGTTGAAGGGTTGAAGAAGTTTTGGCAGTCGCGGATAACCTGAGCGGAACTCATACCCATGGGCTTGTTGATGGCTGCGTTTCCCTGAATTAGGTGCATGTCCAGCACATGCAATCGGGATAAGAGCTACACACCGAAGACGCCGTCAAGGACCTTGTCTGTCGCCATCTTCACAAAGTAGGGATGCCAGATGCGCGGAATATGCGGGCGCATAGGCATGGGCGAGTTGTCAGCCGCTAGTGATTGGGTACCCGCCTTTCGTGCCGGCGAGACGTTCAATCAATGAGACATATAGGGAGAGTATGGGTAGAAGCAGATGGCGCTGTGCTGAAGGTTGTGTCCAATGCGTTGCCGGATCAAGAATGTCGGATCGGCTCGGCCATTTTTCTCGTGTGGGGAAGGGCGGGGAGGTGAGGTCCTGGGCCGCCTGGGCTTGGGCGACCTGAAAGTTTATCTGCGCCAGGAGCAGGGGACTAAGGTTATCGATCGGAGGGCACTGAGGGCAGAAGCGTGTTGATTGCGACCAAAGTACGAAGGTACTTGGGGACTCAGCTAAGGTGGGGGAGGCTATGGAAATTGTAGGAAAGCGAAGCCTCTCATTCGTACCTGGTACTTCTATCCAGGCCACGCCAAATTTCCAGCTCCCGCGTTCCCCCTCTGTCGCGTTTCTGGTCCTCTCACTGAATCGCGTAAAAGGAAACCTTGTTTCTCATGCGATTCCGCGAGACGTATCCGATTTCTTCCCGCCACAATCATCACATTTGCCATGGCGGGCAGACCCCGAAAACGCGGGGCGTCCAGCTCCACGGCTGCTACTGCCGACGACTCGCATTCTAACGACTCACATATTCGATGGTCCAAGGAATCGGCGATACTAAAACCGTTACCACCCGACCGCATCGCAGACGAGGATGAATGGCCCATTTTTGTGCTGAGGGATGCGACCATCTACCGTAAAGACGGCAAGACGCTTGCAAACCCTCTGCTTGTCCATCTCCAAGGGCCTTTCGTGATTCGCGGGCTGCTTGAGGTGGACGGCGATAACATCGAGTACCGTGAGAAGGCTCATTTGACCTCGGCCATTCAACACGCTGACGAGTTCCAGTGACCAAGCCCAGTGTGAAGTCTGCCTATATCGAAATACCACTTTCGGACCGCTACTCTATGGGATGGGGGCCGATCACGCTCTGGGCTTCGGGTGCATCAGGCTGGTTCGAGATCAGGCCATCGCCAAAGTTCCAGCCCATGTACGCCGATGTCCGAGAGGCAATCACGCTTTATTTTGGGTTGCTCGAGGCTCACGAACAATATGAATTGGCGTGCGGACACAAGAAGAAAGCCAACTGGCCACCTCCCCCGACCTTGGACGAGATATTTCTCAAGTGTGCTGTCAAGGCAGGCAATGGCATCCTGCGTGATGAGGTCGAGGCCTTGTGCCATAAATGGGCCGAGTTTCTGATCGGCCATTTCACAAGGGATGCCGCCCTGGCGTGGAATGAGACGCGTTTTGCCAAGTGGTTACGACAAGCACATCCAGTATGTCGTAGATCGCTACCCCATATCGTGTAGGCTCGCCTGCTAACAATGACAGGACGTGGATAAGAGGATTGCCGATGCAGCCAAGGGGATACTTCCTCCACCCCCGCCTTCCAAGACAGAGGAGTCAGAAGATACAAAAGCCCAGCTAGAGCGTAGGAGCAGGTCAGCTAGGGCAAGCACTCGAAGCAGTGAGATTCGGGATATCGAGACCACAACAAGCAAGGGAAGAGCCAAGGTGGAGACACCCGTACCGCTCCCAGAGAAGTACAGGCAGTTTGTCCAGGCCTCAAGTTCAAAGCCATCGCCAGCGCCCATGGATGCTCGGACAGTGACCCCTGCAACCGATCGCGACCTCGAGACCCCGGTTGGCCGGCTGCTGGATGTCCTAGATGAAATCGCGAGGGAAACGGATGTAAGAAACGCCTCGGTGCCCAAGGTTCGCGGAACTGTGTGGAGCAAATGCAAAATCGAAAAGTACCAGGCCGCGGAGGAGATTCTCGCGTACTACTCAAAGGAGCTTATCGCCGGCCTGAGACCCGAGTGGAAGGGCACGCCCTTCTACACCTTTCTCCAAGGCTGTGCGAAAACACCATTTGAGCCGCCGAAGTGGACAACGCTAGAGATCATGCCCCAGCAGACGTTCAGGCGCGCATATAAGGGCGGCCAATATAGGGTAGGGACACTCCCTTCTACAACTGCCGCTGCATCCGATCTGCCCCCAGCTATCGGTCTCGGTGGGAGGGCCAAAAGTGCGATGGCGAGCCGGAGTGACGGGGATTCAGATGACGATACCTTGGCTGAGCGGCGCGGCCGCAGATCTGGCAAAGGTGCAACCCTGCGCTTAGCCTCCAAGAAACGGCCGGCTCCGGATTCTGACGGGCACGAAAGTGGAAGCCGGCGTGGCAGGAAGTCGGCCAAGAACATGAATGCCATTAGCGATGAATATATGGACGATGATGAGAACTCGAGTGATGGTGAGGTCGAGGACACGGCCCTTTGTCACAGCCCCCCCTTACCGGAGGGCGCAGTCCGCCTGGTTATCCATGCTGAGAGAATCCCTACCACGTCGCCGAAAGGTCCAAACGGGACCTGGACGTGCGAGGAAGAAGGCTGTGGCTACGTCGTGAGGTCGGCAGAGGAAGAGGCCGCCCAGGAGCAGATTCGGGAGCATTTCCAGGTGCATGAAGCGCAAGCCGAGAAGATCAGCCTGGCTGTTAAGGAAAGTCGGGGGCAGATGCCTATAAAGTATGCATACTTCCCTCCAATTCTCTTACTTGTCCATCTACATCCGGGGGCAAGCCGTCGCCCTGCCCGCTCATCCTAGGGATGCCCCAGAACTCCAGCATGCACCAAGTCTTCGACTTGACCAATGCTAATAGATACTATAGTCATCTGCTAGACAAGATCCAAGCAATCGGCAAGGCTTCGCTTCTCAAAGAGCGCGATATGCTCAACGGCAAACCGCTCCCCGCGCCTATTAAGAGGCGCTTGCTAGCTTGAGAGGGCTGATGGGATAGGACATAGGGGCATGGTTAAGCTCGGTTTGGCATTCGCCGGAGGTCTTTCTATTTTAATGACCTGTTGTAACGATAACGATACCCGGGTCGGTCACGAGGCGTTTGTTAGGTGCGGTTTGGGCGGAGCGGGTTTCCCGGGCTTTTCGTGTGCAATAAGAGAGATTAGAGAACAGCGTTCCTGTCTATAGGGCGCACTCAAGGGCAGGTCTATCTAGCAAAAGTAATTCCCAGGCGTGGCAGTGGCTCTCTTCATGGCTTCACGAATGATATGACTGCGTATCGAAAGCTACCGTTTGCGTAGCCTCTCCTCATGGCGCGGAATGCCTGCAGAAACGCGATGCCGTCTCTCCCCTGGCTAAAGGCAAATGCCCAGAGCGAGGGATTCTGTACGAGAGACCAGGAAATGTCCCTAGGGGATCATCAGCAATCACTCGACGGTACCAGATGGGAGTTCCCGAGGGCAACAAGCAACATACCAAGTCTTGCTCACGTCCTTGCTGATGTCCTTTGGGGCACTCAGCACGTCGAACCCGGCATCCCTCGCCAAGTCAACATAGCCCTGCTGCGTGCACAGCGGCGGGAGGAGCATCCCATCTAGTACAACCCTTGTTATCAGCGACCAATCCCCACAATTTGGTATAGAGAGTCTGGGATATAAAAAAAAAACTTCAATCGGGAAGGCTCACCCTCAATAGGCTTGATGTCTGCCGCAAACTGAGCCTCGTCAAGCCCCTCGGCCTTGAACCAGTCGGCCAGCACCAGCTTGCCCCCGGGGCGGAGCAGCGCGTGCGCGTTCCGAAAGAAGAGAGCCTTGTTGGGGAAGTGGCTCAGGGCTTCGGAGATCCAGACAACGTCGAATTTGCCGTTGTCATTGTCGTTATTATGATTTACGGCGGGCGAGGAAGATGAGGACGAGGATGAGGATGACGGGTCAGATCCAAAGTACTCGCCCATCTTCTCGGCGTCGAGCTCGATGAAGCGCACTTTGCCGCCTTGCGAGCCAAGGGGGATGAAACCGGCCTCGTCTTTATCATCCCGATGGCCGTTTTGCTGCTGCAATCCTTCGGGCGATGAAGGAGAAGGACTGGAGGACGAGGAAGAGGAGGCGGCTTTGCTCAGCCTGGTTGCGATCTGCACCTGCTTGCCCGAGATGGTGATGCCGGTTACGGCGCAGTTGGGCAGGGCCGTGGACGCGAGGTAACGGGAGGTGCCGCCTATTCCGCAGCCCACGTCCAGGATTCGGAGCGGGCCGGTGGTGGTCTCCGGGGTGAGATGGGAAACGTCGAGGAGGAGACGGATCAGGTTCAGCTGGGCAGCTTCTTTGGTCTCAATTGCTTTAGACTCCTCGGTAGGCCAGTAGCCGTGGTGAATGTGTTCGCCCCTTTATTTTGTGATTTTCTCCTGTTCCAGCGCGCGGTTCGGATGAAGATGGAGTTGGATGCCGGAACAGAAAATTGAACAAAACAACATACCAGAGGTTCAGGTAGTAGTCGCTGGCCAGGTCATAGTGCAGTTTGATACGGTCCTTGAGAGCCTGCATGGTCGTGTGGGCAAGGCCCATTGGCGTCTCATACTGCTCGCTGAGCTCGGTGTTCTCATCGGCGCCGGTGTTGGGGTTGGCCGTTCCCGTCATTTTGGCGGTCTGCTGTGCAACGTCGTAGGATAAGAAACTAGAAGTGTTGGGTAGGGAAATTTGATCAGGTGCTACTTGCTATGTATTGGCACAATGCAGGAGTTACAGTGCATACATAGTTCGTGATTTCAGTTCATCCAAACACTGAAGAAGAGTGGAAGACCAAAAGAGTGCTTGTGTCAATGACGCCTTGAATCCCTGAAGCAGGAAACGCTCTCCATGCACCAGAAATAGTGGAACATTGCAGCTGATTACTGTGCTGGGTACCATCGGCCCACAGTCAGTAGCCCTCCCTTTCACTGCTTGCACTCAGCATCATCAACACCATCGAGCGGTTGACCGGGAGACGAGGCTCTTGTACTGCAGTCGGAATATCACAACGGGGGCTCTACAGAAGGGGGTCACCATGGGTGGGAGAGCAAAAAAGAGTTGGCCAACTTCGCTACTGTCAACACAGAGCAGATAGGGGTCTTACTAGATTTGGAATGGAAAAAGTATTTGACTGGAGCGCGATTCGAACGCGCGCCTCTTTCGAGAGTAGAACACCACCCCACATTTCTGTGGGAAAGAAAGCAGATTTCTTGAGTCTACCGCCTTAGACCGCTCGGCCATCCAGCCAATTGAGTTGTTGATTTTGGGAGCAGAAACTGGGCTACAGAAACGGCAGAGCGGGAGCAGACTTTCAGCTCCCATCCCGAACCAGTATCAGCTCTCACTGAAGTTAGGACGGTTACAACTTACAAGCTGTGAGAGACCAGAGGTAGATGAACCTCGTCCTTTAATGACAGTACCCGACTGTATTGTGCAGGTCTCTTCACTACAGTGGAAGGACATCTCGACGAGTGCACTGCACACTGCACTGCCTCATGCTACCGCGACCGGAGCCAAAAATACCAAAGTTTGTACACTGGCGTCCGTTACTGTGTCTATACTTGTTTGTTTACTTGTCGGGTAAGAATGTCTTTATCCAGCGTATAGGTAGTATATTCCCATACTAACGTTACGTTGCAGCTACATACGGGTGGTTGCACCGTTGCACCATCCCGTCATCAAATTTCTCGGCCAAGACCCTTTAGAGTGTTGGCACTGCCTCATTCAACGAGACCTGCCTAGTAGTTCGGGGCTCGTTGGGATTGACAGTCTCGACAGTCCCTACGCTTCCAGCTTGTAGCTTGTCGAGAGTCGTCAGTGCAGTGCCCGCTTTTCGAATTCCACCTGGATGAGGCACCCAAGAAGCTCGTGTTCAATTGGGCTTCGAAAATCTACAGGCAGAGTACCCTGTGCGAGAATGCTACTCGCAGATTTTATATTGTGCTGCATCCCAGGCAGGCAGGTGCGGGCACCGGATATCGGCCACTCCCTCCTGTCTTGCTTGATGGACAGTGGCAGTCGTTGACAAGCCCATTGCCATCGCCCGCGCGTACTAATGTTCGGTGAGCATGACCCCTCTGTGATGCAGGACTCTGGTTCGGGCCCTAGCCCACTTTTTGCTCTCCGTCTCGGGAGGAAGGTGTGGTCATGAAAGAGAGGCCTAGGAAGCCACCGTCATCGACGGGGTAGGCCCTTCCGTCTATAAAGACTGCCATGTCCCTCCTGCCAAAGACATTGCTACCTCTCATGATCATCCCGTCATTATATCATCAACATCTTTCACGCCACCGGCCGCAGCAATAGTACTGCGAAGCAGTCAGTGGTAGAGGTAGCATCGACAACCTCATTACCAGTTGTTGACAGGACGCTCCGTTATTGTCCTAATCCTTACCGGCTGTCTGGCCTGACGCCCCGTCTCCGTCCTACTCCTCCGCCGCCCAGCCATAGGCGTCAACATCAGAATCAAAGCCATGCGGTCCCTTATCACCCCCACATCGACCCTCCCCTTCCGCCTGCTCCTCCTCCTGGTCCAGCTAGTCACCTTCGGCCAGATCACCACCGCTCTGCCACTCTCTGTGCCTCTTCCGACAACCACCATGGCCCAGCGTGACGACACCTGCCGGTACTCATACCCCCCGCCATTCACGGCGCGGATCAACGTGTTCAACCGGCCGGACCTGCAGCTGAAGTCGACGCAAACCGTGTCCTTTTCCCTCCCGCCCGAGGCGCACAGCTGCACGCTGCGGGTGCGTTTTCCGCCGCACTGGGAGGTGTACGACTCGAGCGTTGAGGCCGGCGGTCCCCCGCTGCCCATGAGCATCTACGCCGTCGACGGCCCCGCCGCCGGCGCCCTGGTCGGCTACGCGCGCTTCGCCGAGTTGCCGATCGGCGGCGAGCCGACAGTCATCAACTCATTTACCTGCCGCGAGACCATGACGTTTCGGTTCGAGCTGGGCGGGTCGGGCGAGGTTGGCTTCGTGACGGGTGATGACCCGGCTTTGGGGAGGGGTGGAATCGAGATGGCTTGGGGTTGTTGATTGTTCGGTAATCTGGTAGATGGAGGGGGGATTGGCTCATTTTCAAGGGCCGGGGATTAGAGAGCTAATCTGGCAGGAAGGGTATCGTAATGGGTTTGTTTGGTCTGCTCCTTTGCTCGTGACGGTCTGGACTAGTGGTAACTAGTAATGGCTGGGTTTAATAGATGTCAGATCTAGGGGAACATTCACCTCCAATCTTGACTAGAGTGCGTCAACCAAACCGAATACCTCCATGGCATGTATGTATATGTACAATGGACATTCCTAGATCTTCATATAATTCCCTCCCTCTCCGCCGTCGTAGCCCAAGGGGATAGAAACATCACACATATCACTACAACAGAAAGCTAATACCGCAACTCACGAAAGCTCATCATCAGTCTTCACTCCAAACTCCAGTCCTCTCTATCAAGCAAATACCACAACACAACAAAGGAACGGGAATCCGAGTAAGCTGTCCATGAAACCTCATGCACTCGTATCCTCTCTCGCTAGCAGTGACTTGGAAAGAAACAAAGAAACTTGTTTAAATAAAAGAGAGGAAACAAAAGGCTCCCTGGGGTATTCCTGAAAATGAAGCAAGTATCGACCTGGATCTGTCCCTTCTATCCGTCCATCCACCCACCCCCCTCCGCCCCGTACGTATTATGCAATCCGTTCCCGCCTCTCTGTCTATCCAGTCACCCACCCACCCACGCATCCACCCGACCCATCCAAACATATCTCTTCCTCCTCCAGCCTAACCAAACCCTTACCATCGTCCAACCCTTGGATTCGGGCTGACGGCTCCACTGGCGCTCGCGCTCCCGGCACCGCTCACGCTGCCGCTGCCCATGGCAAAGCTCTGGTCGATTTTTGACACCCAGTCCATCTTTTCCCGCTCGCTGCGCGCCGCAAAGAGCCAGGTATTGTCCGTCCCGTAGACAGCAAACACGCCGGCCTGGAGTCGTTCGCTTAACCTGGTAATCCCACCACCACCACCACCACCACCACCACCACCACTACTTCCTGCTCCTCCATTAGCGTGGGCACCCGAACCAGGATTGGGCGTGCTAGTGCCGCTACCACTGCTGCCTCCACCGCTCCCGCCCGGCCAAAGGGAGGCAATCAGGCCCGCCGCGCCCGGGGCAGGCGAGGTGGCCCGCCGAGGACTGTTATACTTGGAGTTTTCGCTTCCATTTCCGTTCGTGTTCCCGTTCCCGTTCCCGTTCCCGTCAGCGCCGTCCCCGTCATACTGGTGATGACCGTACCCGTATCCGGGACCGTCGCCGGCGGGATTCAACAGCCCCAGGATTCCCGGCTGGCTGTCGACCCTAGAGTTGCGCAAGCTGGCAATGGCAATCTCCTCGCCGTTGCCGACGCTGTGGATGTGCAGGTACGGCCGGCGCAGCTCGACAAAGCGCTTCACCCACCGCGTCGAGTCGCTGTTGGGTACCAGGAGATAGCCACCCTTGAGCACGCTCGGATTCTTGGGCACCCGCACGACCGTGGCCACAAAGCCGGGCGCGGGTACCGGCGAGTCGGCGCTGTCGACCGCTCCGTCTTCCGGAGGGTCGGTGTTGGCTGGGCTGAGGAGCTTAAGGATAGGGTCCGGGTAACGCCGCCAAAGTGTTAGGGCGCGATTGAGGAGGCTGGCTTGGGAGTCTATGTACTCCGGCTCTGGCTTTGTTTCTTCTGGTGTTGAGGGTTGGGACTCTTCGTCTTGCTGTTGAGTGGTGTCTCCGTTTTCGATAGCCTGGGATGCGTCAGGAGATGAGGTTTCGGATGGCTCGGGGGTGTCCTTGAGAAGCTCGGCAATAGAGTCAGCATCACTGTTTATAGGGGGCGGAATGTCTATATCTTCGGCTCCGTCGACGTTGTGGGATTCGTCCTTTGTGCCTCGGAAGCCGATCTTCTTCAAGAAGATCTGCATAGCAGCAATCTCGGTCATCATCCGCCTCCTTTTCCTTGAACTGATATAATCAGCCACTAGCGAGACTCCACGCGGCGTCCAGGCAGCTAGGCTTTCCTCCCCCTTAACATAGTCATGCTGGCTGTTCATCCGCCACAGATCACCCACCCGCTTGATGGGCGCGGGCCGCATTTGCAGCGTGAAGATGCCCGTCGCCGAGTGGACAATCCGAAGGTGCTGCCAGAGCGCCGAGAACACCGACGTCTGCCGGACAAAATTCCGAGACAGGATCTGGCAGCAGACGTTCATCGAGAACTTCATCGGCTCGGCGAGTTTTTCGGATGTAACCTCCCATGAGATTGTCATTTGAACCCGATACTTGTCGGCAGTCACCCGGTCCAGCAGCAGCGAGTTGTGGAGACTCGAATCCCATTGTCCTACAATAGCAACACTTCGGGTGCCGTTCGCGTTTGTCCGAAACACGGGTTGGGATGACAGCTTCAGTGGCAGTTCAGGACTAGCGGAGCCCATGTCGGGCGATTTGCCTGCGCTGTCTAGGAGCTGGATCTTGCCCGCTCGCATCGACGTGACACCATCCCACGGCAGCGCATCTCCCGAACTATGAGTGAGATTGATGGCGATGCGCCTCTGCAGGCCTTGATGCAGCTGGAACGTGCCGCTGTCGAGCTCGCTGGTTTGAGTGACCTCGACAGGGACATAGTCACCCTCTTCGTTCATCTCGAGAATCTGCACGCGCGCGAGTAAGTCGTGCTTTTCCTCGGTAAAGAAGTGCGATTCGCTGATCCTTGCGCCTTTGGGCTTGCCCTGAGATATGGGCACCGCATCTCTCATGTCGTCCCAGCTGAGGAGCTTGTCAAGGTGCATAGCCGATACCTTGGCGAATATCGCTACCCTCAGTGTAGTCTCCGGCGGCGCGGAGAGCGGAACACTCATACTATGAACGCTCTCAAACCGGATCGGGCCCTCGTCAAAGTCTTTGATCATCTGCGTGGTGGTAATTCCATCCTCAGAGATACCAGGAATGAAAAGCTGCGCATGTACCTCGGTACCCTCCCGCTCCGCGAATCCGACCATCTCGTGCATGACAATGTTGAACTTGAGCGTGTTTGGCGGAGCTCGAGCGCTGGACGGTTCCAGCGCGAGCTTGATGATGCCAATCGCCTGCGATGTGTGAGGGGAGAAGACATCGAGCGTGAAGTCCTGGACCCGACTCGCAAATACCGCCTTCAAGGGAACGTCGACTTCCCCAACTAGAGTATACTGCGGCATGCACGTCTCAGTGAAAGGGTTGCCGAGGCTCAGGTGTTGGGCATACTCCGGCTGGTCAAGATATTGGTACATCTGCCGCATCTGTCTGACCCGATCGTGGAGCTTCTCGATACTCCATAGATGGACAACCCCGTGCTTGTAGTCCACAACACGGACACCAATGCACGGCTTCGGCGCCTCCTCGAGCGGAATGTCCTCTCCTTCGCCCGGCAGCCCGTTAAGGACCATATCGTAGGACGAGCACAAGACGTGGCCGACATCAACTACGGTGAACTGGAAGACGACGTGTTCATCCAGCTCGTGGCTCATGATCTGGGCCTCTTTTAGCGTTGCGGCGTGTTGCAAGACAGCTTCGGCCATTTGCACGTAACGTCGACTTCTCCAGTGCTTGACGACCCCCTTTGCGCGCTCAATTTCCTCAGGTGACAACTTCGGCTTGGCCTTTGGCCGTTTGAGCGGATCCAATTTTTCGATTTTCGCCTCAAATTCGCGGCGCTGGACGTCGAGCTGCTTCTGCATGTCGGCCTTGAGTTGAATAAGCGTCTCCTCCATCCTTGCCTTCTCCTTTTTGATTTCCTCGACCTCAACATTTGCCGCCTCGGCGCTCTTTAGCTGATCCCTGTACTCGTCTTTCTGTTTCTCCAGCTGGTTCTGCATATCCTCGCGAATCTCGCGCAACTTTTCCTCGGTCTCGCCCTGCTTCGGCGTCGATGGCATGGTCAAAGCGGTATCGAGCGAGAAGTTGTCAATGGTACCCGTCGACATGTACTTCTCCCTGATCGGGTACGACGCCAGCGACTCCATGTCTTCGTCACCCTCACGGACATTCACCCGTTCTGCGCGGGCGCGCTGGACATCTTCAAACAGAGCATTGAGCTCTTCGTCAGTCAGATTTGCAAAGTTCTGGTCCGTCCCCAGAATGGCGGGCGCGGCTTCTCTACGCGCAAATGACCAATCAGACTCCTTCGCGTTGCGTTGGAACGTTGCGGGTGAGTCTGGGCGGCTGTCGCTGAATTCCGAGATGGCTGTGCTGTAGCTCCGATCATGCCCCAGTCTTGGGCTCGGTGAGGGAGATGTCTTCTCTAGCGCTTGCAACTGGCTTGCTGTGATAGATTGCCGTAGGAGACTCTGCTCTGCCCGCTCCGCGCGTTCGGCACGTGCCTCCATGGGATGGTTGAATCTGAAAATGTGGAAGTCGCCGAGGATAATGCGGTAGCCCGAGTGCAAACGTGTCGGCCCCGTGATGCGTTTTCCGTTCACCATGACAGCGGCACCTTCCTTCGGAATGAGCATTACCGTCCCATCCGGGGCATTCTCGAAGACACAGTGTTCGTGGAGGATCTTGGAACCGTTCAGGCGTATGTTGGCCTGGTGGTCCGCATTTGACTCGACATTGCCAACCGTTGTAGATCCGGGTTTGAGGTTATAAACCAGGCATTCCGCGAGCAGGGGGTCGTCTGAAAGATTGACCAAATGGGGCATTTTCTTTGGTGTCGACATCCCAATGAAGCCCTTCTCAATGCTGATTCCTAATTCTTCTAGCGCAGCCTCACGCTCCTTGTGGATCTCCTCCGTCTTGGCCAGCTTCTGCTCCCAGGTTTGGTTGAGATCTTGGAGAAGCTTCTCGCTCTGATTCAACTGCTCTGCAATCTCGGCCTTTGAGACCTTCTTTACGGTGCCATCCGGCTGCGTAATGCTGACAATCTGCTTCTCCAAAGGTGTTCCTTCCGCATATACCTCCTCGATCGGGACTGGTGCACCGCCAACTCCTCCTCCGCCGCTTAGCTTGCTCCGCAAGAGAGCCAACTCCTCCTTTAGTTCACGGATCATGCGTGCGTTGGCGTCTTCGTTGATGACTGCGTGGTTCTTGATCCGTTTCGCAGAGTCGGCGTACCGGAGCGTGCTGAGTGTTTCGTCGTAGTTGATGTCCGCCGGGCTGATGGCAGCAATCATGGCCGTCATACTGTTTCCTCCAAGCGAATCCTTGAGCAGCCAGGTGAGCACGCTGTCTCGGTAAGGAACCTGGCCTGCCGCGCCCTTCTTCTTCTTGCCAGTGGACAGGTCTGCCAATGCTGCAATCACACGACCAAGCGTGGAGAGAGATCGGTTGATCTCAGCGCCTTCCTTGAGGCGGGCCCCAGTCGCTCCTGTGGAGGTTGCTCTTTCTGAACCCGCAAGATCAACGAGACTAATCTTTGCCGCCTTCTCCATCTCCATTTTGGTCTCGGGATCGAAGCGTTTCTGTGTCAGCATGAGGGTGAAGACGGCGTGGCTACGGCTTGACGTCTCGTTCATGTTGGTTGCCGCCACGGTTCTCGCCTTGTTGCCCTCGTCCATCAGGTGCTCAATCTCCTGGAAACTCCCCACTACCAGCTTCGCAAGATCCTCCACGTACGGGCCTGTGGACGGATGTTCTCGAACCTTGAGGTTTCCTTTGTTGGCCGGGTTCAGCAGGTCGCGGACCCGCTCATTGTAGATTTCTAGGTACGACACTTCGACGGTGCAGCGCAAGTTCTTGTCTTGTTGCATCTCGTTGATTCTCCTAAACATATCCTGGCAGATGTTTGGAATGATACCTGCATCCTTGCCATAACCCATCATCGAGTAGGACTTCCCTGAGCCCGTCTGGCCATAGGCAAAGATACAATTGTTGTACCCTTGAAAGGCATTGTCAAGCAACGGTTTACCGAGGTCCTGGAAGAGATGCTCTTGTCCGGCATAGTTCGGCGCGTTCTTGTCGAAGGACCAGTATGACTTGTCGAAGGCGAAGACTTTTGGTCCATGGTCCTTGGCCCCTTTCCCTCCAGCAGCATCCGGCGGCGGGGTCAGGATCGTTTGGTTGTCTTTCATTTCCACGATACATGTTGCGCCTCGGTCGTGTTCTGTGATTATAGTTTCGACTCAGTCTCTCGTTGCGCAAGCATGCTCACCACCAACGGTAAACAGATGGCTCACCTCTCCCGTTGAAAGGACGCACTCTGACCACGACCTTGATATTTCCTCCCCCGCCGGGGGCCGGCGCGCCGGGCGCCATGATTGCGGCTTGACAGAGACAGCCGGAGCGGTTGGTGGAGTCGGGAACCGGCGAAGTCGCGTCAGAGGCTCAACCGGGTTGAGCGACAACGGGGAAGCCGACAGGAAGAGTCCTAGCCTTAGGAATTTTGGTACAGTGGCGAATTTCCCAGCATGCAGTTCCCAGCCCAAGAGACAGCATCCGCACGCATCCTCCCTTCGCGAAGACCGCGTCGACCGAATATCAGAAGCCGTTGAGTCCCCGTCGTGTTTGGCCCAGTTGGTCGTGTTAATCCAAGTAGGTCTGCGGGGGAGGGCGGGGAGGACCCTGCATCGACCGAGGTCAAGTGCGTTCAGGTTCGCTGAGGCGTCACCAGGGCAGGCCTGCATATACTATCTGGGGAATCTGTCGTGGCCTGCCAGGAAAAGGGATTTGTTTTGTCGTTGGTCAGTCAGAGAGTGTCGTTGCGTTTGCGGTTGCGCAGCTGGCAGAGCTTCTGGCGTTGGCGACGTCGGTTACCAAAGGGGCGTTGCAAGTCCAATCATGAATGCAGAGGATTTCTGAATCGCTACCTTACGTCTCCGTGTCAACAAATTTCAGGGACGCGAGGCGCGCAACTAAACCCGTGGACAGGAGCCCCGTCCGCTGTGTCCTTGCATAACGCTAAAATTTACGACACGGCTACATAGCTAATTGGGGCATGACCAGGGTCGGGCGAGAGAAGGAACGACAGCCTATTGGGCCTAGCCCGCCGAGCAGTGAGCTTCACGTGTCAAGTCACAATGCTGGGTATAGTGTACCGGTAATTGAATTACCATCGTAAGTAGGGAGTTTGACACTCGTCAGACCTTGACAGTACCCCACTTTTGGGGACTGCCAAGGCCTGTCAAGGTCTGGCAATGTCTTAAGTCGGCCCGCCAGGAACTCCACTGTCAGGGTCTAACGAGTGTCAAACTCCCTACTTACGATGGTACTGTACAGAGTACGTTATGTATTTCAATGTCCTGTATATACATTACGGTATTTCAGGGCTGTAGTGTACTAGGTAATAAGTGCAACACCAAGTTCGCGGTTCAGTTATTACATTTCCTCATCTCCCATTTCCCCTTTTCACGAGCTATTGAGATGATGCGAGCATTTCAATCCTTTCACTTAGAAGACTCGCGATCGAACCAAAATCGAGTCGATCCTCAAGACAACGCTATACGGCACCCACTAAGAACCAAAACAAGATCTGGATATTCTGGGCCGCTGTGTCTGATGTGACATCTATCAGTGTTGCACTTTGCCAACTAGATCCATGAAACCGTCCTGTCAGGACGATGGTCCCGCCGCAGCGAGGCCCAAGTCCTTTTCGACCAACTGACGGCAGATAGGGTGGTAGAACTCGCGGTTCGCCTCAAACGTCTTAACGGCGAGTTCGTGATCAACCTTGTTCAAGCTACGGAATAGGGGGCGGACAAATTTCATGCGCCCGACCTGCCCGAGTAACTCTGCCACAGCCGGGTAGGCGCTGCTATCTTTGGCAGCCATTGCGATTTGGAAGTATGCCGTCTTGAGTTCGGCGTTCTTAGAGCCCAAAAGACCGTATACCTTTCCAAGAAGTTGCTATGGTGGGGTAAGCGCAAGCAAACCAAAAGGCATATGAGGGGACTCTCTCCTGTCACCGACAAACTTACCGATTGCTCCGCCGTCAGGGGCTTTTCAGAATCCCGAACGGTATTCAGAAATACGAGTACCTGGTTGCCAGTCCACGAAGATATGTCTGACGGGTTGGGTGAGAAGTCCTTTTGCTTCCACTTCTCCGCTAGCTCGTAGCACGTATCGACAAGCGACGTGTTAAACTCGGGCTTCGGCGGTAGACCGGTGTTGAAGAAACGACCCTCCCAGTCAATCTCCGAGATTTTATCCTTCAGCCCTGCATATTCAGGGGCGCTAAAGAACTCGAGGAACGTGTCCTTGAACTCGTAAGAATCGAGCGACTTGTTTGCCCACTTGCCGAAGTAGTGGGGGATAAACTTGTCAAAGTTCTCCCTGCCGACGAGGCGATCGAGGTAGTAGATGAAGTGGAAGCCTTTCTCGTAGGGTACAGTGCTGAATGCGTCGTCTGGATCGATGCCTTTGTGGCTAATGCACAACTTTGTGAACTCGTGGTTCTCGCCATATTCCTCAATTGCTTCCTCTGAACAGTGGTGATCAGCCAAGGAGCGGTTGTAGACACAACGCTACTACTTACCAAGGTGGTTCCAGCCTATGATGGCGGAAAAGTCAAAGTAAGCATCATTTCCGTGAATAGAGGCCAGGATACGTCGTTCCAGGTACATTGTCCACCCCTCGTTCAACCAGCTGAGATACCCAGGGGTTAGTATTCTATGCAGGCAAACGAACGATCGCAACACCGCAGCGGCGCAGACAAGACTCACAAGTGTTCCCAGCTGCAACTCGTTACCAGGTTACCGCTCCAGCTATGGGCAAGCTCATGAGCTATGACATCGATGTTCTGCTTGTCGCCGCTGATGATGGTGGGTGTCGCAAAAGTAAAGATGGGGTTCTCCATGCCTGAGTATGTGTTAGCGACGCCTGGAGTAGAACTTATCAAGCTCAATCACCAACCTCCATACGGGAAGCTTGGCGGGAGCACAAGCACGTTGTACTCTCCCCATCTGTAGGGGAATACAATCTTCTCAGCGGCGTCCAAAAACTTGTCCATGTCATCCTTGAGTTCCCATTGTGACGCCTCCAGCTCCATCGGGCCCGTCGCGACACAAGAACGCTTGCCAATAGGGGCTGTGGCTATGTCACCGGACGCCAGCGCGAATAGGTATGAAGGGATTGGGACTTTTTGCTGGAACTTGTAGATCTTGTCTTCTCCTGCGTCCTCTGTAGAAGCCGGCAACGGCACGCCGCTGGCAATGACAACATGAGGGCTGGTTATGACAAAGTCATACGTGCTTTTGACATCTGGCGTGTCCTGGCAAGGAAATATAGAGCGCGCGTGGATGGCCTGGCACTGGCTGAACATAAAAGGGGCTTTCTTGTTGCTAGTTTGAGCCGGGGTGAGCCATTGGAGCGCGGTGCACTTCTCGGTGGTGGCCAGCTCAATCTCCAACTTGACCATTTCCCCTTTGGCAGCGCCATTGGGCACAGAGATATGGACCGGAGAGCCGTTGGGCCCGACGCGTTCCTTTACCTCCCATTCTGGCACGACCGAATTGAGTCTGATGGAGGACAGAGACAGGTAGCTGGAATCGAGGATGATTTCCTTGCTGGTCCTGTCCGTCTGCGACTCGAGCTCGAGAACCACAGACCCGCGCAGACACTTCTGCTTGAAGTCAACCTTGAGGTTGGCCGTGGTGTGCTTGGTGCGCCATTCGGCGTAGTTGGACAGTGTATTCGGGTCCCGGACAGGCGCCATTCTTGAGTTTGTTAGACCAAGCCAGCGACGTTGCGAATGTGCTGCAGCCGCAGCGTTCTTAGCAATTGAATTTGCTGTTTCTCGAGCAGACCTGGCCCTCCCAAGGCGAAAGAAACTCCACATTAGGACCCCACTTCCGCGCAGCAGTTGATGCCCGAGAGGTGCTCATTCCTTCTTCACGCCTTCCTCCTTCGTCGAAGGGTCAAGCAGCTCATCTGATAAGGCACACTGATAGGCCGGGGCGTGATTGGCTTTATCAGCCCGTGACAGATCACATGACATAGTTACAGGTAACGACTACCTAAATTACATAACGTTAAGTACCAGCTTAATTCCACCTCGGGTCATTGTTCACTTGTTCAACTGCTTCAGCTTTTCACAACTGAAGTTGAGCTGCCCATGTAAGCCATACCTTTCTCGATCACATTATGTTCGTCCGTCTGACCATTATTTCTTTTCGTTTCTCTCCTTCAAGCTCCTGACAGCAATGTTCTGGTTTTTCCAAGGGAAGTTTAGGGCCGATTGTTAACGTTAATCCCCGTGTTGATGCGGGTGTTGATGCGAGGTCCCGGCGATACGAAACATGTTTCACAGCGTCCCGAAGTCGGGTTCCTGATTTTCGATTGGCTGCCCAGCACCAGGCCGATGGTGACGGGCAACGGAATTGGATTGGCCGATGGCGTGCCAAGTTTCTCGAAGAAGCTGAAACTCACCTTCGTAGGTGTGCACTGCTTCTCCACGTAACTGCTATGTACTCATGTCAACCAGGTGTGTTGAAGTTCTTGGCATAGCAGTGGAATACTCAAATACGGGATCTCAAGGGCCCTGGCGCTAGTGTTTGTCTCCTGTGCCTCAACCCGGAGAGCGGCAAGGCGTCCATCTGGCGTCGTCAACGACGGACGGGATAATCACCGACCACACCCTGGACAGCACTGGAGGCTCAAGTCGGACTGCTTTTGCAACAGCTTGCTCTCAGCTTTACCACTGCCTCGCACGTGCTGGCCTGAATAGCGTGTTCATTGGACATCCAACTCTGTCGAGGGTGTTTGTTGCCGACCAAGTACCTGATCCTTCAACCCCAGACGCCGCCGCCGCAGACACGGCAGAGAGTGCCGCTTCTCCCGCGATTTTCAGACGACAAGTTACACATTCCTGTCAGCACGCCATAGGCAACATAAGACGGCCAAACAGACTGCATAGAAGGTATCGAGGAACGGCCGAAGCCCTTAGCTTAGGTCGGTTTCGTTGCAGGAGCGTCTGATGTCTCAGCTGCCGGATCAGCTCAGCTCGAAACAGTTTGCTCCTCCGAGGGCAATCTCCGTCCTTTACCAGGCATAGGCCGTCCCCAGGGCTTTGTTTGGGTAACAGGGCTTCGGTCACGGCAGTTCGACCATAAACGCGGGCGTCAATCTGTGAAACATCGCGGCTACGGCTACTGGGCTTTTGCGGCTGACCTTCTCACATGTGGTTGCTTGACAAATCCTGCTGGTTGGACCTCTCAAAGTTGACCGTGCTGCTTGTGTTCTGCATCAGCAAGTGTTCTCAGGGCAGCTTGGTCTCAAACCCTCTACACACAGGACTTCTAAGCGCCGGAACAAGCGTTCCATCATACACACTACGTAGGCTCCGCCTACACAGATTCTCATCGTCCACCTAATCCCACACTGGCACAGTCTCGACGTCTTTGGGGGAATTTGCCTAATGATAAACGCATTGGGCAAATTTTGAGCCGGAGATCCAGGCGGGACGGTCATCACGGCTGATGATGTCGAGTGCGGCGTACTCTGTATCCATCAATGCCCTTTCCCATCAAGGGGTTTGAGATCAAGGGCCTATTGTCGATAGAAACCCGCCGAGATAAACCATTGTTAAGATGGGTTAGCAGGCCCCCAGAGATGCTGGCAGACTCTAACATCAACTACCACAACCCCGCTCTGGTAACAGAACGTCGAACCAAACATTCAGAGCCCCGTGGCCGTGAAACATTGACGACTATATGCGTCTATGCTATCAGCGGATCATAACTCGGATCAAGTTCCGAACTCAGGTAGGGCCCCTGTGTGCAATTTCGGGCGTTTCTCTGTCTAGCTCATAGCGATGCATGATGAAACAGCCAAAGAGCACCGAAACCCGGACCACAGCCGGTTGACGAATAGCAGCAGCATTGTTAAAAGCCGGCACCGGGACTGGGCCTGCACTGCATCCCGGCGTCTGCAGCAGCCATTGCCTTTTCATCCCATCAATGCAATGCCGGCAGTCTTCATCCGGGGTGCGCTGCTATACGATATCTCATAAGATCGTCTTCCGACGAAGATAATATTAGTACAGTTGCCGTCAAGAAATGAACGGTGGAGATGACAAGCTCGTTTTTGTCTCTCGAAACCACCAAACGTTTGAAACAATAGGCCGGAGGGAATGGCGATCAATCCCAGGCCGTCCTAATACCTAACAATTAGTATTAGCTCGGCAAGCTCACCGCGAGCTTGGTTCAGCAAGATCCAACCTTGAATGGAGGCGTTGTCTCGAGAACCTTGCCCACTGCATTAGAGCGACTCCGGCGTTGCGGGTCATACGGCGCCAGGCAGACGGGATCTGGATCATACATCGCCTAGGTAGCGTTTGTAATACTACACCTCAGCACACGCGACAGTTACACATACGTACAGTACACGCAGAAAGGATAAACCAAGAACCTATGCTAACAACTTTTACAGCACACGCCTCAAGCCATCCTTTTCCGCTCGGACACTCCCAAAGATAAATTTATAGCATTTAGTTACCAAGGGCTTTAGTTCTTCACCGGCAGCGACGCTAATGTCTAAGGTACCTAGCTTGAACCATTGTAGGAAGCCGGCCCGCCCGCTGTGACCCTGGTGATGCACGTTCGGACGCCTGACGGGCGGAGTCGCCCCGTTTTGAAAACGTGGTGGCTTAGCAGATCACATAGTGTTGGCCAACGTATCGTACATAACACAGAGAGCAGTTAAGGGATTATCGACACATCACGAATTGTGCGCTTGATAGTAGCTCACATATGGATTGGCTCAGTTGGGCGTTTCTGGCATGAAATTCGAAGAATGTTTCTCTGCCGGGGCTTTTGGTGAAAATCATCCCGCAAACCCGGTCCCTGCCACCTTCCCCCCCTTAAACACTCACAGGGGGCCCCCAACAGCGGAGGGTTGCGATAGAAGCATGAAGAGAATGATTCTATGACCACAACACCAAGACATCAGTTGATTCTGACGCTATTTCGACCTGAGATCGAGATTCGAACGACTACTGCCGGCAGCGGAATTGAATCCATTGCGGGCTTGCAAAATAAGGTTTCCAGGACACGACTTGATCGATGGGAAAGTATGTTCAAGATCTCCATTTTTCCCCGGCTCTGAGGTTATTCCCCCGCATCCACTGGTGTCGCTGCGCCGCTCTGTCGGGCCGTTGCGAGGGATGGCATTCCTTTCGTTGGTCCCCCGTTTCCTTACCACGCGCTAACCAGTATACCGTAGTTGCACGAACCAACACATATGTACAGCCCATATGCAGCCTAACTCAACTGAGCAAGACGATGAGGAGAAAGAGGCAGTCCTGCAGTGTAAGCAGTCAAACATCACCTGTGCGCGAACTCCGGAACGCATACGCGCAAGCGAGGCCCAAAAGCCGGCGATATTTCTGGTGTCTGCGCCCTACTGATGCTTCTACGGTATGTAGTCTTCATAACGGCTGATGGATTGCTGCAGGTCCCGAGCTCTCGTCACTATCACGGTTACCGTCGTTGTCAGGACTTGCCTTGCCTTACATAGTTAGTACCTAACCGGAACCCAACACTGGATTGATCTCCCAACAAATAACGCCATCCCGCCATGGAGTATTGGGCAATGAAGGCGGTGAGAGCAATACCAGAAACTGCGTGATAGGTATGTTAATTACAGTCAAACCTGCAATTAGCGATCAGAGGATTAGCGATATCCTCGGATTAGCGATAGAAAATCGCGATCCATCGCTATTTGGATGGGATTTCGATATTCCTGGCTATAACGGTAAGGCGATTGAACTTCTGCTTAGTAATACATACAAACAGGGGTCACATTCCCAGTAATATCGTTATTTTCGAGTGGTCCTCGCCCATCCTCCCCCGCCAAAAGGCTCCTCCTGTTCTACCTCAAAGACCCTTATTTCCATCTTTTCTTACAACTATAGAGGCCTTACCATAGGCAGGCATGTTGGGTGTTGCGTAATAGGTCTAATACAGCTCTTTCCGCTATATTGTATACTGCTGGGAGCTTCATTCCTTCCATTCTGGGAAAATAGTGGGTCACCTAGGATTAGCGATAACCTCGGATTAGCGATCAACTTGGGCATGACAGACCCAATCGCTAATTGCAGGTTTGACTGTAACGAATTAATAAGCTAAGCTATGAGTCTATGGCCCAGGCCCTTGCCTATTCTCATCACAGTGACCCTCTTACACGATGTCCTATAATACGGCCTGCTATCGTCTAACCGTCACTTCCTGAGGAGAAGCTCCAACAAGCCAGAAACGATATCCCTCACCTTCCCCCACTATCGCTACAACCGTTTAACGTCAAAATCGTACGATGGTCAACAAATCTGGACAACGGACGGACTGCGCTACAATTTCGGCTTGTTCAGAAAGAGATCCAATATCCCGCAGCTAAGGGGGGCTTGCATCGCTCCCCGCTAACACACCAACTACACGCACAGGCTAGGGAATCCCATTTCATCCTTAGCTACACACCATCACTGTCAATCAACTACGAGTCTATGGAAATGGTATGTAGATGGCACGGGTCCTGGAGTAGTGTTAGAGACGGGAACCGCACGGGAAAGCTAAAGTGCTTGCATCGTTTCTTTTTTTGCTTGTTCAAGCTTGCCGTGGAGATGGCGCATGCATCGTGGGCTCCCTTCCCGCCTCGCCCGAGCGTCGCAATCGAGCGCCGAGCTATTTTCTCAATCAACATCGCTCACCTGGTGCCGTGGTGATCCCTTTGCGCGTTCCTGGTAATCTTTTTCCCGTTTGTGGGGGACGGGAGGGCAAGGGAGTTGCTACGAAGGTAGGTACTGCAGGTCCGTGTTTCGCAGGACTCTTGTTTCGGGGAGCAATTGGCGAATCAGAGGCGTTCGCTCGTCCAGGTGTTGAAACGAGCACTTGAGCATGCCTTGTCAGAGATAGGCTTCCTGTTGTTCCGTTTTCTCAACTTTGGGCAATGCGTTTCTCTCCAGCTTTGTGGCTTGTTTCTTGTGTCCTGCTGTTTCTCATGGATGCGCGGGGGTGGTGTTGGCTGTTTCTTTTCTTGTCCCCAACGACGCCTGGGGGAAAAGAAAAGCGAAGTGACAGAAACCTGCCGAGTCTGTATGCCGTCCTTCTGATAACGGGCTACACTAGTTAGAGTCCGTAGGCGGCACCTCTTTTGGGATTGTATAAGAATGACAGTCATTCGACTACATCTCGTTCGAGATACTCAACGGCCGAGGGCAGCACCGGTAGCTAACAGTATCTTACAAACTCAGCAATGCCGTTGAGCGTCAAGAAACGTTGATGGTGGGTGAGTTGTGCGCTCCGACCCTTTGGTATGGTGAACCGGTAAGAAGGCCCCTTGCCCTATAGCAGGTGACATAAGATCGAGATCCCTGGGGATCTCGGAGAGATCGCGGCTTTCTGAAGATCCACAACCAGCTTTTGAGCGTTGGGGTCCAGCTTGGACAAGCTTCGCTTACTGAGGACTCGAGGAGTTTTTGAGAATCGGGCAGATCCCCCCAAAGCTAAGGGCCTCAAGATACAGTACCGTTGTTGATCAATTACGAGATGCTGGTGACGGCGCGGCGATGCTTGCTAAAACAGAATCTGTGTCGAGCGTGATCGGTACTACATTGGGCTAATGCTGCAGCTTGTCGATTGCGTGCACATATGTAGGTAGGTGTAGTGGACAGCATGTAGTACGATGGCTGCATCTTGCATGCTGCAAATGCAGAGAGCGTTCGTCCCAACTTTGACGCATGTGGTTGATGGAGGCAGCTCAAGCACAGACCGTCGATACCGCGTTTAGCAAAGACGACCTACATGACCGGTGCTGTACAGTACATCGGTGATTGAAGGACCCTATGGGTTCCGTCCCTATAAAGCCTTAACCAAAACTCCTCTCAATGGGTTTCAACTGCCGCGCAGAGCGGCAGTTTCGGTCATCAAATCATCCTCAAGCTAAAGTTGACCATCATTGTGTTGAAGGGAACGAAATTCTGTTGTTGGTGTGCTGTATTGTCTGTACTGAACAGGACTGCGTGGTAACTTACCTTAGGTAAGCCGATGCTCCCGGACCTGAAGCCGGAAGTCTCTAGCTCGAAACAGTTGTCTCTTGCAGCGCGGTGGTAGTGGATGCAACATTGACATGCACGGGAATATACTAGGCAGTTTATCGTAGCAACAGCTGGCGGGCAAAACCGGGTGAGGGCCGTTGATCACATTACATGTTACAGCGTGCAAAATGGGTCGCTTAAAGAGTGCCAGGTCTTTGATGGTAAAATATCAACTTGTTTATAAGAGAAACGCCCATTCACACAGGTAATGTACATACTACCAGACAGTCACTTCAGTAGAAGTTGGCATGAACAACTGGATGATAAGCTTATTTGGATAGAATTGCACTTGACAGGGGTAAGTCCTAACTTCATCAGTTGTGACCTCGCTTGCGCTGGAGAAATCCACTGTCTCCGGGAAACCTAACCTTATTCATTATCTCTCCGAGGTCCTGACCTACTAACGTCGAACTAACGTTACCGAGGGCTTGGTCTTTCTCCTTTTCTTTTTGTGGAAAGGCTGTGCACCGTGATGTCGACTGGGACCCGGTAGCTTTGATTCTCGTCTGTAATACTCCGTACTAGAGTTACACGCGCATATACCTCCGTACGCCTGTTGGACAAAACCACCTCAAGCTGGAAGCAGTCAACTAAGGTACACATATGTAGTGTCCACCATGGACCAAACTGTCTAATATAGAACCTGGGCCTTCCGCACTCGATTTACTACGTAAAACGGAATCCAAGCCTGTCAATTCGTCACGAGGCAGCTACATGGAATGTGTGGTAGTACTACAGTGAGTTACTAGTAGTACCAGTCGCGGGTGCAGTGTCACTGTCTGTCGTACACAGTAGAGATATTTCTATACACTGTATATGTTGTAGTGCCCACTGCGTTGCGCTGTCTGAGTTGTGCTTTTCGTAATTAACACGGTATGTAATGTCTTTAGGCAACGACAAGCTTCAAGTTTTCCTTGAACGCAATGCCGGTACCAGTACGAACGGAGCTACAAACGTACCTAGGTACTCTGCCATCGACTTCAACAAGTACACAAGAATGAGAGATATGGATAATGAGGGGTTCGAGTAAGACTTGAAGATCAATCATAAGATTGATTACGTATCTCGTCCTTTTGCCACGAGGCTCATGTTCTGATATTCTGTCGCCTGAATCAGCCACTGACAGGGAAAGCTAACAAAGGTTCCTGGGCCGTTAGCCTGTAGCGCAAATGGCTGGATAGGGCTGGAAAAAAATCATTCGTTTCAAACAGAACGGGTCAAGAACAACGACCTTGCTATTTCCGTCAACGACAACCCTGTGCATACCAGCATCTTCTTTCCAGTAAACCGTCGCGCAAATTTGGGCAACTGAACGGTTGTGGGAGATTGCTATCTGAGATGGCAGCATCATGACCGTACATGTACACGACGAAAGATACACTCCACCGCCGTCGTCGTTGTCCGTCGAAATCGTCCAGATCGAGTGCTCGTGATGCATCAATGCGCGGAGCAAACCGCTGTGTCTGTGCGAGCCTATCAGTCCCCCAATCAGTTCCCACAGAATCCAACTGCAGATAATCATTGTCTGCAAGAGATATCGCATTGACCAACGCGATGTCACTCCTCTGGATCGCTGTGCTCGAGTTGGGATATCCACATATACAGCAATGCCCGCAATGCCAATCCCCAAAAGCACCGGGAGACTCAAGAGGGTATGGCTGCGGGTTGCCGTCACAGCACCTTGCGACGCTGTTGAAGATGTGCTCAGGCTGATCGTTAGTGAGTGCAGTGTTCTAGTGTTGCGACAGGAATTCTGATCGTCTACGGTCTATCCGCTCTCGAGCCTCTTGGTGGATTGCGGGGTTTGGCGGTTGATGCAGGGCCCTGCATCCCCAACCGCCCAGTGTCCTCTTTCTGCCGCGATCTGGGGTGACGCAAGACCTGTCGACGGGAGCTTTCACAGAAGCTCAGAAAGCATCAAGCTTGAACACAGAGTGGACCAGCACGTGTGACACTGTCAAATTCCCGTTGCGGATCGCCTCGCAAAGTCTGACCTTCAGGACGCTCCGACCCGGCCGTCTACTGGTAACAGACGTTCAGCTGGCTCAGCTGGCTTACCTGCATTTTACCGCACCGTATTCAAGTCATCTGAAGCCATAGCTGTGCGTCAACGAAGGTGCCGTTCAACGCCGCCTACAGCTCCTCAACTGGCAGTTATGTATACATACCAAGGTAAGCTATCAGCGTCCCTCCATTTAGCCTGACGGCACCCATTGGCCACGTGTGGGGGGCGGTTGAATCATACACTTCCTCCTTGACAGCGATGCCCCGATAGGGACTGGCTTGGATACGCCGCCAGCCCCGTCCTGCCCCGTGCTCTGTGGATGGGGCATCCATGATGTCCCCTTGCACGTCTTAGATCGGTACGTACCGGGCGACCAGGGTACCAGACAAGGTTCGGACTTGGCTCGAAGGGGCCAAAGCGGTTTCACTCGTCTCCTCTCTTGGGTCTTGTCACACCAGGTACCTGTCACCCTCCCAAGCTCTCTCTCAGGTCACCGAGTACTCTGCAACGCCTCCAGACAAGGCTGGACCTTCGAGTAACTTCCGCCACTTACACAAGGGCGAGGACCTGGGAGGACAAAGATCCCTTGTCTGGAGTTTCCTCTTCCTCCCGGCACCCTCGTGTCCGGGGCTCGCCCGGGGTGCCTTTGAAGAATCCCCCGAATGGGTCCGCGCAAACTTGTCAAAGCCAGGGGCATTCGACTCCCTGTTATCGCACACCCTGTTCGACAACTTTGACATGGACACTGTGCCCGTCCACCACAGGAACTTTGCAGAGCCATGTGCCTGCTTCTGACTCTCACACTTCCCTGTCATACAGGCCTCGATCTTTGCCCCCTGGTAAACAGGCCTCGAGCCTCTGAATCCATCTTGACCTGGCCTGCATACGGCAGCTATCCGGTTTGGGGCAAGTGGTTGACCTGGACTTACAACCCCTAGGTATATATCCTCACCACACCCACTAGCCTATGTATCGACCGGTCCTAGGCGAGTGACTCTATACATCTTACACAGACCCGGCCCTGTGTCCACACCAAATGGCTCACATAGCCAATTGCCTGGCGGATTCTGACCTTGAGGAGTTGCCTGTCAGCCTTTATTATATACCAAAGGCCCTCTCCCCACAGAATTCCGATGAGTCGGTATGCAACCACTTAAACATCCCAGCTCATGTCCCGTGTCTTGCTGCTGGTGAAGCTTACTCGTACCGTCATAGCTAGGTCGAGCGTCCCCCTCAGGAGAGAAGCCTTTTGCTTGGAGGATGCAGCAGCCGGAGAGAAAATACCAGCTCTTCCCAAGGGACAGGCAAGCGGGCGCTGCCACAGGGAAGGCACTGGATCCCGGGCAGGCGTTTGCTCACGCCCTGGGACAGAACGGCGAGAAAGGCGAGAAGGCTACTGTTGGAACAGGCTTGAGGATCCGAATCAAAGAGCACAACCTCATCCGCAGGCGGAAGATTAGCGTGCCGGACCTAGGGCCCATGACAACGGTGCAGGAAGTTGCTATGGACTCGCGTACGTTGAATCGTGGTATGCCGTTTCGTGCTGAACTTCCGTAGCTGACAGAAGCTAGCTACGATCCCTGGACGGCCGCCAGTTCATGAGCGTTCTATCAGTGCCCCTGGGAACTCGTGGAAACCGCATAATCTGGCCGACTACTCGTCATCAGCAAAGCCACTAAATGAGGCTCGACAGCCACTGTCCCCAAAGAGCCTGACCCCGCTTGTGATTCCTCCTACTAACTCGGCCGTCCCCCGCCTGACACGGCAAATGTCGCTCACCCGACTCCGGTCCTGCGGCACGCCTGTCGAGGCCCCCATCCGTTCTGCGAGGACCGACGACTCTCCCCATTCACGCACACCGTTCACGCCGCTTTCTGCCGCGTTAACGACGCCCAGATCAGCAGCAACCTCGGCCATGACCGCTTCGACGTTACCGACCCCCGTATCGGCCCCTATCGAGACGCGGCAATCACCCAAACCATGGGAGAGACCAGCAAACTACGCCGTCCCTGATACACCCAAGGATTGTAGTCCCGAACCCTCTGTCTCGCCCATGTCGGAGGACAATGAACCTACTCCTGGCGTCGCCCTTGGGCACAGGAGACACCAATCGGAGTCCGGAAGTATCATGGAAAGAGGGCGGCCGCGGAAGCGATCCGACGTAGTCGGCGCGTCTCCCTCGCGGCGGGCCGAATCGAAGAGAAGCAAGAGCTCGGAAAGGCGAGCATTCGTGCAACTACCCAAGGGTTGGAAAGCAACAGAGGTGGTAAACATGCTGAGCCAGTCAGAGGTGGTTGAATTGCAAAAGCAGGCTCTTCAGCAGGCTGCCCGCTTTGAAGTCTTGAGGAAAGAAGACGTCGACAATCTTTCACGGGTATGCATTCTTGGTATTCCAACCACTATTGGCAGACTGGGCTAATTTGTTCCCTCAGGAACTCCGTCAACTCGATGAGCGAACCGAATATCTCCGACGCACCTACACCTCGCTCAGGGCAGGGAGGCGAAATCTGCACACTCGCATTTGCCAGTACCTCCGCTCTCCACGCACGGCCAAGTTCAGCCCCGACTCTATGTTGAAGCAGGAGGAAGCTCTTGCGGAGCTGGATGCCTCAATAGACGAGTGGGTCAACAAACTGGAGCAGGCCGAGAATCGCCGAACACGGGTCCGGCAAAAGCTTCTCGAGCATGTCGCTGCCGCGGCGACTCTGACTTCGCCAGTCGGCGGTGGTGTCATCGGCGTCAGCGAGACCCTGCAGCAAGCCATGGGCACTCGCCCACTTAATGCCGGCAACATATCAACGCCGCCTCGGAGCCCGACGAAGACGGCTTTCAACCAAATTCACTCTTCTGCCTCTCCTTCCCCACAGCGGGTGGTCGCCCAGGTTCCATCCACCATCATCGAGCAACCTCTCTTTGAAGAGGCAGCCTCCACAGATGGGAAGGAAGCAGAACCTGCAACGTCGCTGCGTCGTGCCGAAACCATCCGAGTTTACGCCGACAACGACGTGTACACTCTTCTAGCCGACGTGGAGAACGCCATCAACAAAATGGGTGGTCGCGAGTCGCCCGCCAAGGAGGAATTTGGCCCAGAGATGGAGCGGAAAAAGCTTCACCGCGCCATGAGCCACGATGTGTTGAGAGGCTTGCCCCCTAGGAAGCCAGTACCGATATCCAAGCTGGAGGAGAAGCAGTCTTGCTCTTCGTTGTGCTCGGCTCCGGCCTCGACACCTCCGGCTGCCAACAACTCGACAGAGGAGATCTACCTTACCAGCGCCGTCTTCAAGCCGGAGTGACGGTTATAGTTAAGACTGTCCGATACTGTGCCACATTCATCTCTGAGAGATGCTTTCTACATACACACTCTCTCTTCCTCGGTTTATTCTACCTTCTTACTATTACGGTTTTTATTGTCATTACGATCATGCACGATCATTTACACCATCATAATGATGCCACGGCCGACTGCATACTATCCTTTTGCATTATTACTTCCTTTGATACCCCATTCTTGTCATTCCTTCGTTCATTCTTGGACCCAACCGGCATTCATCTCGCCAGATTATTCGATGGTTTCCACGTGCAGTGGGAACCCATCATAACTTGTTCATCTCTTATTTTATTATACTTTTATTTTAAACCCTTTTCTCTTTCACCGTCTTATTTTCTTGGGCATTGTACGTTAAGTTTATTAGCATACCCAAGCCCGGTCCTGGCGTTGGCGGCAGGGGCGAGGCAGGCAAATGCACGGAGGCAAACTGCACTTTCGGTTTTGTCAAAAAGGGGGAGGGAAACAATGCACATACCCACCACACACACACATACTAGTACGCTATCATGTTGCCACGGCCGATTCAACAAAACACCATGTGATATCCCGGAGGCGTGAATGGAATGAAATGGAAGGGAAGGGAAGGGGGAAAAAGGGGACAAGTGGTCCTGTAGATAGGAATGCCTTACCGCCTTATGTCCATACGACGCCCAATGATCATTGAGATCTTTCTAGCTTTGCCCATTGAGTCTTGTCTCTATGCATGATGAATGATCGATTTTGCTGATGATTATGTATTGCTTACGTTACCTCGCGCTTGCTTTTTGCTGTGTCAATTGGAGCGGTCCGGTCTGGCGTAACCAAGCGTTTGTTGAATCCGACGGCTTTCAGGGGTTTGTTGTGTCCAGAGACGGGACGGGGAGGTCTACGGGGGCGGCGGCTTGCGACGAATCCTCGTGTTACCTCCCTAGCCCGCAAAAGTTCCTACGGTTATGCGTCAATGGTATCCGTAAATAAAGGTACCTTACTGTGCCTCGCTCGGGCAATGGGTGGGTGTCTTTGTGTAACAACCATTTTGTATAACAACGTGGTGTTGTGCAACTGACGAGTTCGGAGTCGTCCCGTATGTCCTCAAACAGACAGTGCCGTAGGGCTGAGGCCCGGAGCTTGTTTGTTAGAGAGGTTAGCTAGTACTCACGGAGGTACAAACCGTGACTCGGACTTCTCGCATGTCTTCCGCAGCTTCCTAGTTGCAGCTGAATACCTAGGTACAAGAAAAGAGTGTCCCAGTCCTCCATCAAAGGTCACTGGTTGCCAGCAACCATGTAGCCGTTCCCGGTGAGCGGCCGGCCGGTTCCCATCGACCGACGATGTGGCCGTGGCCCGGGCCGTTACCGAGGGGGACGGGACCGTCAACCGGGACGGACTCCGACACTAGCGAGCAGTGCCAGCAGATAAGTTGTGCAAGTCTGCAGTTTCACGGTGCATTGGGCCTGTTGGGTATCTTGCTGCACTACAGCAACGTAAGGGTCCCCGTTCGTGTCCGGTACGGTTGTGCGGCATTCGGGGGGCCTTATGTCCGGTAGCCGTCGTGGGGGCGCCGAGGTGATGGAGCGGTCAGCCCAGGTCCGCGTCCGGCCCGGGTGTGGAAGACGGTGCCGCAGGTTCGGCGGACACAGTCACACAGGGACGTACATGCCGGAAACACCTCCTTTCCGTTGCGCCCGGTCGTCCGGGGCGCTCGGTCATTCCTCCCGGTCATTCCTCCTCCCCGGCCCCCATTTCCATTTCCAGCTCCCGCGCCAACCTGTATTCCGTAAGCCTGCCCGTATCCATAAGCCACGCAAGAACCCTCCTCCAGTTCCAGGCACCCTGCTCCCGTAACAGGAGGCTGAGATCCCGATGCGTACGCAGTAACTACCTCGGCCAGGTTCTAGGCTGAGGAACGGGGGGTGCCGCGCACCATACGACTCCCATGTGCTCCACTATTTCCGGGCACTCCCCGTAGCTGCAATGCGGTGTAGCAAGGCCGGGAACATGCCGGTGGAACAGGAAGCTCCGTAGGCCAATGGCCCCTGTACGGGCCTGTACGAGCAGTGAGCTCTCAGCTTTCGTCAGCTCCTGGAACTTCCAGAGGCCCCGGTCCGTAAAGAGGAGCTTGGGGGGTCCCTCGTCAGCGAATCGCCGAGGCCTGTCCCGCGCCTGAGCCTTCCAGTGGGTCTCCTACATAGCCCGTACCGCCGCTTCTATGGGCCGGTCCCGAGGCGGTCCTGCCCTTCGGTTCCTGCGTACGCGGGCCGGGCGCGGGGTAGGGAACCCCCCCTTGCGCCTAGCAGTAACCACTGCGTAACTGTCTCCCCAGCTTCGTCGGTTTCCGTGGGTGCCTGGGCCCCTTGAGCGGGCCTTGCGTCTCGCCCTCTTCTTTACCGTCACCGGGCATACCGCCTGTACAGCCGGTGGCACGCCTTCTGTATGATCTCACGGGAGGTATCCTCGGCGCTTGCGGGCCCTGCCCTGTGCGTAGGTAACGTCGGACGGTCCAGCCAGTCTTCGAAGTCAGCCAAGCGCTTGTTGAAGTAGAGGTCCAACGGTGGAACCCACGCCTCGGTCTCCAAGTTCCGGACCCGCGTGGCCTTGTAGGCGCCCGTTACCACCCGCAGGCTGCGTGACTGGGCAAGTATAGCATATGAACCATGGGAATTGCAGGTCCGAGGGACCTTGCAGTTCCAACACTCTTTCCTCGGGAGCTGCACATAACGCAATGGTTCACGTCCATGTCGCCGTCACGGTGCGTCACAATTGCAAGGTCAAACAGCTCAGGTTACGTGTCCGAGCCACGGACCTGAGTTGGAAAAGTCGCGCAAAGACTTTCCACGTGTTGTATACTGCAGGCATTCGGTCTGTTCCCGAAACCTGAATGCAGAGCCCGGGCTCGATCACTGCCGCGGAGGGGTGAGGTTCAGGGGCGAACCTCGGATGGAGCAGAGGGCCCGAGATGTCACGGCAGGCAGGACTGTTCACCTGCGTCCTGTTGGAAAGTATAGCGTATGAACCACGGGAACCCAATTGCAGGTCCCAAGCAATGGTTCACGTCCATGTGCGTCACAGCTTGCGCATAGGCGAAGTACCTAAGGAATTAAACTTCAACTTGCCTGTAATAGAGTATAGCTAAGTTTCAGGTCCTATTGTCTAGTTTCTATAAACTTTAAGTGTATAGTATATAGCATGGCCTAAGTTAGATGTGCTAAGTAGGTAGGTAGTCTAGAATAGTAGACTCGTCACGATGCCTTAGCTTGCAACGCTAGGGCTAAGGGAACAGCCTCGAGACAGCCAAAAGTAGTCATCGTGCCCTTATCACGACATCATGGCTCCTAAACACGTGAAGATGGTGGCGGTGAGATCAACACGATTTTGCGTCCACAAGAGCTGCACCAGTACCACAATATGTGTCATGCGCGACGCCAGCTGAAGCTCATGGCCGATCCGGCTCCGGTTCGGTCCCCGAATGGGTCCGAGGAATAGTGACGACATCGCCGACAGCTGTAGGCAGTGCGGCAATGGCTCCGACTCGACACAACGGCGAAAGGGGTAATGACGGCTCACATGTTACCGGATCCGGACCTTGACGAGGTCCGGGGCAAAGGAATAATAGCCATAGTAGGCTATAGAGGCCTGTAGCTCGTCAGGCAATATAGGCGTGTCCTAGGCAGCCAAAGCTTATTGAAGGTTGCTGAACAAGATTCTCCGGACTAGACGACGTAGAAGATCCCGCTTAGCGTCTGTGGGCACTGGTCACGGGCTCACTGGGTACGGGAACGGCTGCATGGATCGACGGGCATTAAGATGCCCCAACACCGGAGTAAGATGCCCCCAACACCGGAGCAATCGGCGAAGACGTGGTCGAGCAGTGCCTTGCGTGCGGCAAAGCTTACCTAGCACTGCTAACATGTGCGAGGCCCTGTTACCCCGAGGCCCTGTTACCCCGAGGCTCGCGCTAGGAATCCGCACAGAGATATAGCACCATCTTGGCGATCAGAAGAGCGCTCATTGATAAAGAGTACCGTATATTCTTGGGAAATTGAGTTGACCGTACTGCAAGTATTGAGCCTAGCAACCAATCCCAGCCTTACTCTACCGGTATCCTACCTGTCTCAACTTCTGATGCGATGTTGAAGCAAGCGGTTTGAGGTGAGCGAGATACAGGCTAGATGCATAGCTAAGTCCGAGGCCTGCAGTAGGGTCAACTCAATTTCCCAAGAATATACAGCAGTATATCGATTGTAGTGTCGTTAGCCAAGTTGGTGCCAGCAGGAGCTCCTACAAGTATAGGTCCATCTCCAGGTTCCTTCTTCCCGCTCAGGAGAGTCGACTATCTCCAGAAGCAACCAAGGTGACCATCACAGAGTTATACTTACCTCTTAGACTGGGCTCACTGACACTGCCGTCAACACGACTTAGGGCACGCTCGAAATTCGAAGCCACAACCGTGCCAGCAAACAACCCGCTCGCTTCACTCAACGGTTTGCCGATCCACAACACAATGGAACCGGTATTCAGACCCGTGTCGCCTGTCCATAGGAAAACCGGGAATCGCCATCGCCGTCGCTTGGCCGGACCGAGGACACGGATCCTTCCTGGACTCCAGGTAAGAAAATACAAATATTGAAAGTGTTAATAACAGATTTAGTGGATACTGATGATAATAAATAGAGGATTGGGAATCGCCGTCACCCTCACTTAGCCGGTCCAACAACGCGGATCCCCCACACATTGCGCCAAGGCGGGATTGCATTCGCCGCGCGAGACGGGAGTATGAGCAGAGAGGGGTGAACGATCCGGCGCTCCTGGAGGACGTCAACAGACAGATCGCCGAGTTCCACCGCGACGCGACGGGAGGAAAGTTCTCCCGGAACAAGGCGTTGCGCAGACTAAAAACAAAGCTGCAGCGCGCCGTCGAGGAACGGAGAAACAGCCCGCCCGGCCACCAACTCACGTCAGCGCTTCCAACGCGCGCTGAAATCTTGGCCTCTCGGTTCTGCCACCCGAGGGGCTTGGAGAACCCGGGGGTCGCTACAATGCTGGAAGAACTCGGGTTGCGTTCCTACCTTTCTTTCGCGCCGCTCCCAGGATCGGCCCCTCTGTCACCGCCTGTCGCTGCCGCCAACAATGTTGACAATCCAGGAGAACGGATGGCAAGCGCAGGTGGACGAGCTTCGTGAGGCGTTGCCAGGGATTGTCGAGGACATGGTCGGCGACAAGATCGCGCCGCTTCTTCAGTCGATGGAGCAGTTGAAGCAGCTAGTTCAAGACGCGATCGCCACCAGGCCCCCGGCAAGCGTACCGGAGCCCCCACCACGCGCCTTAGAGCCGCAGCCACACGCCCAGCAGTCGCAACCACGCGCATCGGAGCCCCCGGCAAGCGCACCGGAGCCGGAGCCACGCGCACCAGAGCCGGAGCCACGCGCACCAGAGCCGGGGCCAAGGGGACCAGAGCCCCAGCCAGCCGCGGATCCGGTGCCCATAGTCGCAGCTCCAGTGCCCTTAGCCGCAGCTCCAGGGCACGTGGCCGCGGCTTCGGTCCCGTTGGCTGCAGCTCCGGTGCCCATGGTCGCGACTCCGGAGCACGTGGTCGCGACACCGGGGCGCTTGGCAGAAGCTCGGGTGAACGTGGCACGGGCTGCGGTGCGCTTACTGGAGCTGCGGCCAAGGGGACCGGAGCCGGGGGCAAGGGGACCACTGGCCCCACCAGGCTCTCCAGAGTCGCTGCCTGGCACCCTCGGCAAGCATAAATCGCCGGACCAGTCTGGTCCGCCGGGCAAAAAGAGGGCTAGCTGTTGTTCAGCTCCAAGGACAGGGCGAGCAAGCTTGCTGCCTTGTTTAAGGACTGAGCAATAGCCGGCAAACCCGGACGGCGACGCTCACTGACGATCGCTGGGAGGCTCTGGCACGATGGGTCTGTGGATTCGGGATGGGATTGGCCGTGACGCTCACTGTACGACCGCTGGGAGGCTCTGGAACGACGGGTCAGTGGATTCGGGATGGATTGGCCTGACCTGGCTCTGGCAATGGGGCGATGGGTATCTTTGTATAATAACCGTCCATATGAAATGGGATATTGTGCCCTTGGCGAATTCGGACCATATGTTCTCAACTGGACAGTGCCGGTAGGGCCGAGGCCCAGCGTTTGTTGGCTGGAACCAACTGGAAGTTTGTGCATATATTGTTTGCTTTTCTTTTGAGGAGCTTGCAACTTGCCGGTTTATTGCTCCGGTGTCGTGTTTGATAGCGTCAGCAGCTGATGTTTGTAGCCTTCGGACTCAATTAGGCGGTGGTTTGTCGCTCGGTCACAGGGGTAAAAAAACTTGAGGATCTAGTATCTTACCCCTTCTCCGTTTTCAATACCCTTTACATCCCCTTCGAGCGAGGTGACACTCTTCATATTAACGAAATATGTGTGTGTGCCATTCCGTAAGCGGTCCGGGTACTGTACGTTAATCATTAGATAACCATCGGTTGTAAACATAAGGACAGGACATACAACATCATTTAAATTGTCACGACTCTTGTTCTCAAAGGCCTTCATTTCAGTACTGCGTCCGAGATGACAAGCCACGCCGATTCGTGTCTACATAACAGCGACCCAGCTGGAGTCGCAAACACCCTAGCAATGGATAATCAGGCTTTGAATCCCTGGTTTCCTGAGTACTGAATATCGCTCGCCAGCAGCTCATGTGATTAGCGCGGGTTCAACGGTTCGACAAGCAATGCGCAGCAGTCAAGCCCGGTCAAGCCAGCTCAAGCGCTGGGAATATTGACTTGGGTTGCTGGGTCTTGTCTTCAAAATCCTCGATTGGATCACTGGTGTAGTTAGGCAGGGCTCGAATATCTACCCGGCCGTCGCCAGCCCGCTTTCTGGGCCGGCCTCTCTGCCGTTTTGTTAACCCAATTCCAAGGCCGGCTTTTTTGGCGACTCGCGAATCTGAACGGCGACCGACAAAGAGCTTGGGAGGGGCAAAGCGGAAGTGGTCTACTTGTGCAGATGCTTCGCTAACCCCAAACTTAGAACGAGGTGGAACGACTGCCATTGAAGTTGTCGTCGAGGCATCAGCGTCCGAACTAAGTCCGCGACTCTCCACATCATGTGCAGATATCGAGCCAGTAGCACACGACACATCGGTCGAAGACAGGGGCACCGGACCAATGCTGTGGTCTGCGTTCACCTCAAGGCTCGGAGCTTGGCAAATCCCGTCCGAGCTATCCAACATGGGCGGTAAGTCCGTTCCGGCGGGCGAGTTGCTGGGGGCAACTTGCATGCTTGCAGAATTGTCGTTGGGTAGTCGGCCTCCAGTGGAATCAGATGTTGTTTCGTCATCATAGGCGTACAAACTGCCGGCTGTCGCAAGGTTACTGTGATGCTGGGAGTCTGGTTTCTCATCCGAGTAAGTTGAAGAATCGGATGGCCTCAAAAGTCGTGCGGCGTCCTGCCTGGCCTCCTCAAAGGCTGCTTTTTCAAGCTCATCGCTCGCCTGATCCCCAAAGAGAAATGTTTTCCACGCCTCGTCTGGGTCATCACTCTCTGAGGCGACGTCTGTTTGTTGAGCAGCCAATGGTGGATGTGTGGGTGAGCCCGTGACAGAGACGCACTCGGGAGATCCCAGTTTATCACTGCTGACACCTACACTTCCTTGCTCTGAAGGCTGAATGCTGCTCGGCAATTTGCCTTCATTCTGGGCATCACCCTCCCCCATCCTCACCACCGTATTCTCTTCTTGGTTCCCCGAATTTTGAAACTGCCTGTCGTCATCCGCGGCCAGCACGCTTGAAGAGCCAAATGATGGCAGACGGGGCAACGGCGAGCCGAAGTCCTCGAGCCGACGGAGTCTGGCAAGGAGTTCATCAAGCTGCTTTAGCATTTCCGATGAGTCGCTTGAACTGGGTGGTTGGCTGCCAAGTCGTGATTCATCAGGGCTCCCGTCCTCCAACGAAAGTCCGTCTATGGTAAGAGACTGGACGGCATCTCGCCCAGGTGGAGGCATCTCACTGACTCCGGGACTAATTTTGTATTCGAATGATTCCTGACTTCCCTCAACCGCGACATGGCTGCTGATGGCGCTCCGAGGTTCTTCGAGCCAATCTCGCCACTTGCGGTTCTCGATTCTCTCTGAGGGTGGCACAGGGGAAACGATGCGTCCAACCTGTGCTACGGCGCTACCAGTATTCTGGGAATCGAAGCCCTCAAAAAGAAAAAGAGCACCCGGGACTGGGCGTGCTGCAACTGGATGAGACAACAGGGGTAAAGAAGTGGCCAAGAGGCGGCCTTCGGCATCGCTCGAAATCCGCCAATATGGCTGGGTTCGGTCACTCCGATCACTTGACGGTTCTTTTACTGGCTCTGAAGACCGTGATCCCTTCCGACCTGGGCGGTTGACTCCTCCACCCGACTTGCGGGCCGAATGTGCGGCGATGGACTTGCTGAGGCTCGAGCTATCCCCAGGTCGTTTCTCTTGGCTCCCGATCCGAATCTTCACCTCATCACGTCGGAGGGGATATGCAGTAGTGTGCTGCCTCCGCTTCGAGGCCCTCTGCTCGGCAGCCGTAAGATGAAGCGGCCTCTTCTTAGCCGCATGAGCGTGTGCGGTCACGCTTGAAGCTAGGCTCTGGCCCTCTGACGCAGGAATTGAACGCTTCATAGCAGGGCTCGGCACGGTGTCGCGAAGAGTCCCCTAGTCCTTCTTCGCGAGCAACCTCTGCCTCATCTGCTCCAGCGCCTTCTCGTCATATTCTACAGTCGGGGCAGCGGCTCCCAGGCCGCCCGACCGTTCCTGAAAAAAGCGACTGATGGTAGGCAAAGGACTGTCATCCTGCGGGTCTGCGGTTTTAGACCTCTTCCTGTCTGACACCACTCTCGGCCGGCTAGGCGCGCGTGATGCGCGGTGAGCGGTGGAAGAGTTAGACCTGTTAGATTTGTTGGAGACATGAGAAGGCCGAGACGATGGAGAGCTCGACTGTTGCAAATACGAGATAGGAGGGGGTCCGTTTTCGGCGAGGGCCTTCAGCTCTGCTGCGCGGGCACGAGCACGAGCAAAATACTCCTTCTGACGCTGGCGGGCTGGGTTTACTTTCCTCAGCCTGCCCCGATTGGCACGGTAGAGGTTTCCCTCAGTCCAGTTCATGTCGAGAATGGCGCTTTCCACTTCATGCCATTTGTGGCAGTCTGTTGCAGGAAGAAAAAAGCTGAGTTGTCAATTGCATCACCGAATATGATAGAAGGAGCCTGCCAAAGCAAATCTACCTCCCCTAGCAGCCTGGGTAGACATCTGTTGCTCTTGCCCGAATGTGATCTGGTGTCCTCAACTACTGTGGATTGTGGAAGGCATGATGAACCATGGCGTCGTCCGTCCCCCTCTTTAAAGTCTAGACGTTTTTTTACCGTGATGTATCCGTATCATTCAGGAATTTACATACATACATACAATACAGGAAAGGACCCACTAAATATTACAGTAAGTCTCCAGCTCCAGGTTCAACAGCAACTGTAGCGTAGGCAACCCACTGAAAGCCCCGCACTGATCTCCGAACGTCGGTTGCGGGAGACTGGCTCTCATCATCGGAGTAATTACGGCTTTGGTAAACCCTCCATCTCCGCATGTCAAGGTCTCCGATATGCGAAGCACAACAGCGTGGAGGACGGCCATCCGGGTTTTCTCTTACTCCATAGCACGACCTTCCTGCCGTCTCCCTGCCGGGGGAACACAAGCACTTGCACCCTCGCTGCTCCTGCTCCGGACAATGGCGTCATCCACACCCTCCCCACTCCTCAAGCAGCCCGTCAAGCTGGCATGTGTGCAGCTTGCCACGGGGCCAGATAAAGCCGCAAACCTCTCGCGCGCCGCCGACAAGGTTCGCGAGGCGGCCTCGTCCGGCGCCAAAATCGTCGTGCTCCCAGAGTGTTTCAACTCGCCCTACGGATGCGCCCACTTCCCCCAGTATGCGGAGCCGCTGCTCCCCTCGCCGCCAAGCCCGGAGCAGTCCCCGTCCTTCCACGCGCTGTCCGCCATGGCGCGCGACAACGGCGTCTACCTGATAGGCGGTTCCATCCCGGAGCTTTACACCGCGCCGTCTACCGCTGCAAACGGCAAGGAAGAAGAAGAAACCAAAACCTACTTCAACACCTCGCTCATCTTCTCCCCTTCTGGCTCGCTGCTCGCGACGCACCGCAAGGTCCACCTCTTCGACATCGACATTCCCGGGGGCATCACCTTCAAGGAATCCGACGTGCTCTCGCCAGGCAACAAGCTGACGGTGGTGGACCTGCCCGAGTACGGGCGGATATCCGTGGCCATCTGCTACGACGTGCGCTTCCCCGAGCTGGCCATGATCGCCGCGCGCAAGGGCTGCTTCGCGCTCGTCTACCCGGGCGCCTTTAACCTGACCACGGGCCCGCTGCACTGGCGCCTGCTGGGCCAGGCGCGCGCCGTCGACAACCAGGTCTATGTGGCCCTTTGCAGTCCTGCGAGGGACATGAGTGCCGACTACCACGCCTGGGGCCACAGCATGGTGGTGGATCCCATGGCCAAAGTGCTCGTCGAGGCCGAAGAGACTGAGACCATTGTCACGGCTGACCTGGACGGGGACATGATCGAGGCGGCAAGGAAGGGGATTCCCCTAAGGGATCAGAGACGGTTTGATGTGTATCCTGATGTGAGCCAGGGAAAGGCTCGTTATGAGGAGTAGGAGCTGGCGCGGGCTTGCGGTAAGATCGTGGACGCGACTTGCTGTTGGATCGAAGACGCGGCCCCCGGGAATTGACTCATCTCCGGGCCGGATTCAGGAGCATCGCCGTCTCTTGGATACTCTCCGGGCTGTGACATTCCTGTTTGGCGGGGTAGTGCTTTGTAACAGTCGGAATGGTAGAGAACCTCCTTGACCAGTCGATTGTGTACCTAATTCCTCCGATCGATCTTCCAAATCGGTTGGGGACCCGCCTTAGCTTACTCAAAGCTCAGCTGGGACATACCAAGTTGGCGGGGAGAGGTATCCCTTCGCAGCGAGGCCACCCAACTTGATACCTGAAATTCGCCAGTTGAGGGCTCAGATATGGGTTGGGGAGACTGGAACTGAGTTGTCGTGCCTGAGGTGACTCGCGACGGAGAAATTGTCGCTGGTCTCAGCGGACCGCTCAAGGTGCGATGAGTTGGGTTAACTTCACAATGACTTGGACTGGTACCTGAATCGACGACTAGGAGCCGGGGCATAGATATTTGTAGATTGTAGTTGATGCCGTCTCAATTCCTTTGGGCCATTGTTCGGTGTGTCTAGGAATTTGGTCTATTTCAGTATCCAAGCATATGTTGAGATACCAAAGGGCCTGATGCAATTCCGACCCCCTTTTGGCGTAGAGTAGCTAGTCTACCCACTCTAATAACAGCGCCTCTCGGACTCGAACCGATTCTTGCTGCACTCCTTTTTGTCTTAAGCGCCTCGGCCATCGGTGTGAGGACTCCTACGTGTCCTCGAGCACCAAACCGACTGCCATCACTGCACAACTGCTTCATTGCAGAGCCTTCTGAGCAAAGGTGGGGAGGATGAAGGCGGCCTTGTGGATTTCCGAGTTGTAGTACCTGCACAGCTCGCCCTCCTGCTCCTTGGTCCACGACCGGACGGGAACCTTGACGTTGCGGTTGGGATCCTTGCAGCAGACCATGAATCCAATTTGGCCCGAGGGGTAAGTCGGGATGGTTGTATAAGCGTACTCAGCCACCGGGAAGATCTCGCTGCAGTCCTTCTTAAGCTTGGTGATCAGCGGCAGGTGGAGCCATTGATTCTCAGCTGCGTCCCCAAAGTTAGCACGTCTAGATCGAACCAAGGGTGGAATCAAGAGCACCAAAACAGAGAAAAAGACGAATTTTTTTTTTCATCGTCAATTAGACGATCGAGAAGAGGCATAAATCCAGAAACTCGGTAGGCAGGAAACAAGGGGAGGAGGAGGGATTCTCTCGCGAAGTGAAAGCCGAGACGAACTACCACTTGGCAGCCTCCTGAGAGACAACACAGAGTTGGATCAGGCAAGAAAATGCCCGACCAAAGAACAAAAGAAATTTCCTCCCAGGCGTCTCGGACTTTCTAGGATAAAGGAGACGTACAACCTTGGGTGGTAATAACGCCGCCCTCGCGGAGGGCATCGTGAAGAAGCTGGAAGTAGGGCTTCTGGAACAGAGACTCGGCCGGGCCCTCCGGGTCTGACGAATCCGTGATGATGACGTCAAAAGCATTCTTGTACTCGTCGAGAAACTTGAAGCCGTCTCCCACGTGGACCTTCACCTTGGGGTGGTTGAAGCCGGCAGACATGTGCGGGAGGTACTGTTTAGAGAGGCGGATGACAGCCTGCGCTGCTGTTAGCTGTCGCCGCAGGCCGGTATTGATCTTGCCGACCAACCTCATCAATGTCGCAGAGGATGGCCTCCTCTACACAGTCGTGCTTGACAACCTCACGGAGAACACCACCGTCACCGCCGCCAATGACGAGCACTTTCTTTGGGTTGGGATGCGAGTTCATGGCCAGGTGGGTGATCATCTCCTGGTATGAGAACTCGTCACGCTCGGTGCACTGGATGACATTATCCAGAACAAGCACATTGCCGTAGTCGGTGGACTCGAAGATCAGGACATCCTGATACTTGCTCTTCTCATGGTGCAGGACCTTCTTGACCTTCAAAGTCATGGCCTGGCCTAACGGGCGAGATGATTAACCGTGGATTCATACTGAGCCGAGGGGTGGCTCGATAGGGTTCGGTATGCTGACTTACCAGGCCACATGTCGGAGATCTCGCGGAACCATCCATCTGCACACCCACGTACAGTTGCTCGGTCAGCAAGGCTCTCGGATCACAGACGATACAGAGAAGGCAGGTGAGCTACGTGAGCACGGCACCACTCGGAACCGGCCCGGTTGAAGCGACTAGGGTACACGAATTCCGCGGCTGTCACGCCTCAGCCGCTGCTTCTGTGAGGCACAAAATATTGGCTGATGGCATGCTGCGGCAGAGCGTCCCAACGTAACTCGCAAATATCCTGCCGCCAGACTCGCAATTGCGAGATTTTACCGGGCGCCGACCACTGTTTGATTAGACCGTGGAGAGGTTTGTACCGGTCCTGGGTCAGGGCAGGGGATTTGGGACATGGCGGGGTAAAGGTTTGTTGTGCCTGTCGATTCCCACCATCGCGAGGACGTAAAGGTGTGAGGTAGACCGCGAACATGACATACCTTTGATGGTCGCGTGCGTAATCTCACCCATTTTTCGGAATTGGCTGGAGCTCGGTAGTTTAAATAAGATAGCACCGGCAAATTGACGCGGCTGGGAGAAGAGACGCTTGGAGAGAAGCAGAGCCAACTTGATGAGTTGAACAGTGAGGTCGTGGCGGGGTAGAGAGATGCGGCTGCCGTTTTTGTCAGAATTTTTTTTGGCACTGGCTGAAGCTCGGTTTCCTCAAGAATCGGATTTTCCAGTATGAGCGAATAAAAGCGTTGTACTTCGTAACGGGACCAGAGTTTGGAACCAATAACCTTGAATGCCCCGATATTGTGGAGAGCCTGATGCGTGAAGCGCTGAAAAAGTGAGGGTTTGCTAGCCACAGATTGGGTTATTAGACGCAAGAAGCCGTGCCTCTAAGTTACAGAACATCATGAGGGGCGGTGTATTGCCGCTGCACATCTTGCTTATGGATGACAACCCAACTGCGTCCGAATTGGGTAGTTCATATATCATATGTGAGAGAGAAGGCCGCTCTACCTAGCCCTTGCCGCCGTACCGAGCCCGCTCCGCATTCCGAGACATGTTGTAAACCCGCGAACCCGAAAACTCGCCGACCCGGCAACCCGGTTGCGGGGCTACTCTAGTTAGCTTTCCGAGGCCGAGTACGGGACGATACGTATGCTGTGGGCGCGCCGCGGAGCTGAACCGAGCTCGAGTGACCAGACCCGGAAAGAGAACGGAACCGAGGGGTAAACGTCAGCAATTGAGCTTCTGTGCGCGTTGAGAGCGGCTCGAGCCGAGCCATCTCCATACCGGGGATGGCCAAGATTGGCACTTGTCAGATCTTACATATCAATACCGAGACATACCCTTGACTTCAAGGAAACACCATAGAGAAAAAGGCTTGGTCTTCCTGCTAGGACTGATTCGGAGGAAGTACGTTCACGCGAAGCTGGCTGGTTGGATATAAGGTAAGGACCTTGAGAAGGAAAGCTGAGTGTAGCTCGAGTGCGGTTACATACAAATATCTAACTTGGTGATACTGCAGCATGAACTCGCCTGAAACAAACTATCGATAACGTGTTCTTATTATGCTGCTAAGTCGTCTAGTGTGCAGAGCTAACGGCGTCCACACTATACAGGGTATTTCTTTTGCTGCATCTTTCCATGGAATGATTGGGTGTTCGATGCTAAAGACGTTCTGTGTCGGGAAAAGAGGTTCGTGCCGGAGCGGGAACCAAATGAACATGTTGTGCACCATAACTCCACTAACCGAAAGTTCGCGATAGTGGGACCCACTTGAGGGAAGCTGTGTTGATCAGTACCGGTTTGGTAAGAATACCCGCCTCATACCGGCAGGGTCAGAGAACCCGTTGGTCTCGGCCTGCTGGACATTGCAGGCCGCGAAACATGGCCTTGTTACCCCCACTGCGGTCCCATAGTGAAAAAGAAAAAGAGAAAACGAAAAAAGGGGAGGGTAAAAGAGAAGGCGACGCGACAAGCCGCAACTTTCTCCCATTTACTTCACATGAAGTTAGAGGTATCATACACACACACTTACAAGGACCGTACAGGCCAAAGCAACTCAGTTTTACACCACTGGGACTGAGAACAGTGACGTGAAACTGTCTTACGGCAGAATCCCGACAGTCTGGGGTTCGCTCGTGTGGCGTTGAGACCTGGAAGAAATATGGGGCGAACTCAACTGCACTAGGCGGAATCTGGAGACAGGCGTATCCGTGCTCTGCCACTGCTCCCCTCGCACGTTCACACCGGGTAGGGTCCGCGATTGGCCCGTAACTAGTGTACACTATATGTAGGTAGACATATATAAAGTTAGGGGAAGGGACCCGCCAACTCTTCATGAGATCTTCGAAGACAAGCAAGAGCAATAAGGGTGCACCTCAGTCCTGCTGAAACTACATACACGCGTAGGGAGTGCACGCTGCACTTGCTGTTCGAAAGAAGGTCGTCGGCAGGTCCCTATACCTTAGTCAAAGTGCTGTACGAAGTAAGTAAAATATACATAGTAGTAGTCTGGAAATAAGGGAGGCGAAAACTTCCAGGTTTGCGAATCTCAATCCAACACATTGTGTAAAACTCTGGCAGTTGCAAAACCTCACAAAATGGCATCCTCCTGCCACATCAATCAACTATAGTTTACCACCTAGCCTGTGTAGCCGGCCCGGTTACAGATGTCGGGGTCCGAATCCTGTCTCAAGATTCAATTCCCTACACGTGTATGCCCTGTGTCCACTTCAGCAATTTTCCGGCTTATATGTATGTAACCAAGAGACCCTTTTTATTAGTTGCGATCGACCGTTAGCACCGGGTGCTCGGGAGAATCTAGCGCTTGCCCTAATTCAACGCCAACCAGCGCCATTCCACGCCCTTCATCAGCGGTGGAAGAACGCCATGCACAGGCGGATCTGAGAGCAGATATGCAATGCAGGCAGACCCCTGTTGAGGTCCACCACCTTCTTGGCCCACCTACTGCAGAGTAAGGTAACTGCAGGAGTCAAGGGCTCAGAGGCAAGAGCCCCCTAGCATGGTTCCCTCCTAACGATGGGTCGATGCTGCTGTAGGCGAATTAATTAATGTCCATCGGCGTTGCTCTGCGCCGCTGGGCCACCGTTCTCGTCTCTCTTGAATTTCTGGTTGCCTTTCCACCCGTACTTTGCCGCCTTACTACGTACGAGTCCAGGTGCTTCGATGCCGACTCTCTCGCCGTGCCTCGCCGCCAACTTTACCCATCAAGAACCAGCTGCATTCTCTTACCTATGCTGTTGACCCCTCCGTCTCCCGAATTCTCCGGAACCCTTTCATCAACTGCCTCAGCCATTTAAGACGACAGTATCCCGACCGAAGCCGTCAGCTGTCAGCAGCAGAAGAGGGAGGATAAAGTCTAACGCTGGTTTCAGCATCTGCATCAATCGGCCGACACCTCATTTTAGAAAGGAAGCACAAACCATCGACGAGATCGAGTAGTTAGGTGTTTCAAGCGACCTTAGCTCATCTGGTGGCGGAGCCGCCTTACACCCCTCCACACGGTAGCTCCGCACCCGGGCAATAGACGACGTCAGCCACGGTCTGCCGCCAAATTTTGGCGTTTGTCAATAGCTGCTTCCGAGAAGCGCCGCCGCCATGTGTTTCGGGGGCCGTGACAAGCAGAGCGATGAGGGCGCTGCCCGCTCGCGCGAGCTAGACAAAATCATCCGCGCTGACGAGAAGCGCATGGCCAAAGAAGTGAAGCTGCTTCTATTGGGTACGAAACCCGCCTTGACACCAATGGCTCCGAGAACGCCACAGCTGACTTCGCGATTGGACAGGCGCCGGCGAGTCCGGAAAATCGACGGTGCTGAAGCAGATGAAGCTTATCTATGCGCAAGGATTCAGCAAAAATGAGAAACTCGAGTGGAAGCCCGTTGTGTTCGCAAATATCGTTCAAGCGTTCCGCCTGATCTATGACGCTATGAACGAGCTCGACATCAAGTTTGAGAACCCCGAGAACGAGGCAAGCACTGCTGCCCACGCCAAGAGCTGGTGCCCCGGGACTTTACTGACCGAATCTGGCACAACAGAAAAACATGGCTCACATCATGGTCGACCACGAGGTAGGGGCACATGATCCCCTACCCGAGGACTTTCTGGAGCCCATCCAGAAGCTGTGGGTCGATGAGGGTGTTAAGAAAGCCATTGCCAAGGGCAACGAATACGCGTTGCACGACAACTTGGATTAGTAAGTATAGCTAACGCGCCTTTGGATAAGGAGGAGTTGGCTAGAGCTGACCGACCTCCAAAGCTTCTGCTCAGATTTGGAGCGTCTCTGGGACAAGAACTACGTACCCACAGACCAGGATCTTCTGCGGTCAAGATTAAGAACCACAGGTATCACTGAGACTATCTTCGACCTAGGCCAGCTCACATACCGTATGTTCGATGTCGGTGGTCAGCGGTCTGAACGGAAAAAGTGGATCCACTGCTTTGAGAACGTTAACTGTTTGTTGTTCCTGGTGGCGATCTCTGGATACGACCAGTGCCTCGTGGAGGACAAGGATGGAGTATGTGTCACCTCCTGTTGATGCTGCAGAGGGACTAACGTTTGGATCCAGAACCAAATGAATGAAGCCCTGATGCTATGGGAATCGATCGCAAACTCGCACTGGTTCACCAAATCGGCGCTCATTCTCTTCCTCAACAAGATGGATCTCTTCAAGGAGAAGATCGCAAAGAGCCCCATAACAGCCCACGGCTTCACCGACTACCATGGACCGGCAGACGACTGGAAGCAAGCCAGCAATTATTTCATGAACAAGTTCCGGGCGCTGAACCGGAACCCAGAGAAGGAGATCTATGGCCATTTCACCAATGCCACCGATACAAACCTGCTCAAGATCACCATGGGCTCCGTGCAGGACATGATTATCCAGAGGAACCTGAAGCAGCTTATTCTGTAAGGGGCGATACCTACACCACTCAACCCCTTGATTTTTTTCCTTCCCCTTGGGATCGTTCGCGCCGACCTTCGCTCCTCGACACTGAAAAGCAGCCGAGGTGTGAAGTGCAGGCGAGGTCGCAACAGCTGTCCAACCTCCATTTCTGTTCAACCATCATTGTTTTGACCCCTATCACACAAGATTAGAAGTGACCTAACACCGGTGGCTTCTGATTTAGGGTCTGATGAATGTGCGATCCCGGGTTCTTCAAGCATCCACCACACGGCCGAGTGGCAATGTCTGTCTTTACACCTTCTAGCCATCATTGGCACGTTGGGTCTTCTTTCGCTGTATATATTGGCGGGTGGGCCTATATTCCTGCTACCTAATTGTCTATATCTTGAGCTACTGGATGGATAAGCGTGCAACGCCCGACCGACGATCCTGTCATGCCGTCTCGCGCAAAGTCATTCTCAGGACATTGCTTGATCGAAACTAAGGGTTCGTTCAGACGATGAAACCTCACCTGGTCATCAGGTACGCTGAGCATTGAACCAGATGCTTGATTCTTATTGCTTCGGGAGGGGGGGGGATATCCCCAAGGGATGCGTGGAGACAAGTCCAGGGCGGAAAGATGTTTTCTGCCTGAAGTTATGGGTTAGAGAAGCGAGACGCTGTGTTTCCTAGGGCGAGTTGGTTCGCTGGATGGATGGCATTCCCTTCTGCTTGCCCCAACACCAGGCGTATCCCGTCTTGGTGTGTAGTGTATGAGAAATGACGATGGATTCTTTCGCATCGGGTGGGATGAGTGTTCGTGCCGGGTACTACACTGCATGGGCTACTACTGGAGTGGGGTTGGTTTTTTTTACGGCAAAGATCTCGCGGTATGCTTTGATGAGCTGCCTATTGCGTGGGAGGGAGAAGCTGAGCCAGCAAGAAAATTCTATCTCATCAACCTGTCAGATTCAACCCTTATCAGAACCTTTCTGCGTGTGAGTTTTCGACGTGTCATGGCAAATGTCTTCTGCCAAAAGCGTTTTTTGTTTTACAGTCAGGAAGGGCTTTTGAACGCGTTTCACTCCAAGCTTCTTGTTCTACACGTGTAATCTCAAGGGCCATATGGATATGTATTGAGGATGTCGTAAGACGGAAGGCAGTTGGTCGTTGGCCCCCTCAACTCCACTCCGATCCGCGTCTTGGCCAGAGCCGTTTGCGGGGCCTTTGCAGTTGGGGAGGCAGAGGAGCTCCTATCATCATTTGATAGGAGCTACTCATGTCTTCGGTACTGTATGTATGTCCTACAGAATGATTGTGGCCAATTAAGGCCTTTTTCTTGACTTGAACTAACGCCAACTACTGCACGAGTTTCTTCGGTACTTCAGGCAGCCATGCCATGTGCGGGCTCGGGCGGGTGTTAAAGGATCGGGATGGCGCGCGCCTCGCCTCCATGTGCCATATGGCTACCACGTGGCGGGAGCGGATGCAGGACGTTAGTGTCTCCGTAGTGCGGAGTATAAATGCATGTTGTAGAAACAGTAGACAAGTGTGTTAGGGTTGTCGCTGTTCCTCTCTCTCAAGTTTCAAGCCAGTCTTTATAGTGGTATGTTTTGCTCCGTCTCAATATGAAAGCTCCTCAACCGTGGTTTTATACCGAACAACGTAGTGTTCGTAACACGGCCAACCATGATTAACCCAGAATTCTGTCACCTGTTGGAGGACAGTGCTTGGTGTGTGGGTGGCATCTCCAGATGCATTGGCACTTGTTCGAAAATAACGCCAGATTGGGTTAGCGCGGTGGTTGAATAACGAACCTCCGACCGAATCCCCGCAGCAACGGCACAGCAACGCGCCGATGTCAGCTGTTGTTGACATGGTGGTTCGGCCCCAAGTTGAATTCAAGCGAATGTATCAAGTATCAATATGATGATTATCGGCCGTTCTGTTGTGTTTCAGAGACTTTAGCCAGACGGCAGACATCGCATCGCACGTTCAGTCAGAATAGGAAACTAGAGTAGTCGCGCCTTCTCTTGTATGTAGGATATTCTTGCCGCGCTCCTCCTCTCATCAAGTAACTTGTGCGATCTTCCGGTGCAACTGATTTGACCATAGCACTAACATATCTGTAGGTACTAGTACCTAACTCTTTGGGTGTACCTACTGTGGGACCATGTCATAAAACATCTCGATATCACTAGAACAATGGCAGCAGAAGCCGCTGAAAAGACCACCTTCATCGACAATGACAACCCCTCATCTGCCGCTCCGGACACAGCAGCAGCTACTAAGCAAAGTCAACAATCATGGATTACTCAACGCTTCCCCTTTCTCCGGACCAAGCGGGGCATTGCGATTACCGTCGCCGTGATCCTCGTCATCATCGGTGGCGGCTTGGCCGGTCTGGCTGCACTGCCGAAGCACAGGGGAGGGGGCGCTGCAGCTGGGGAGGAGGATGGTGCCGGTGACAGACCGGGGGCTACCATTGACGATACATACTTTTACGGGCAATCGCCGCCCGTGTATCCCTCGCGTGAGTGCTGAATTCGTTCATTCCGCTCTCTTCGAAATGTACTGTACTACGTCTGGATGAGCAAGACTGACCATGGCAACCATAGCGAACATGACCGGCTCCGGCTCTTGGACCGAGGCGTTTCTCAAGGCAAAGGAGCTGGTCGGGCAGATGACGTTGGCTGAGAAGGTTTGTGATTTTGTGCTGCTTCCTCCTCTACTGCCCCTATTTTTTCTCACAAATAGACAGGTCAATTTGACCGGTGGTGTCAGCTCCAACACCAGTTGCAACGGCTTTCTCCCGGCTGTGCCCCGCCTCGGTTTTCCCGGTATGTGTCTGAGCGACGCGGGTAACGGGCTCCGCGGCACCGACTTTGTCAGTTCCTGGCCGAGCGGCATCCATGTCGGCGCCAGCTGGAACAAGGCGCTTGCTCGCCGGCGAGGGACCGGCATGGGAGGGGAGTTTAGGACGAAGGGGGTAAATGTACTGCTTGGGCCGGTTGTGGGGCCGGCGGGCCGTGTGGTGCTGAGCGGGAGGAACTGGGAAGGTGAGGTTGGTTTGAGAGTTTGTCGAGGAGATATGTTGACTGACGCGAGCAGGTTTCTCGAGCGACCCCTATTTATCAGGGGTTCTAGTCTCTGAGACAGTCTCGGCTGTGCAGGCTGTTGGAGTGATCACTAGCACAAAGGCAGGTTTTCTAGGTACTAGCATCTCTGGGGCATTGCTGACCTCGCCTTGCAGCATTATGTTGCCAATGAACAAGAGACGAATCGAATGCCCTCGGGCGATACCGAATCGGTGTCGTCAAATATCGACGACAGGACAATGCACGAGCTCTACTTGTGGTAGGTTTACAGCAGCCTCATTTGCTGCCTACGCCTTCATCTGACAACAGCCAGGGCGTTTCAAGATGCAGTCCGCGCCGGCAGCGGCAACATCATGTGTTCGTATAACCGGCTCAACAACTCGTATGGCTGTGCCAACAGCAAGGCGCTCAATGGCCTCCTCAAGACCGAGCTGGGGTTCCAGGGCTGGGTTGTCAGCGACTGGGGCGCGCAGCACGCGGGAGTTGCCACAGCGCTGGCAGGCATGGACGTGGTCATGCCTACCGGCAATGCTCTCTGGGGATCGCACCTTGCTGATGCGGTCAACAACGGCTCCGTTCCCGAGAGCCGTTTGGATGACATGGTAACAAGGCAAGGCTCATTTCCTTCGCCTCCTTCCCGCCTCTTTCGGCTAACAGACGCCAGGACCATTGCCTCATGGTATCAGATGCGCCAAGATCAGGATTTCCCTAGACCGGGTGTGGGCATGGCTATGGACCTCACAGGACCTCATGAGGTGATTGATGCGAGGAACTCTTCTTCTCGATCGACCCTGTTTGATGGCGCGGTTGAAGGCCATGTTCTTGTCAAGAACATACGGAACGCATTGCCTCTTCAAAGCCCCAAAATGCTCTCCATATTCGGCTACTCGGCGAAAAACCCAGACAAGACCAACCCGAGCGGCGGCCTCTCGCCATGGCTGTTTGGTGCCGACTCGTTCAACTGGACAGAATTCGGCGCCGGGTTCTTAGGTTGGTCCGGGGATGTCGGAAAGACGGCCATCGCCTTCAACGGGACAATCTACTCAGGGGGCGGTTCCGGGGCCACCCCAAAATCAACAGTCATTTCCCCCTTCGATGTCCTTACCCAACAAGCCTACGACGACGGCACCGCTCTCTTCTGGGATTTCGAGAGCGGCACCCCAGCCGTCAACCCCATGTCCTCCGCCTGTCTCGTGTTTGGCAACGCCTACGCGACCGAAGGGGCGGACCGGCCCAGCCTCAGGGACGACTACACCGACGGTCTGATCAAGCACGTCGCCGACCGCTGCAACAACACGGTCGTCATCTTCCACAACGCCGGCATCCGCCTAGTCGACCAGTTCATCGACCACCCCAACGTAACAGCCGTCATGCTTGCCCACCTTCCCGGCGAAGCCTCCGGCCGCGCCCTCGTCTCGCTCCTGTACGGCCGCTCCAACCCGTCAGGCAAGCTCCCCTACACAGTCGCCCGCAACGAGTCGGACTATGCCGTGCTCGGGCCGGACTTGCCGCCCGAGCCCGAGGGGGGTGACATGTTCGGCTCGTTCCCGCAGAGCAATTTCACCGAGGGCGTGTTCGTCGACTACAGGCACTTTGACGCGAACAACATCACCCCCAGGTACCCGTTCGGGTTCGGGCTGAGCTATACCACCTTCAACTACAGCAACCTATCGGTGCAGAAGGCGGAAGACCAGAGCTTGAACTTTGACGAGTACCCCACGGGCGCGGTGGTCCAAGGCGGGCAGGCGGATCTGTGGGACGTGCTGGTCAACGTCTCGGCCGACGTGACCAACACGGGGCCGGTGGACGGGGCCGAGGTTGCGCAGCTGTATGTGGGCATTCCGGCCGAGGGCGCGCCGGTGCGGCAGCTGAGAGGGTTTGAGAAACCGTTTTTGAATTCGTCGAGCACCCAGACAGTGAGGTTCGGCTTGACGAGGAGGGACTTGAGTGTGTGGGATGTGGTGGTGCAGAGGTGGAGGTTGGTTAGGGGGGAGTATACGATTGAGGTTGGCGGGAGTAGCAGGGATTTGCCCCTTGTTGGGAGGGTTACCATTTGATCCTAAGGGGTCCTATGGTTGGATCAAGGTGTTGGGGTTGGTTTGACTTCTACTGAAGATGCTTGGATGGTGTTTAACGGAGCGGGATATAATGGCATGAGACGTGGAGGAGTTAAGGGAGCGGTGGCAACGCTGAATGAGCAAACATTCGCCTTGCGGGAGGATGAATGGATTTTTGACATTACAGCATCTGGACTTTGTAATAGCTTTTTGGAGATACCTATATGCATATCAACTCAATTGCTTAATGCTTATGCATACCCAGGTCGACTGGTCCTACACCCCTTCAAGGGCCTTTCCCAAGGCGACTAAATCTAATAGCAATGTCCCATGGGCCTGGGCGAGATATACACCCGGCGCGGCGACTTTACCCGGCCATGTTGTGCCCGCGGGACAGCGGGCTCAATGGGCTTGGCCATGTCGGAGTTTGCTGGTTCGGCTGAACAGCCGGAACGACGTGTAATTTGGAGCCCACCGAGGGCGGCTGCATGCTTAGCAACTCTCATCAGTCTTTCTCAGGCCCTGAAGAGAGGGTGAGTTCATCTAATTTAGGTGAGGAGGAAGGGTAGACCGTCTCGTCCCGCGGCCATGGCGCTGGACGTAGGAGGAGATATCAAAAGGGGCACACCTCCCCGCTGAAGCACTCGACGCAGGTCCCATTGTGTCAAACTCATCCGCCAACAAACTCGCTCTTGCCCACCATGCACACCCCAACCCTCCTCCTGCGAACGGCCCTCGCCGCCCTCATCACCCTGCACACCTTCCCCGGCAGCAGCCAACTGCACAAACTCGCGCAGCAAGCAGGTCTCCTCTACTTTGGCGCCGCCACCGACACGCCGGGCCAGCGCGAGCGGGCGCCATACCCGCAGTCGTACGCGCAGTACGACGCCATCCTGGCCGACCCGGACGAGTTTGGCCAGACGACGCCGACCAACGGGCAAAAGTGGTTGTTTACCGAACCCTCCCCGGGCGTCTTCAACTTCACCCAGGGCGACTACGTGGCCGAGCGCGTCGCGGATGGCGGCAAAAAGAAACTGCTCCGCTGCCACGCCGCCGTGTGGCATAACCAGCTCGCGCCCTGGGTGATGATGGACGGGAATGCAACCGTTACGTGGACGAAGGAGAGTCTGGCTGAGGCGGTGCAGAGGCATGTGAGTGGCGTCGTGGGGTATTATAAGGGGAAGTGTTATGCCTGGGATGTGGTTAATGAGGCGCTTGATGAGGATGGGACCTACCGAAGGAGTTTGTTCTATGAGGTGCTTGGGGAGGAGTATTTGAAGCTGGCGTTCGGCGCGGCGGCTGAGGCGGATCCGGCTGCTAAGCTGTACTACAACGATTACGGCATTGAGAGGCCCGGGTCGAACAAGACGGCGGGTGTTAAGAGGCTGGTAAGGATGCTTAAGGATGCGGGCCTGCGTGTGGATGGTATTGGGATGCAGGCGCATTTGCATGCGGATAACCACCCGTCCAAGGACGACCTGCTGCAGACTATGAAGGGGTACGCGGAGCTGGTGGACGAGGTGGCTTTTACTGAGCTGGATGTGAGGATCAGGCTGCCTGTTGATGAGACCAAGCTGGCGATGCAAAAGGAGTGTTACCAAAAGGTGGTGGCGGCGTGCGTCGAGACGGAGAAGTGCGTGGGGATTACCGTCTGGGACTTTTATGACCCCTTCAGCTGGGTGCCTGATGTCTTCCCGGGCTATGGCGCGTCGCTGCTGTGGTTTGAGGACTTCAGCAAGCACCCGGCCTACGATGGCATGGTGGAGACGTTTAAGAGCCTGATTGCTGCGAATGGAACGGCGACGAAACGGAAGGTGTAAGGGGGTGAAAGTTGAGAGCCTAGGCTATCTGTTAGTGCAGCGAGAATTTCACAGCCAAAATTCATCCTCCCGACTACACCTCTTAACAGAGCCTTATTAAAGGGACTTAGATATGCTGGTGGCCGAATTGGGAAGTGGGAAGTGGACTTGAAAAACGCACTCCCCAAGCAGTGACTCAAAATCAAACCAAATCCAATTCATTGCTTAGTACTTGGATGTTCAGATTCATCAACCTACAGCTTCTGTCCATTGCCTTACTCTGCCAATTCTTGAATACTACCTCCAGTCCAGCCGGCCCTGACTCGAAAGAGTCGAAACCAGCTCCGGTCCGGGCACCACACGCACGCTCCGCTCATGAGCCGTCACCCTGACCCCCCTCCTCCACATCAAATCCTCGAAGCGGGTTTAGCTCAGTTGGGAGAGCGTCAGACTGAAGTCAAACTTTGGGAAAGTCAATCTGAAGGTCGTGTGTTCGATCCACACAAACCGCATCGTTCGCTTTTTGCTTCTTGCTGCAGTGGGATCCATAGGACTCAGATGCGGTGGTGGAGTCGAGGTGGAACAACGGCTCTGCAGGTTGGCGGTTGGGGTTGTGCCCTTATATCATCGAAGTGTTTCTCAATTGATGAAGGTGTTGGATTATAAGAGCCGGAAGCTCTTGATCGTGGATCTCGAACAAGAGTTGTTACTAGAATAGATTCGCCGCGGGAGGAGTTGTATGTTGCTTAGTTAACTGCTCTATCGCATAGATCTATCTCCCTGAGTCAGCCCCTGACTGCCAAAACAGACAAACATACAAACAAAAAAAGAAATCTGCTGCAACTGCATACAGTCCCTATTCAACCCGCAATCGTCTTCTCGGATACGGGGAGTCGAACCCCGGGCTGTTGAGAGCAACTCAGAGCCGCGAAAGCCATGAGAGCCAACCATGTTACCGCTCCACCATACCCGATCTGTTAGGTGTGTATAGCCTCCAACAGGGGATTACCTGCTGGCAAGTGCCGAAAGCATTTTCACATCTTGTCTTCAAGAAACTTTGCTTCTATTCTGAGTGAAGTCTCCGCTGGCTTCCGAAAACAAGCATCGCGAACAACGACTCATCAACTAACAAGTCCCTACATGGGTGTATGGTCTAGTGGTATGATTTCTGTTTTGCAAAGCCTTGGCTGCCTCTGCATATACAGACGGTCCCGCGTTCGATCCGCGGTACATCCAGAAGTTTGGCATTATCCTTTTGCTAGTTGAGTCTTTTTGGTGTTTTTGTGTTCTTGTCTATTCTAGCTAGCCCATTTCAAAAGCAATGCTGAAGAATCTGTTCTCCAAGTGTTAGTAACTCTTTGCAACTGCCAGTGCTTACAACTGAGTCTTGGAGATAACCTAGCTGCTAGGGTTCAATAACATCAGTCCTGCCTTAGAGGGAATTGGACCATAATCAATTGTCCCCCTTACATGCGATTCTCAGTAATAATAAGAGGTGCATACAATTGAAACCAGTCGTTTAGATCTCAATTTGTACCCTACATGCAGTTAATAAGCTTATATTTTTGACCTCAACTGCATCTCAAATGCCCGGCTAGCTCAATCGGTAGAGCGTGAGACTCTTAAGCTAGGGTTCTCCGGCATCTCAAGGTTGTGGGTTCGACCCCCACGTCGGGCTCAATTCCCGTGCGAGTTGAGAGTTGGCTTCTTTTTTGGTTTCTTTCCCCCTAGTTTCACCTGTCTGTTCTCTTTCACCCTTTTCTCTTCGGTTTTCCTGTCCATTGCCGGCTCTTCCACTCCGCCAGTCATCCTCTGTATGTCTTCGCTTATTGGTTTTACTAAGTTAGAGCCTTGCCTCGGGGTATTGTAAACATGCAGAGAGAAAGGGGCTGTTGGTTTAGTATGCTAGTTCACTATCATCCCGCCGATCGTCGTGGATGTAATATTCGGTTGATTTTAACTCTGTCAAGTCATTTACAATGTCCTGATGCAACAAATCAAGAATCCGCCCGGCTTAATGACCCGTCCACTCTTCTGATGAACCACTTCTAGTCGTAAATCGGACATCTGGTTCTATGCCGTCTATCTTTTTGAGCATATTTGAGACTACTTTGGCAAGCTTGCCTTGCCAAAGATGTTACAGCTGACGCTATGTGTCTACTTCTACTACTACCGATGAGAAGGATCACTCGCAAAGTTGTGTATGCTTTTGAGGCGAGTTAGCTGCCGAGTACATTAACTGGAGAGGGTAGGGACCATACCTGATATCTTCGCGAATCTCCGGGCTCAGCTGTGGAAGGCGCTTTTCCTCGCCGTTGAGCCCGCCCTGGTCCCTGAGCTCCAAGTTGAAGGAGCCGTCCGCGAGCGTACGTTTCCCCACGTTGACGGCACCGCTGTTCCCAACCGCGGTCTGCGTCCCCGCCTCTTCCGCAATCTTTCTCTTCTTGCCCCGAACCTCGTTCAGGTGCTCAAAGTAACCTTCCGGTACTTCGGTCTTGTACTTTCCGCAGAAAACGCCGACCTCGAAGTCAGTAACCTTGCCTGCAGGTGCCGCCTCCATGCACGCCGCTTTCAAATCGTCAAGGTCCTGGTAGATGACGTCGTCGGCATTGATGTGTTTGGCAATGTCTTGCCTCGTCTTCTCGTGCGCGATCAACTCCTGGGGGGTTGCGAGGTCGATGCCATACTACCCAGAGGTTAGCGAGGCTGTTGGACCGATGGGGGAGGCAGGATTTACTAACAATATGAGGATGCTTGATCGGGGGAGCACAGCTTGCGAATATTACCTTGCGTGCTCCCGCTTCGCGCGCCATGCTCACAATCTCCCTGCTTGTGGTTCCGCGAACAATCGAGTCATCGACAAGGCAGACAACGCGCCCATTGAACTCGGACTCCATGGCACTCAGCTTTCTCCTCACACTCTTCTGCCGCGCCTTCTGGCCGGGCAGGATGAAGGTCCGGTACACGTAGCGATTTTTGATGAAGCCGTTGGAAAACGGCTTGCCGAGGCGCTCTGACACGACGGCGGCCGCTGTGTTGCTGGTTTCGGGAACCGGGATGATAACATCAATTTCCTTGATTCCCTCCTCGCCCAGAACCTCCCTGATCTTGTCGGCCAGCTTGACGCCCATGTTTTGTCTGCTGGTATTGACAGAGATACCGTCCATTACCGTGTCCGGCCTGGCAAAGTATACATACTCAAAGATATCGGGCGAGTATGTCTTGACCTCAGTGACCTGGTGAAACTGCGGCTTTCCCCCCTTCTGGATGAAAACGGCCTGGCCGGGCAGGATGTCCTGAAAATTCCGGAAGCCCAGCTGCCGGAGGGCAATACTCTCCGACGCAAGCATGTAGTCGGTTCCGCCTTCGACCGTAGTGGACGGCCGGCTTCCCATGATGAGCGGGCGGATCCCGAATGAATCGCGGAAGGCCAAGATGCCGAAGCCGGCAACCATGGCAGTGACGGCCCATGCCCCCTGGCACCTCTGATATGTCTGCGTCAAGGCGCTGAAAATGTCATCGACATTGACCCGCGCCTTGCCGGTCTCGTTCAGCGCATTGGCGAAGACATTGAGCATCACTTCGCTGTCAGAGTCTGTGTTCACATGGCGGTGAGCTTCTTTGTCGAGGAAGCTGCGCAGGTCGGGGGCGTTGATCAGGTTGCCATTGTGCGCGAAGCAGAGGCCGTACGGTGAATTGACGTAGAAAGGCTGGCTCTCGGCACTCTTTGAGGGGAAAGATGTCAGTCAATAGAACAGATTCTCGCAAACGAGAAAAGAGAAAAACGAAAAGCAAAGGCATACCGAGCTCGTCCCCGCAGTCGGATATCGCAGATGTGCGATGCCCATGAACCCCGGGAGGTCGGCGACGCGCTTCCCGTCTTGGAACACCTTTGACGCCATGCCATTCCCTTTGCACTGGAATATCCTGCCGCCCGTCCCGCAGGTCGCAATGCCGCAGGCATCTTGGCCGCGGTGCTGGAGATAATACAGGCTCTCGTGCAGGTCGACCGCGGCGTCGGCGCTCGCCGAGTCGGCGAGAATAAGACCGAGAATGCCGCACATTTTGCGCCGATTCGAACGTACCGGCCCTACTTGATAAGTGAAGTTACCAGTGGGATCGAAGGACGGCGACTCTGTTAGCGCAATGTGGATGGCGGACGGGGTCCGGCACTCGTTGTCTGGGGTGTGGAGTGCCCCGAAGTCGGGTTCTCTAGAGAGATGTGAGCAAGGATGCCAATTGTAACAAGAATGGGACTTGTATTGTACTACATACAAGTCTAGAAAGACAAACAAACTAAGGTAACGTCACCGCCGTAAGGGAAAGAAAGGACCAAAGCCAGAGAAGGCCGGCAGTAGAGAGCCGAGTTGGTGCCATTTTTTAGAAGTGTTTTGGCGGTCCGGAGAACGGGGCAGCTACGAGTTCGATATGTATTGGCGGGGAAGAAATTTCTGGAGGGGGCACGCGCATATTGCGGGGCCATCCTGGGGCGGCTTGTGGCGTTGAAACCAAGATTGGCTGTCTGACCTGCGTTATCCATTGGTTGCCAGGCTTGTGGGAATTGCAAGTTTGTGGTTGCGTCAAGCATAAGGCTTTGTGAGACCTTGGGGTTACAAACAATAAACCGCCGTTGTACGGGGATATGTAACTGTACAATGTGTCTACTATATCAAGCTTGTCTATTTCTCTTCTCTTCTTTGCGTTTCGCTGGCAATGGTACGCGGCGAGCATCACAATCCAAGACAAAACTATTCCCAATGTCTCTGGCAAGCAATAAAGGAGCAAGGAGAGCGCTGATTTCAAGACTTATACCGTCTGTCGCTTCGCACCACGTCGGAGCCCACAATAGAGCATCTGCTGAACTGCCTGGGCCGCTGAGTAGTAAAACCATTCGCATTCCCCAGACTGGGACTGGAAGAGAGCTAGAATACCTCATCTATCTGCCAGCCACTAGACGTATCCTCCTTTAAGAACCTTAGTTTCCCGTCCTCACTGCGAGAATTTCTGCACCGTCCCAATTCCCCGTCTTACCGCCCTCTGAATGCAAATCGGCTGCCCCTAGATGCACCAATCTAAGACCATGGACAAGGACACTTCTGTCCTCTTGTACCGCAAGAGAGAAAATGCATGATGAGCCAGCAATACCAGCCACCATCCCAGCCAGTCCTCGCAATGCAGAAAAATGATCACTCCAGCTCCGCCAGAGCCTTCGCCCGGTTCTCCTCAACCGCCTTGACAAAAGTCTCGTAAGGGGTCAACGTACCCAGCGCCCGGCGCATATGGGCATTAACAATCTGCAAGCCGTAAATGTAGCTGGCGTTGACCCAACCAAATCTGCAGAGTGAAACGAGTCAGTCACCGAAGGGTTAATCAATATACCAGTGAGACACTCACCCCTCCTTAGCAACGCCCTTGAAGTCCAATCCCTGGTTGCCATACTCAGCATCGACCCTGTGCGGATCGATCGGCCTCGTGACATCATACTTCTCGACAACCACCCCGTTGAAATCAACGAACGCCTTGGTGATCATAAAGAGCCACTTGTAGGCCAGTCGCTCCGCCTCCTCGGTAAAGCTGTACCGATACAGGCCTGTCCAGGCCAGCATCTGCTGCGGCGCCCAACCGTAAGGGTAATCCCACTGGCGGTTGGGCCGCTCCAGGCCAATTTCGCCTCTGCTCTCCTTGGTTCCCGACAACAAGCCGCCAAACGCCTCGAACCGCGGCAGGGCCTTGGTGACCATGGCCGCCGCTTGCTTGGGGCTACTAACTCCAGCCCAGAGGGCCCAAAAGGTCGTGGCGCTCTCATACGTACACTGCTCTCGCTTGACCGTGTCATAGTCAAAGTACATGCCTTCCTCCTCATTCCAGAGGTACTTGTCGATGGCCAGCTTGCGGCGTTTTGCGCGGCGGTCCCAGATGGCCGACGTCTCAACATGGCCGGGCTGCAGCGATGTGCCAGTGCAGTACTCTTCCGGAATCACCAGCTTGTCCCCGAACACGCTGCGGATGATGCGCGAAATGTCTGTCTCATACTTGAAGAGCAGCGAGTTGAGGTCGATGGTAGCCAGATTAGCGCAGATGCCCTCGAAGCGGTACGTCGTGTCGTGACCCGACTCACGCACCGCCCGGTCGTGCATGAAATACTCGTCCAGTGCGGGTTCTTTAATTCGACCGTGGTTATAAGCGTCGACGAACTCATCAAACGTGATGCCGTACTTCTTCACGTAGGGCTCCAAAATGTGGACGAAGTGTCCGGCCTCTGTCTCGGGCGGGACGCCAAGTCCTTCAGGACGGTACCGCGACAGCCCGGTCACCCGATCAAGCCGCGGCTCGGCCATCCACACGCTGTGGTACTCTTTGATGGCCGCTAGAATCGCGGTCCGGAGGAAATCGACAGCGCCCGGTTCGTGCTTTATCTTGTCGTACACCCTGAGGGCCATGTCTGTGAGAAATGGGGGCTGCGACCGAAGGAGGTAGTACGACCGCGTGGCGTTCAGGATTTTGCCATAGTGCTTGATGCAGAAGCAGAAGTTGAGCACCATCGACTTGGCAAGATCGACCTTGTCATGGACTAGCAATCCAAGGGATTCCATGTAACTGTCCCACCCATACAACTCATTGAAACGCCCTCCCGGGACGACGAATGGCCGACCTCTCAGCGTCTTCTTTCCCGTCTTGGGATCCGTCGTTTCCTCCATGTCGACTGCCAAAAGACCGGGTTTGGCGTTCATATCCCGAACGAGCTCAGGAGTGATTTTCTCGGGGAGTAGCTGTACGTCCAACCGAATCTCGGGTCGCTCCTCGGCCAATTTCTTGTAATATTCATACTGTTCAGGGGCGCCACTAGGAACGTAAATACGTGGCCGCGGGTCATCGGTCCAATCTTTGGGATCCCGAGCAGCAACTTCGATGCTGGAAGCGTCAATTCGCCGTGTGAGGCCCTCCCAGAAGTGGTCTCGAATCATCCGCGACAGCCGGTTGACAGGATTCTCATTTAATCTTGCCTCGTCCAAGATGATTTGCTTGCGACCGTATTCCTTAGCCAGTGATAGCTCTTGGAGAAGGTTGGAAAGCATGTAAGTGCCCCGGATATCGAAGCGGTTGTGACCATTGGACGCTGCCGTGCGTAGAGTGAGAACCTAATAGAGCGAGTGTCACCGATTGTTACCCCTCCAGAACAACGTCTCCCCTACTCACCTTTGGTCCATTGTCCTCGATTGTAATCTGCATGTTTTTGTCTGGATCCTCCTGAGCGAGGAGGCTTTGGAGGGTGGGTTCGACCTGGATTAGGAATCGGCGGGAGTGGGGGATCGTGCTCTCGTCTTGGAGTCGTCTGTCAGCACGAACTCGAAAACAAACTGCGTAGTTTCTTACCATGACTTCCTCGCCGGTAGGGCTCCTGTAAACCCAGCCGCTCCATCTGCTTGAACAAACTGTTCTGTGATGGAAGGAAATTAGCAATTGCTTGCACTCCAGCATTTCTCAGGCTCACCCACCTGCGAGTAGGTGCGGGTTCTTGGACCAGCGCGCGTGTTGAGATGGCGCTCTTCGGCGGTATAGTAGGTTCTCGCATCGTCATAAACACCGTGATCGTCAACCGACCCTCGAGTCCGCGGAGGACCCGGAGGTGCTGGACCGCCCATCTCGGAGTGCGGAATGATGGGCATGGTAGTCGGAGCGGCTGAGGTATGGGGTCCGGAAGATCAAGGCCCTTCGTCTCTGTGTTGATGATGAATGAGATTGATTAGCTGTTTGATGCTCAGGTGCTGGGATCTCTATCTGGTGTCTTTAGGACGGAAGTCGGAAAGCGATGGCATACGCACAGGATTGTTTGGCTGGTTACAGTTTGTTCTGCAGACCGAGTTCGAAGGATAGGTAGGCGCCGCCGCCACCGCGGAATGACCAGGAATACGCCGAGATTGATGAAAAGCGATCACGCGGACCCATAAAAATGAAGCGCCAGCCTGGAAGCAGTTAAGAACCGTTGCGCCAAGGAAAGACAGAGCTGAATTGCGCTGTGGTCGTTCAATTGGACTCTGTTCGAGTTGAGAGAGTGGAAGGTAAGAGGTTGCAATCCCGTTGTTTTCCTGATGTGCACTTTGGCAAACCTCAAGTTGGGAAGTGGTAATGCGTCACGATGCGGTGCGAGTTTAGGTTCACCTTTGCTCTGATCGTTTATGTCAGCGATCCGCCGTTGGTTTTGGGCTGAGTTGGGTTACCAACGCCTATCGGATCCTCAAGTCGGGTGACAGCCGGGTTATCAAGGAAAGACGCAATTCGTATGTGGACTCGTTACACATAGAAAAGCGAACTGCTGTGCCTGTCGCAGTCCGATCTTCCGTGGGGTTTCCGCCAATTGTGGCAAACTCACGATAGCGTTGTTCGATGATGGTGGGCAGGAGCAGCCGCAGTTGCATGAGCCGACCGCCCTACCGTACTGTAAGGTATGTACTGTACCTATGTACATACAGTATTGTATGTTACAATACAGTACACCTGTGTATCCTCATACACAGTACGACGCGCTTCAGGTTGTACTACTAAGAGTAATCCGGAAAGATCTCGGCTGTCTATCAAAGATACAGTAGTAGCTACTTACCTCTTCCATCATGCCAAATCATTGATAGTAATTACCGTTGAGGATGTTCTAAAAATCTGCCTATATATACCAAATCTTCTTTCTCCTTGGCTGTATGTATTGTACTTTGCAACAGATACGTATTACACGAATCCACCAGTTGTCGTCACTGCCAAGCTGGGTTACAGTGGTTTCTCTTAGGTAGCTTGTGTCACTGCGGGACACGCCTGCAGTTGCATTGCACAGTGGTTCGGATCCACTATGACGATGCACTTTACACGTTCCATCAGACCTTCCAATTCATCACTCGGATCTAAACTTCGGACGCCTTTCGGCTTCATGCCTTGCCAAATTTTTTTTCAGACTCTAGATGGGACTCTACACGTGGAGAAGTCTCTCTATAAGAACATTCTGGATTAAGTAGTCGCTGACAGACAGCATCAAGTCTTGCCCATAATGGGCTTACGTTACTCTCAGTCCCCGGAAAATGGACATTAACTACCGGATCACGAATGCCGATAATTAGGGCCCCGCCTGCATGTCAGCAACACCCCACGAATCCTTGACGCTTCCGGAGACATAGACGTGGGGTGACAAGTTGGAAGGTATACTAGGTTGAGGAAGTAGGACTTTTTCTGCCTCATTGCTCGTCATGAGAAATGTGATGCGTGCACATGACCATCTAAAAAGCATCAAGCGGCATTTACAGTAACATTGTGGTCAAACAGTGTGCGACGCGGCTCGGTGCCCGTTGAACCGTGTCAATCCTGTCACAGAAAGGCCAGGACCGCTAGGCGTGGGGGTCCGGATCCGAGGGCATGGGAACTGCATTTCCGGGAACATTTCACCCTTAATGCACAGCTCTCGTATGTACACTAGAATATGGGTATTCCGCAGTTTTGTACCTGATCTAGATGGAATGCTATTGCCAATGCAACCGTCCTATGTACAGTACACGTGTGGGACATACCGAACAGATCCGACCAACGCCTCTCCCACCGCAGGAGGCTCTGCCGCCTGTTGGCCTTTCCCGGCCTCCCCCCATTACCGCCGTACCGACCGCCGTTTGGTCGAGAACTGGATAGATGTGAAGCCCATGACCCAACGCCTTGACCGAAGCTGCAATGAAAAAAGCACATGGGAAGAAAGACAGCATAGAACATAAGAAAATAACGTAGAAGGGAGCGGCCTCACTCAAGCTCGCTCGGATGCTCAAACTTGATCGGATGAACCAGCATGCTCCTCAGGCACAGCCGCCCGGTGCTGTCAGCCGTCTCCTCCTCCTCCCGCCCGCCGCGCAACGTCCCCTCACCCGACCGGCCCCCGTTGGTGCCGCGGCCATCGAATTGTGCGTACCCCAGCCAGCGGCGCCACAGCAAGCCGGCAAACTCGCTGTTGTAGTACCACGTCGTGCCCTTGTGGTTGTGCTCGTTCCGCAGGTCAAAGGGGCTGCCGTGCCCGCCGGCCGAGTGGTCGCGGCCGCCGTTAAACGCTTGGTCCACCGAATCCAAATCCCACTTACGGTCTATGTACACGGGGTGCGGCGCGTAGACGGCCTTGAGGCCGTGATGCAGCGCCATGCTGGCAGGGAACATTTCGCTGAACATGGTGTGGTGCATCCGCCACGTTTCCTCGTGCATGACCTCCAGCAGCCGCCGGCTGAGGCGGGAGGCCGTCACAATGGCGCATCGTCGGGGAGGCGTTGGGTCCGTGAGCCTGTAGCCCGTCACATCAGACGCAAAAACCCAGCCTGACTCTTCGGCGTCGAAGATAGGGTTGAGGGTGATGAGGTCGGCATCCTCACCCACACCGCATTCGGACTTGTCTCCATCGATACATGACGCCGGAAGAAAGCTCTTGCCGCCTGTCTCGGAGCGGAGAGGGGCTTTACCGGGGAATTCCACGGGGCCGAAAATGGCGGAACGTCCGCTGGCATGGGTCTCGTTGCGGACGAGATCGGTGAACGAGTTCCAGTCTCCATGGTATTTCGGTATGTAATACTTTGCTGAGCGCTCCCACATCCCAACGCGCGACTGCTTCTTAGCCCAGATACCAAGGCGGTCAAAAAGCTCGTAGTAGTTTCCGAGCCAGCGCACGTCCAACTCCCAATTCCAGAAGTATTCGTACTCGGGGTGCGACATTGCGAAGTGCTGGAGGGCCATGTGCGCACTCCGATAGACTCCGTGAATGTCCATGCCGCTTGGATCCTCAACACTCGGCCCGAAATCCCCTGGGTATAGGAGCCTCATTTGTGCCTCCGTCCAAAGAGTGCAAAGGCTGTGGAACTCATCGGGCACATTTTCGTCGAGAATCCGCTGTGCTGTGACCGGATCTGCCCAGATCGGCTCCTTCTCGTTGCGGACATGAAGGAGAAGGTGGACTTGGTACTCGCCCCCCGATCGCAGAGCAAGCTCGGAGACCATAGCGCGGAAGTTGAGAATCGCGTGGTGCGTCCACTGAAACCCCGTAAAAGCCCGAATCACGACTGCCTGTCGTGGTATCGTTGTTCGCTCCCGGCGCCTTAATGATTGTTGGAGCGGCGAACCCCGTTCCGCTGACCCGGCGAAACGCCTCTTGTTAGACTCGTAGCATCGAGCCTGTGCATCCCCCCAGTCTATTCCAATCTTATCGTAGTTTATCTTGCCTGTCTTCTCCCAGACCACCTCGCTTCCTCGACGCTCGGTGTCCAAACCAACTTCCAGACCACCCGCATCATAGCTGTAACCCAGCCCGTATGGCCCGTATCTTCCGAACCTGTCAAAGCAAATGTCGTCTCTCAATCCTAAGAGGCTATGTGAGCCTATTATTGGGTCTGGTTGGCCCTGGACTCTGCCGTGGTAGGCGTAAAGGTCGGGGACGGGTATTCTCTTGTCCTTATCCAGGTAACAAGGCTCAACTTTGTGGTGCTTGACCTTGTAATCGGATGATTCGTAGTCCGGGTGTGGCACGAAAGGGGTTGGAGTTGGTAACCCCGTGTATGTGACGGTGAGTGGGAATGGTGACTCCTCGCCGGATAGTCTGGGGTACTCCGGCTTGTGATCGCTGGCAGGAACCAGGGCCTTGAGACCGTTGAAATATCCATTGAGGCTGGATGGTTAGCATCCTACAAGCCAGCACAGAAAGATGTGGGCACTCACTGCCTAAATCGAAGCCAGCTAGGCATATTCTCGCCTTCTGGCACCTCTGTGGTATCGTTCGCTGCTGGTAGCACCAATATCATATGCGGTTCCTCAAATCTGTCTTTGGCAGTCGGTCGTAGATCCACCCAGTCTAGTATCGCGCCCCTCGGATGGCGGATCCCACCGAAGAGAGCAAGGCATGATAGTGAGAGAACAGCGGCGCACCACAAGATCACCCTCCGGTATAAGCTGTGCCCTAGAAGTGCCGGAACCCTGATTCTCGCCTTTTGATGCACTGGTAAAGGAAGGAAAGACTTTTCGTCGAGGGAAAGAAGACTCGATAACGAACTGGAGCTTCCTCTTGAAAGGAACGAGCCACGCTCCATCACTCCAGAGTTGGCTTGGCTCAGCTCGAAGGGAGCGAGCGAGGCTAGCGAAGCTGTACCGAAGCCGTACCCTAACGTTACTCGCACCAGCGACTGGCAAAGTCTCAACGGCCGGGACCGTGGGCGATGCCAACTGGCATATAAACGCTGGATGCAGGCAGCAACCCGGGAATAGCGGCAACACTGAAGCCGCGAAAAACGACTGGCTAAAAAGAGGTGACGCCGGAAACAGCGCAGGAGAAACGAAGCACTCAGAGGAGCATGCCTTCAGAGAGAATGAGGGAAGAGCATGCGTGCATAGGGAAGGAATCTTGAGGGCAGTAGGGGGTTGCTGCACCGACGACGGCGAGCGCCGCTAACAGTGTAGAGGGAGGCGTGTAATAAGACCCTCATCAATGTGAGTTTGCGGCCGACGCCCTACCCCACATCGCATCAAGACGACCGAGGCGTGCGTTGATCTGCTGATACCTTGACACCCACCTGGTTCTCCTGTATCAGAGTGCTGAGGATCGTCCCAAGAACGGTGGGTCTTCCATTGTTGCATTCCATAGGTACCTAACGTTCTGACCAAGTGTAAGCTGCGGCAAGAGCGTGGTTGGGCCGCTCAGCCGACTGCTTGATCCTGCATCAAGAACACAAACGCGAAGTTAGCAAGGATCGACCCCATCACAATGTCGATCCTGTAGTTAGAGGTACGTACAAGCCCAAATCGATTGGTTCCGATGTGTCAGCCCGAGGATACCGTTAATGACATCGTTGTTGCCTCTAAAACCATGTCAAAACAGGCCAAAACAGCGATGAAAGACCCGCGTGGGACACTTGGCCGCAGTGGTGCAGATTTCTGTTGTTCAGGAGTCGCTCCTCCTCCTCACAAACTTCTACCCCATAATTCATCAGACCCACTCACTAATAGCGGTTCCAGTTCCTGACCTAGCAGCCAATCAGACGACTGATCAGTGAATTTCGTCCCGCCAAGACAACCGCAGATCCGGGACCTGGCTTGCCAAGACGCAGATCTCAGATTTGAAATGCTGCAAGCGCTGCTGCAGGTAGAGAGTCTTGGCAAGCTTCTCCAACGAGCCTTCCAAGCCCCTCCACGCCCCCCAGCCCCTCTAATCTGCACCCGGAATTCGCAAATGCCCTCTCGGGCGAAGTGCCGTCGTTGTTGAGATTCCAGAGGCCACGCCTCCCGGCAGCTAGTCGGGCATAGAGTTGCGTCTAATCGACCTGCTGTTGCGCATTAGGTATGTACAGATAGGCGCACGCGATCGCCTAGAATAGAAGCAGAGCAACTGAGGTCAATGTTCGCAAACAAGCACATTGACCAGAGCCTGTAGGCGGCATTCTTGAATCCCGATCGACAGTCATCAAGACCATTACCATCACGCACGCCTTTTCTTGCCTTACCTATCGAGGACGACGTTGGCCAGCGACGGTTGGCTCGCTAACTACATAACGTTAACAGCTCGACACCAGCAGCAGCAAGTGAAAATCAGACGGTGAAACAGCAACCCGGGCGGGCCCGGCAAAGGCCGATGCGAGACAGCTGTGCCACGTTTCATGCCTGCCACGGATGGAGCTCCGGAATCCGGATGGCGAACAACGAATCAGGTTTGGAGAGCCACGCGTAACATTCAAGACTTCTGGGCATCCGTGCCTTCGGGTGCAGCAATCAAGCCACAACAGAGATGTTGCTTACAGCCTTACACTCATATACGCCACTTCCGCCTGGATGCTTACAGTCAGCACATTCGCAGTGACGAGTTGGTCGTTTATCAAGAATGGCAGAAAGCTCTACCTCTGCGTTAAGCATGGAATATGCCCTGCGGCACGGTCGACATCGGCCGACTCCTGTTCGTCTTACGGATAACGTTACCAACTGACGGACCGCCAATTGGCGTTGCCATGGAATGATGAATCACGTTTGTGGTTTCTAAGGAGCGTTCAGGCACTTACATGCATCCAGACTGCTCGTAACTACTGGCATGAAGACGTCAGTTGCATATGACCACAATAGCCGTCTTCGTCGGCCTTATTGGAGTATTACCCATGCCGTTGTCACAGCTGCACCCCAGGCTCCCCAGTGAACCCCTCTGCTTACCTAGTTGAATCACAGATGACGAGGCAAATTATTTCGCTCATTCGTCAGACGGTCAGGACAGACAGCCGCGGCGTTCCCTCAGGCTGGTAGTCTTGACTGTAGAGGTCCTCTCGAGGAGCAATTTAGCATGGCACCTCAAGGGATCACGATGTGAGCATAACGACATAATAAGCCACGGTGGATTGACCATGCGCGTTCTCATTCCTCTAACATTCTCCAGAGAATAAGATCCAGCCCACCTACTCTACTCCGGTCAGGGCATGCGGCTGGCATGAAGAACGGTGTTGAACAAGAAGCCAGCCGCGATCCCGCCTCGCCATTAGAATGTCGACTCGGAGGGAGAGGGCCGGGCTTCTTCCAAGGAACTGTAGGTAAGGAGAATTTTGTTCCTGCAGCTCCGACCTTCAGCATCACCACCATGGATATGCTAGAGCACTGACGCCGACATACATGTTTGTCTACATGCTGGATAATCAGAGGTTGCTTCACGGCCCAAGGCCTCTTTTATGCACAGCTACACCTAATGCTGCAAGAGATTCGCATGGGCCATCGACTGTCATAATCCGGATACAACAGTCGCCGACGTCATCGACAGCACAGGGCGTGCGAGGTCGTACGCGATCAACGGCCGGTGACCTCGTCTGATGTGCAGTGACACTAGTTCTACACATGGCCTAGTGTCTTTGTGGCGATGTTTTCTGCTACCGATCTATATACCATCCCCCCGTCAACCTGAAGGCACCACTGCAGCGTCTGGGTTACCTCCTCAGGATGATCGTTATGCTCTCACATGCATGCGGATCCACCCACAAATGCTTGTTGTAGTGATAAGGGTTATGTTACAAACTCATCATTGTCGTCGGGGAGACTAATGAGGTTCATGGTGTATTCGTACGAATACATGACCGCTTAGATGATGCCGCTGTATGCACGCCGATCTAGGCAACTGGAAGGATGCCCACCTGAGCGCTACCATGGATTGATCAATATCAACATATCGAAGCATGCCGGTATTCAGTTAGGCTTAGTCATGGCTCCACGGACCTCTTCCTTCGTCACTGGAGGTGAAGGCGGCTCTGTGTCGGTTTGAGTTCGGTTCTGAATTATATCTTTGGCTTCAATGTCTTCAGGCTGACACACCCTTCCGTGAGTCCTGTCTAGTCACTCTAGATCCCAACTGGAGACAGGTCTTAAGACCTAGTAGCAGTATATCATGCTGTGATACCACCAGAGCTGCCCTTAGTTGTCCTGAGCGGCCTCGGTGGAAGTAGTATACCAAGGCCCTTTTCGACTTTGCTCACTTTGCAGCGATGCCCTCAATGTTAGAGAGAGCCGTGGTTTCATACCCCGACCGGTTTCAACCTTGCAGTTTCGGAATGAAGGAGGAGATTCTAGGCTTTGGTGAGATTGAGAAGAGCAACCGGACCTGGTACCACGACGTCTGCATGTCTCGGTTTGTGAAGCCTGCTCTGGACGCATCAGGAAATGCCAGTGCTGGGTATTGAGGAGGCACCTATCATTCTCAGACTGCTATTGAATTGAGGTCGGCCCGCTTGGGATGATCGTCTTTAAGTAGTAGTGATGCTAGGGCAGCTAGGCTATCTCCTAGTACTTAAGGCGGTCCCCGAACTGCACTTGCATATGTGAAGACTTTCAACTTAGGGGCGAACATAGTTCCATTTCACTCACAATGCCCAGGTAACATTCAAAGACAGTATGTCCAACTTGGAAGACAACCTACTGCCTTCCAGTATGTATGTTGCTACCTTACTGTACTAGTCGTAATTAGTACTAAGTGGCTGACCATGAAAGACCTGAATCCGAACGATATGTTCATTAATGCTCTCATGACCTGTGCTTGATTCGTGTTACGCTTGTTGCTTACCTTCATGTTGTATTATTCTGAATTCTCTACCGGCGATTTGCACTTACCGGCCTTTCACAAGCATCATCCAGTTCAAGTTGGGTTGCTAGAGAAACCCGAGGTGAGTCTGTAATTCAGAATAACTGATCATAAGGTACTGAAGCCACTCGACAGTTAGAGACGACCTATTATGGAAGAAGTATCCAAAGGAGGGCCCTAGACCGTTACTACTCGCGTACCTAGGACCTAGGTTGTCTGTCTGTTATCGGGGACCCTTCGAGCTGTGACTTGAACCTCATCAAAGCACGTTCTTCATAGCTTCTTACACACAGCGAACTTCAGGTAACCAAGGTACTCCTTCCTTCACTGCATTATACCCTCACAGCGCATGTCCGATATAGGGTCTTCCCATAGAGTTCCAATTGGGGTCTCCGAGTTAATAAAGGGAGAAGAACGGTTTTCGTATAGAGAACATCGGACGACATCCAAAGCCCCCTAAATGGCATTGGTTCCCTTCAAGTTTGATAGAAATGGCAGCTACCGTGACCGATTGGAATTCTCGGAAGTTTCAAGTCACATTCTTCTTCCTACTACTGTTTCGAACCGGAAGTTGAAAACAAAAACTCAGGCTCCTATCTCACGTAGCAACTAGGTTTGGCAAGGTGTTTCCTGCATCAATGGCCTCCGTACAGACAATTGGGCAGAATTGGTTACTTCGGGTGTCATTTTTGTTGCACTCAAGAGCGAGACTCGGATTCTCCCCGAGCCCTGAGAGGTTATTGTAGCCCTAAAGAACAAAAAGTGACGTCATCCTACCTAGCAAAGGGTTCGCAAAAGCCCTAATCAACGCCGGTACTGGTACGGTATCTCAACGAGCCAAATTCCCCTGTGTTCATGCTGAAAGGGTTCTCTTCAACCTAGGGGTAAATTAGCTCGTCCAGCAGCATTCCCTGTCTCGTAAAGCTCCATTCTTCTCCTCACTATTAGCTGAAGTTGTGGATTTTATCAGTCCTTTGGTGTGGTGCTCGTACCTGGGGTACTCGCTGGACATTTGATTCGATTGGCTAATCGGGTAGAAAAGGTCCAACGACATTGTTACCAGAATTGGCAGGTGTGAATAAAGCCGAGTGGACAATCCTTCCCGCTTCCTTCTTCTGCAGTCGTTCTGGTTAGTGGCGACAACCAATGGAGGAAGGAATAATCGGTCTTCCAATCGCCCTGGTTGGTGATTGAGCAGAGGATTCGAATGGCGCGCTGTTCACCAGCTTGCAGTGCATCAAAAGTGAGCGGTATTGTTCAAGCCAGGAATAACCGCGGTTGACACCCAGGCTGACCGACCGAGACTGGCCACCCTTGTCAGCGGGACTGTCAAGCAATCTTCTAGCGTGGTTCTCTCTCGGACTTGGGACCCTTAGCGTCGTCCACCACGCGTTGTCTCGAGGTTGTCTATGCCAAGCACGCAAGTATGCCGTTCAAGGAAGGAGGCAAGTCATACGAGCCCATACAATTCACTACACTAGATCTGCCTCGGTATACTGTCCGACACCTCGTATCATGATGACAACTACTATTGATAAGGCCAGCAGGGCGATAGACCACGGGAGCTTAGGTTTGCTACGTCTCTCCAGTCACTGCATATGTACGGACTAACTAACGTTACGGAGGGTGCTAGAGATGTATCGACACAACCTGGCTGCTCGACCACGCCTCATGTCACGGTCGGTAAACGGATGCTGGTCAGAATCTGGAACCTGGATAATCAGTTATTCTACTTTTACTTTTCAAGGGTCCATTGCCACGACGTCTTTCAATAATAAAAAACATCGATTGGTGTACGAGCAGAATAGTGTACCCGACCACTACACTAGGGTAACGCTGTCGATGCTGTCGGTCGGAGCATTGCAACTTGGCTGCCAAGATCAACGCCAAGATCCCGGCATCACTCGTTTAGGAAGCTCTGCATGCGGCATGGCAAGCCCTAGGCCAGCTTCCCCAGGCTTTGCCGCGCCGTTAATCGCGTGCTTGTGCAAGCTAAGCACAAGATGATTTTGCCGCACAAAAGCTTCGCTTGAACATCACATACGGAAACACGCCGTCGCTGCCACGCATACAGACGAGACGCTGAACATGATCAACAAGGCGACGAGCGTCGGGCTACACAGGTACTACCGTGTGTGCTATGTGGTACTGAGGCATGCAGTCCATAAGGTAACGTTATCTGCCGCCCTCCCGGCCGTCCCCTCTTGTTATAATCGTGGGGGAATTTTTTGGTTCCCGCGTCCGTCACAGAGGGAGAAGGAGGGGCGAAAGGCCTTCGGTTCAATCGGTTGGTCCCAGGGAACAGCCGACAATCTTTTTGCAGGCCTATCTCTTGGCGCTCCTTGATCAATCTTGGAAGGTGGCAAGTGTTCCTCGAGACGGCCCTTTTCCAAAGGTGGGCATTGCTCCCCTTTTGCATGGCCCGTTGGGTGGAAGCCAGCCCGTTCTCGATGCTCGGCGGCGGGATCCTCACGGTCGGACAAGGCCGGTTCTATACACTAGGCCTCTAGTGTATGTGCGGACCCTCACTCGCCTCTTCAGCAAGTGAAGATCTTGGGAGGTTGCAGCGGAGTGGTGCTCGCCATCTGACCCCTTCCCCAATCTCCATGGCAAGTTGGAACCTTCAGCCGGGGCCCCATGCAGTTGATTGCCACTGCATTTGATGCCGTGTCTCCCTTGGTCCCGTCTCTTATGTTATATATCCGTCTTGTTGCGCCCTGGCGGGCAGACCCATCTGGCAAGCTCTTTTCATTTTCCTCTGGTCAGCCCTAGCGTGGCCTAGCAGAGCTTCTTTCACACCATCATGGCGTCCGACCCGACGAGTATCGCTGTTGCCGACGATGTCAACGCCATGAAAAAAGATAAGGAGGCCGCCCTGGCGCCAGTGTTCTCCGCCGACGTCGACGACCTCGGCATTAGCGCCGATGGCGCGCTTCCTACCGACGAGGAGCTGCAGACCCTCCGCCGCGTCCCTGACAAGATCTCGTGGAACATCTTGACCATTGCCTTCATCGAGCTCTGTGAGCGCTTTTCGTACTATGGCACCACGGCCGTCTTCACCAATTTCATCCAGCAGCCGCGCCCTGAGGGTTCCGCCACGGGTGCCAGCTACGACATCAACAATGGCCAGGCTGGTGCTCTCGGCATGGGTCAGCGCACCTCCTTCTCTCTGACCACCTTCAATACCTTCTGGCAGTACACCATGCCCCTATTCGGCGCCTACGTTGCCGACAGCTATCTTGGCCGCTACCGGACCATTGGCTTCTCTCTCCTGATTGACATTGTCGGCCACATCATCCTCGTCGTCTCGGCTCTGCCTCCCGTGATCCAGAACCCCAACGGCTCCATTGGCGCCTTCGCCATCGGCATCCTCCTCATGGGTATCGGTACCGGTGGTTTCAAGCCCAACGTCAACCCCCTGATCGTTGAGCAGCTCGACCTCGAGAGGATGGTGGTCAGGACCCTGCCCACCGGCGAGCGTGTCATTGTCGACCCCGCCGTGACCGCCTCGCGTATCTACCACTACTTCTACATGTTCATCAACATTGGTGCCCTGTGCGGTCAGCTCGCCATGGTGTATTGCGAGCACTATGTCGGCTTCTGGCTGTCCTTTACCCTCCCAACCATCATGCTCTGCATCTGCCCGCTCGTCATGCTCTGGGGCCGCCGCCGCTACAAGCGCGTCCCGCCCCAAGGCTCCGTCCTCGGCCGGTCGTTCAAGCTCTTTGCGCTTGCCAACAAAGGCCGCTGGTCCATCAACCCCGTCAAGACGTGGAAACAGCTCCACGACGGTACTTTCTGGGATAGCGTCAAGCCGTCCAGATTCGACGCCGCCTCGAAGCCCAAGTGGATGGACTTCAACGATGCCTGGGTTGACGAGGTCCGCCGTGGCTTCAATGCCTGCGCCGTCTTCATGTGGTACCCTCTTTTCTGGCTCTGCTACAACCAAAGTAAGCATCGTCACGATCCCT